AACCCAATTGCACTTCCACCCCAACTCTGGTCAATGTTCCAGCTACTCTGTGCTAATGTGTTCCTCAAAATGCAGGTACTTCGGCCGCAAGCCCACCTCCGTCACCTCCGAGAGCAACGTCCGCATCGGCGAGAGCGCCATGCCTTGGGAGCAGGCCGATGCCGAGGGCAAGGTCTACAAGTACCAGTACCACCCCCACGGTGACAAGAGCCAGCCCCTGCGCAACGCTCCCAGTGCCTTGAACACTGTCATCGTCCCCAACGTCACTCTCCCCGCCGTAAGTAGCCGCTGCTTTTATATAAGACCCTCCCCCCCCCATGTACTCCCTTTTTTTTTGGCATTGAAAGAACAAGGATGCTAAATCCTCTAATGCTAGGACCTTCACGAGCGCTTCAACAAGTACGGTAAGGAGGAGTGGGACTACTAAACGGTCCCGCACCATGTGGAAGGGATTTGATGATGAATTGAAGTTGAGGCAACATCGGCAATTGACCGCTGTACACTAAAACTTGTGTGAAGATGTGAAGATTAGAGTGAAGTTTATGTGGGAAAGGAGAGAGAGAGTACTGATAACAGCTTTGTGCATAGTTCTTTTTTTTTGATGAGATTCTTTTTTTAGAAGACTATCGTTTCTGTTCTTGTTTAGTTTCACAAATACCTGCTCCTTTAAAGTGTAAGATGTCACAAGTAGTATAGTACTTCATTGATCTCGCAAACAGGTATTCATGTACACAAAAGTCACATCTCGTTAGTCCGAAGAGGAAAGATTACTGTCGAAGAAAAGTACAGGAAAGTAAATAAGCAGAGCTAAAGATCGGATGAAAATACAAACAGCCCCAAACTAAATGCTCCAAGTCTATTTCGTTCAAGATTTAGTCGCCTCATTCACCTCACTGGCCGGCTTAGGGTCCGCGGAGCCCTTCCGTTCCTCGGAGCTCCCGTGCCCAACTACTGAAGCTGGACCTTCCTCGACATCTTGAGGCTGATGTCTTTGGATGGTTTCGGGGTTCTGGCCCTCAACATCCGGATGCGGCGGAGCAAACTCGATCTCACCGTCAACCATATCAACGAGATGACCCTTGTCCAAGCGAGTCGAGGTCTCGTGTCGGGTCTCGAAGGACACCTTGCCCTCCTTTCTCAATGAGGCAACGAGCTCCTCATCCAGGATATTGCCATCCTGATCGCGGTATTCTACTCGTGCCTTGGTGCTGTGACGGGCCCGAGGCGTCACCGCAGGCTCTTGAGGCTCTTCCTGAAGAACTTCCTGAGCATGCTGTTGAGGCGCATCCTGAGGTGGGGCCACAACGGGAGGGGCCTGTGGAACAGATGTCTCCGTAGGCGGAATAGCCATGTTCGCGTTACTATCAACGTACTGAGTCACGTAATGGCTAAGCTAAGGCGATATGTCAGTCATGGCACCCAGGAGTATTAAAGCTTCTCAGCCCTAGGTTAGGGTACCTACATCGGTGTAGAAGGTGTTGCAGTCAAAGTCCCAGGTATCCAAGAGCTTCACTTGTCTGCAAGCTTCCTGAGTCCAGGGGTTGCCGTAAACCAAGGGCGAATAAATGACGAAGGTGAAGATGCTGAGGGTAAGGAATAGACCAGCCAGGATCTTGCCAATCACAGGCTTGGATGGCAAGCCAAGCGATCTAACGCGATTGGCGATGAAGTCGAATTCCTGACAGAGTGCCATTATCGCAAAGTACAGCGCCGGGAAATAGTGGTGCAAGAAGAGCTGCCGGGCCATGAGATAGAAAGGGAAGTAGTGGAAAGCCCAGCCGAGGACAGTGGTGCCAATCTCGTAGTCAAAACGCTTGAAGTTAACGTTGCGATAGTCACCGCAGCTCCGCTGCCAACGAAGGACAGAAACGCCCTTGAAGAGAAAGTAGACTGCGATAGCCACAGTAGACGACCACCAGATGAACGGATTACCAAGGAGGTAGACCTGACGGTGGTCTTTGCCCCAAAAGTTGATACCGCGGAGTAGGGTAGGCCACGAGGGAGGGCGAGAATCCCAGGCGTGCGATTCCGTGAGACCGGCATTCGTCACCCACATCACCTTCTGTAGTTCGAAAAACTTGCCGAAAAACCCAGGGTTCTTGTAGTTAACCTTCTCCGCATCTTCAGCCAGCATCGGGTGGTTGTTGGATTCAATATACCAGACACTGTTTGGTAGCGTGGCTCCCCTGGCGCAAGTAACCTCCTGCTGATCGAAGCCCCACTCAGGAAGCTTGACCTTGTGAGAGAACAAAACGCAGTTAGTCATGACGTGTACGAGGCGGAATTTAGTTTGAATAGTCCGAAGCCGCTTCTTGGCTTCTTCACCATCGGACATCGACTTGACGATCTCAACGCGGAAGAGATCGTTTGCGTCGCCAGGAAAGCCGTCATATCCGTATGCTGAGACCTCAAATTGCCAATCAACATCAGTCACAGGGGGGCGCTCATCGTGCGAATGGACTCGCCGGCGCGTGACAAAGTGGTTAAGCTTGATAGTAGCGCCGTCTTCGATGTATTCAGCGGTAATGTTGTCCCAAGCCAGAGGACCTTCCACCGTTCCATAAGGACCCAAGGGCTGTGTCTGGTTCTCGAGAATGAAGACGTTGTTTTCGTCCTTGTGGGGGTAAAGGGTGATCTGTTGCTGCTTGCTTCCCGTAGGGTACATGTGGTTGTGAGAGTGCAGGTAGCCTCCCTGTGTGTTGAGGTGGCGCAGGGAGACACGAGAGCCGAAGACAACGTCTGCAGGAACGTCCTGCATAGATTTCGAATTCAAGGTTGCCTGGAATTCTGAGGACATGAACCCGTCTCCATCTCCAGGGTTGACCAAGCACAAGAAGTGGATTGCGAACATCCCGCAGTAAAATGTCAGCGGGATGATGATGAGACAGAAAAAGCGGGCAAAGAAATGCTTGAACCAAAGACGCTAGAAAACAACATATTAGCTTCTCTCATAGGTGGAGCATAGGGTTCCATTGCATACCGGTGTGACATTGACCGTGTCGCCGAGCAGCACCCAAAGTTGGAGAACAGTGAGCGATCCAACCCACGCAACAGTGAACAAACCAACCCACTTGACACTCAGAGTAGCACCCAAGGCAAGACCAGACGCGACCAGCCAAAACCACCAGGATCCACGGAAAGCATGCGATGGCCCCATTTCATGTTGATTGGTAAAACATGTGAACGACAAAGCCGTGAGCGCGGTGAAGAATACCAACGGAGAATCCAAGAGAATCAGACGCGATTGAGTGATTAGACCGTTTTCTGAGCCGAGTTAGCAGACATTATCCAGCCGCCACTGAGCCATTACTCACCGAAGATGACAACACCGGCGCCCAAAATAGCCGAAATATTGCGGCAGCCCGACGCCTTTAGAGTCAAGAACATCAACGGGACTGTCAAAACACCCAGGATTGCTGGAAGCATCCGCATCGCAACATAAGGCACCCCGGGCTCGAGGTAGTCCTTGCCAATGTCCTTAAAGTCGAACTCGCCATCGAAGCCTGCAAGCCAGCCAGCCAGTGTGAGGAGAAGTTTAGCAAGCGGAGGATGGACATCCATGAAAAAGCGGCCTTTGATATATTTGGAGGCGAAGCCACCGAAACTGTTCATGAGATCGTCAGACGGGAGTTGTTCTAGAAACTATGCGCAACGGTGATAATCTCAAGACATACTGGACTTCATCGAAGACAACGCTGGAGGGCTGGTAGATCCGGAACAGACGAACCACCGCAGCCACAATGGTCACTACGACCAATGTCTTGTAGTCGGAGGCGGGGAGCTTGAAGATGTTGTTGTCCGTAACACCTTCCGAGGCGTAACTGGGTGCCCGCACAGTCACATTTTTGCGACTTTTCGGACCCGGAGAGCGACTTGAAGAGCGTAATTGCGACTTTGGGGGTTTGACCTCCAAGGTGTTCTTAGATTGGGACGCCATTGTTAAGGCGCTTGAAAGTTGGTAGGGTCAAGGAGCGAGGAGGGGACAGGTTCAAAGGGTCGAGTGAAACAAACAATAACCCGATTAGATCATCCAGATATTGCTGCGGGCCAGCGAAATGACGAAAGCCGTGCAGTCAATTGCTCCAACTCCAGGAGGGAGCCTTGGAATAGAAAAAAGCCCGGCGCTTGGTGCAGCAGGGACAGATTTGAGATAGGAGGGATCAAAGAAATAAAAGGAAAAGAAAAGAGATCAATGAACGAGCGTAAGAATTAAAAAAGAAGAAAGGCCATGACAGCGTGGGGGAGGTGGAAGCAGCAGCAAGAAAGGTAAAGGAATGGGGTGGTGGTGGTGATAGTGAGGAGAGATGGATGGAGAAAGAGGGCAAAGACAACACGTGTGGGACGATTAGGGAGGCGGGATGAAAGCGTAGTTGACCGGTTTGAGGCCAGATCGTCGGGTTAGTGGTAAGTAATCCGTAGCTGCGTAGTAGCCTCGTAGGGGATTAGGAATCGACTAAGTAAAACTGCCCGTCAGCAAGAGAAAGCGACAGGGAGAGAAGCATCCATTCATTGAAGCATGCAGTTCCGATCGGTGGCTGGCCTGCTGCGGCGGCTGGACCCTCCTTCCGTCCCGATGCAAACAGTACGTATGCACTGTGCATAGTAAGACTGAGAGCCTGGCACTGCCTCCCAGCCAAATGGGGGCGGCAATGGTCACGATACAGAGGAGTTGGGGCGCAATTCTCTATACAATGAAATGCACTGTCCTGACTGGCCTTACTTCTTTGTTTAATCTATTTTGCATACAGTGCTCAATTTGTATAAGCATAATCAATTCCATGGCAATTTCATCACGAGGATCATGGTATGGCCTCGGAGGACAGGAACCGTTCGTCCGCTCTAAGCCTAGACTCCCGGCTTTCCGCCAGCCAATCACGCTTCATCTCTGCTAGCCGCGCGGAACCTCTCATTGAGTTCACCGCCCGCGCTTAGTCAGTCCGCAGCAACCGCCGTCCGGGAAGAGACTCGCTATTCGGAGTAGATGAAGTCCAGCCCGAAAAGGACATCCCGACGCCCGCAAGACCACTCTCGCATCTCGGATTTCTGTCTCTTCAACAGACTGATCTCCCCTTACCGGCTTGAAGTATGGCCGCCGTTAGTAATGGAAGTACTCCGTTACCAGAAGATGTGAACAAGCCCCCGGAGGGTGTGGTATTGCCACCCAAGGATATTCGAGGTTAGTCCTAGCTTCGGCCAAACCCCGTCCGCAAGTATTCACACTGACAATCTCAACAGCAATTGTCGAGAAGACCGCCGGATACGTTGCTCGAAACGGTCCTGTGTTCGAAGGTAAGTTCTGGCTCACCGATTCCATGGCCCCAAGCTCCGACTCCGACCTCTTAACACATTCCGGCTTTTCTCCAGATCGTGTTCGCGAGAAAGAGCGAAACAACCCGAAGTTCTCTTTCCTCAACCCCGACGACGCATACGGCCCATTCTACCAATGGCGCCTCATAGAGATCAAGGAAGGGCGAGGGTCGACTGCGCTCGCAGGTCGTCCCGGCGAAGCCAGCGCGGCCGCGGAGCCTGAGAAGCCCAAGGGCCCCCCCGAGCCCCCCGAGTTCCACTTCTCCGCCCGGATGCCCATCATCAACGCGCAGGATCTCGAAGTCGTCAAGCTGACGGCCCTGTTCGTGGCCCGACGCGGCAAGTCCTTCATGACCGCCCTCTCCCAGCGCGAGGCCCGCAACTTCCAATTCGACTTCCTCCGCCCGCAGCACAGTCTCTACTCGTTCTTCACGCGCCTCGTCGACCAATACACGATCCTGCTCCGTGCGGAGGGCATCGACGCCGCGACGACGGAGAAAAAGCGACTCGGCGAGCTGGAGCGCAACGTCCAGAACAAGTACCACGTGCTCGACCGCGCCAAGGAGCGCGCCGAGTGGGTCAAATACCAAGCGCAGCAGAAGCAGGAGAAGGAGGAGGCCGAGGAGAAGGAGCGGATCGCCTACGCCGAGATCGACTGGCACGATTTCGTCGTGGTCGAGACGGTGCTGTTCACCGCGGCCGACGACCAGATCGATTTGCCGCCGCCGACCTCCCTCCACGACCTGCAGTCCGCCTCCCTCGAGCAGAAGGCCATGATGTCGCTCAACCCGCTGCGCATCGAAGAAGCCATGCCCACCGACCTGGACGCCTCCAACTACTACAACGCCTACCCGCACCCGCACTTCCCCGAACAAGTCTCCCAACCCTTCGTCCCTGAGCCCACCCCCGTCCAGAACACCGCCGGCCCCATCTACCCGCCCCACGTCGGCCTCCCCATGCCCACCGCGCCCGCCGCCGCGCTCACCGCCGCGCACCAGGAAGAGGAGCGCTGGATCCGCGAGCGCATGGAAGCGCGCGATCAGGCCGCCGCCCTCAAAGCCAACGCCACCGCCCAGCCCCAGCAGCAACAACAACAACAACAGCCCATGCGCATCCGCTCCGACTACGTCCCGCGCGCGCAAGCCCGCCGCCAGAACGCCGGCGGCGCCACCGCCCTCTGCCCCAACTGCCACCAGCAGATCCCCGTGGCCGAACTCGAGCAGCACATGCGCATCGAGCTCCTCGACCCCCGCTGGAAGGAGCAACGCGCCAAGGCCGAGTCGCGCAGCGCCACCACCAACCTGTCGACCGTGGACGTCGTCAACAACCTCAAGCGGCTCGCCAGCCAGCGCAGCGACGTCTTCGACTCCTCCATCCTCCCCACCGATGGTGCCGCCGCCGCGGCTGCTGCGGCAGCAGCAGCGGAGGATTCAAGCAACAAAAGGATGGCCTTCGAAGGTGCCCACGGGCAGGGTCCCGTGCCCGTCGGTCCCACGGGTGGCCCTCATAATCCGCAAAATATGAGTGTCGAAGAGCAGATTCGACGGATCCACGAGCGACAGGGTAACTACCAGCGGTAGCTGCTATTCCACCAACGAAAAGAGGAGTGGTAATTGGGTATTTTGAAGCTGTTATTGATTTGCTACGCTCGCGGGGAAACCCCACCCCCACTCCCACCGGTGCTAAATTCATCCGATTTCACATCTTTCTCATGGAGGCGTTTATTCTTTTTGTTCGTTTTTCTCTAGTCCCCATATCTTTGTGTCGGAGCATGTATAACTTGACTCGCTGGTATTTCTCTTTTTTTTTCCGGATGCGAGAGACGAGACAGGCCCATCCTGTCGCAAAATTCATGACCAAAACAAACCCCCTTTGATGCAGTCATTCCACGCCATTACTCGTGTACGGTGTAGGCTACAGGGTCTGTATGCTTTATGCTTATTGCTCCAGGTGTTAAGATCATCATAGATTGTAATATGTGCATGTGTAGAAGCTCGTCAGCCCATGCTTCGGTATCATCCATCTCGTATGCCACACCATCCTGTCACCATGTATGGAATGGTATCTAGTACCAGCAATAGAAGCAAAGACTAAGAAGCGAAAGAGAAGACGACAAATAAGGTAAAAAGGAGAACAATCTTGGGAGAAGAAAATCTGAAGAAAGGAACAACGAAGAATCAAACTCGAATGCAATGTCATGGTTCATTCGCGGCTCCTTTCTGCGTGATCAGGAGTCGCGCTCGGCAAGAGAAAACAACGGCGTCTGTGAGCAAGACCAAGAACAGAAAAAAAAACGAAGATAGGATATTATTTATACAGGGCGGAAGGGCAAGTTCAGTAAGAATTAATAATACATACCATGGGCTGCGCTTGCTCTGAAATATGCCTCAGGCAGCAAAGCGACGGGATCGGTGAGTGATTAAGCAGGCAGCCACACGAGAAAATCTTCGGGTATGAAATGGAGCGAAAATGATATATAGCAAGTGGATATCGAAACACGGGGCTCTGAAACGCGAGAATGGAAGGTCGACAACATTGTATCCGTGTGTTCGGATAGTAAGTTGGGTGCAATGAATCAGCAAACGCCACTCTTGGTTGCAGGGTGACTGATAACAGTCTCATCTATATGCACGGAGGGTTGGGGTTCTTCGTCAACATGGGCGATCTGGGCGATTTCCGATGGCCCGTCAATTTGTTCATGTGTATCATGGAATAGTTTTTCATGGTCTTCGGTATCCGTGCCATCATCAGGCACCGTGACAGTCACCGGAACCGCGACGTCCGCGGGAGCAGACACGAAAGGGTCCTCGTTAAGGGAGGTCTTGTCCTGCAGTTCGTTATCAAGCTCGTCGATACTTCGAATTTGCAGACTTGCGTGATCAACCTCGGGCGTGAGGTCTGGTAGGCTTTCTTCCGGGCCATCGACAATCGTCTCCAGAGGATTTTCTGCTGCACTCGAGAAACTCTCGTGATGTGCGTGCTGTCGGTGTAACTGGTTGAATAATGGAATGATGCCGCCACCAATTCGGGACCAAAACATTCTTTCCCTCAATCTGATAGTTTCATCCCAGGCTTCCTTCTCCTCTTCGGCATCCCCAATCCGAACATGCCCATCGAGAATCAAGCGAAGATACCCTGTAAACTCGCAGCATGATCGCACTTTCTCCAAGCAAAGCACACATAGCGGGTAGCGCTGGGCGGTCTCGTTATCGGAAGTGCGGAAACGATGAGTCCTCTCGTTGACGGAGCCGGTCCGGCGTTCGCCACAGAGTGAACATGGGAACTCGTACCGCTTAGCCGATGAAGGCATAGGCTCAACCAAGAGACTACCCTCACAAATTCCACCCAATACAGACCGCCGAGTCAGCCAAGAGATCCCGGGGGCGGCATCCAGTCGCAGTGTTGGCTCAATATCTTCTACAACCACCCGCTTGTAAAAACGAGTTTCCTTCAGTGGGATGTGGGAAGTGACCGGTTGAGGAGACGACACGCTTCCGCTGGGAGAATGGGTATTGGATTTCGCAGGCGACGAGGACGCAGAGCCGAAGCCGCCAGTGCTTAGACTAGCCAGGCTCATGACATTCAAACCGGCGTAAGACCCACTGGTGGCACGACTCGGCGGCTTTGACAGTCTCGATGTGGTGAACAGTTCTCGGAAGTCCTCGTACGCTTGTATATCGGTGCGACAAACAGCCTTGATTAGGTGTGGGAAACTGGTCGAAGGGGCCGGTGTGATATCTTCCGTTGCGATGACATCCTCGAGGGCATCCGAACTCTCCATGTTCTTTCTGATGGATGGAGGCCGCATGGGTGCAGCTGGAGAGGAGGGCGCAGTTGAGATGATGGTCCGAGCATCAGCATCGTCCTTGGTGACGTTCATTCCTTGCAAAACAGATTTCAATTCGGCAAGTTGCTCCTGATGCGATGCGAGGAGTGCTTCGGTATCTTTGACCTGAGCGCGTAATTGCTCGTTCTTCTTTTCTACCGCTTCACGCTCAAGTTTAGCGGCTGCGACCATCTATATTTAGAAAAACATGTCAGCACATGAGCTGGGACAACAGCATAGATTACTGAGATCTAACCTTGTTGGCCTCCTCAAACAGAGCAGCAGTCAAAGTCTCTAGTTCTTGTTCAATGCCCTTCTTCTCCTTCTCTGCAAGCGCGCGCTGGGCCTTCTCTTCAGCCAACGCGGCCTGTAGGCGCAACATTTCGTAATCGACATCGGCCTTCTTGATTAATACTTCCTGTTCAACGTCGCGCCGGTATTTTTCGTTCTCCGACTCGAGAGAGCGGATCTTTTTCTGGGCTTGCTCAAGTTCCTGGCGGGTGGCAACTAAGCTGTCATCTAACGTGGTTTGGTTGTTGATCGCCTGAACAAGCTTAACACTCAGAGCTGCGACTTCATTGCTGAGATCGGGGTGGTGCGGCTGGGTGGTGGATGCGGTTTCCGAGCTTTCCGCGCTGCTCGCGAGTCTCGGATCCTTAAGGGTATTGAAGTTGCTGTCTGGAAAATTTCCCACACTGGATGATCGGACTCCGGGAGTGGGTTTCTCGGTGACAATTTCCGATAAATCATTTGTAGAGCGCGCTTTCGTAATGGTTCTGTCGGATGACAGAGACCTATTCTCGGAGGAGAGGGATCGTCTGTGGCTGGTAGGCCGCGGAAGCATGTTGGAGGGTGAGAGGAAATTGTGACGCGAATAGTAAGTGTGAAAGGCGATGAAACTGTCTCCGACAGTTAGTGATGTCGTATGACAATGTAGTAAGAGAATGAACAGGTTAAGAAGACATACTCGGCCATGGTGATAAGCGAAGCTGCGGGTCGGGTTGTTGAAGATAGATGGGGTATTACAATGATAGCGAGGCGGGTTTCACAACCACGTATATAGCAGGTCCGGGACTTCCCATCTGCAACCCCTCACAGACTCAAGAGAGCGTAATCAAGATCTATGCATGGGACAAGTGAAGTAGGGGGTGGTAGGTGCAAGAGTAATGCAACGTCTCCGCCAGCGCGCAGCGTGGAGAGAAATCAGCGAGTCGAGCCACGACGCATTGAGACCAACTAGGAAAGAACGGGAATTGAACGACGCAACAAGGATCGCCTGATGAAAGAAAAGACAATGAGGGAGTGTACGAAGAAAGAACAAGTGAAGGAGAGTGAGTAGAAGCGAATTGAGGGAGAGGGGGGGTGGAGGAGGAGGGGAGGGGGAGGTAGGGTAGGTAGGATAGAGCCGGACAGATGACGATAGAGGCGGATCGGGGAATCAGGGCGTGATCAAAAGGAAGGGTGTGGATATTAGAGTCGCGGATACTACCCCTCTTTTTCTCCAGGTGGGCGTTGATATTGTTGGTTCGTATTGAGAGAGAAAGAAGAAGGGAAAACGAAGAAGCAGAAGAAGCGAAAGAAGCGTAAGAAGGCGAGGTCTGAATTAAAATTTCATATGATTAAGGATTAGGTTAGTGGGCAAAGGTGATTTTGAGAACTTTGAATAGGTAAGGTTGTAGTAAGTTAGTAGGTAATGAGTACGAAGTACGGAGAGTACGGGATAGACAAGACACTGACAGACAGACGGAGAACGGACGGAATTGATGGGCACCAGCCTGGAGCAGAAGCACAGCCTCGGCGGCGCCTGAAGCAACTTGGAAGCCAGAGTAATCGAGGTAATTACTGTATATTACCGGTATCGCCGCCCGGGGTCAGGCGGCCACTCGAAGGACGGTTAAGGATTTTTTGCAGCACTAGCTCCGGTGGCGAGTGCAGGTGTCGTATTATCTTACGCTAATTACGGAGAATACGCGGAGATACCTTCCACTCACCCAATCACACCCTCAGGCGCTTAAACTTCAGTTGTCGCGTCAGGCCGATATCTTTGCCCGTCATCTGTGAGTGAAGCTTAGCGAAGGCAATGACCAGATGGGAAGGTCATTCTAGCTCCGAGTCCATATGTCCCCCAAGGAGAAACCATCACACCTCCATCACACCCCCGAAAAAAAAAAAAAAAAAAAAAAAAAAGAGACCCCCTGCAATGGCTGGAGACGGATCTGCCGATACCAGTACTCCGTACTGTACTCCCCCGTACCGATCTTCGTCTCCTTCACTGCATTCCGATTTATAAATAACTCGAAGCCACGTTCCCATGCCGGCGGCTTCTTCGGTTTCCGCTCCGAGGGTGGTGTGTGTGGTGATCTTGATACAGGCCAGCGTCTCGCAAAGGGATACCGGAGTGAGTGGCTGGACTAGGAGGGGAAGGGGGGGGGCTTGTTCTCACTTGCCTTTTCTTCCCCTTCCACCCCCTCTCGCCCTAGATACTACTACTCACCTAGTAGGGTTACCCTGGCCTCGATGCAATTGAAGACCCGACCCAAAAAATTGGAGACCCATTTGTCAATGGTTGGGATCGCGCCGGTTTGCTTTTTAGCCCGGCCCTACCGGACAATCTCAACCCAAAGCAGTGGGATTGTCAGTGCTCGGTGAACTGAAGATGACTGTGGTCTTGGCAGTGGATGACCGTACGTGCAGTAACTAGATATATATGTATATGAGTATAAGCAAACAAGGGAATTATCAGCTTCTGAGACATTGGAACCTCAACTGATCCTTGGTTGAGGCCCTGATCGGCAGAGAGCCCAGCTGTCACTGCTTGAATTGTAGTCATTGTTAGGCAATAGAGCTGAATTGCGGTGTAATCGTCCCAATCTAGCGGATCGAAGCTGCATTGCCTCCGCCTGCGGCCATACTATCGATTTCCCGATCGGGCAATGATGGCCTTGAGGATGCCTCATGGCGCCCCGCCCTGGTGGTACGCTAGTGGCCTGAGTGCCTGAGGCACGGGGCTATCATCAAGGTGGGGGTGGAAACTTCCATCAATAGCAGATGCATGAGCGGGTTTCCTCCATTCCCTCTGTGCATTAATCTTTTTTTTCCAACTTTGGGTTTCCATTCAATACAATTTTACTGTAGGATCTCGCAGCAGAGATTCTCTTGGTCCGACGATCTACACTGAAATTCCCCGAGCAGACCGCACTGATCAAGGAGAAACCCCCCTTTCCACAGATTGTCGATCAACTTGACCAGTAGCAACCATGGCCGACGCAGAGTTGGAAGAGGTCAGTATGCCAGCCTCATGCTCCGACCTTTCGATCTTCCCCTCCTGGCATCATGATGCCATATATGACCTCGTTCTTTCCCACCAGAGTATTGTTCTTCGACCCTAATGCTCAGACATGTAACAGATCAGACGGGCCCGCATGGCTCAGCTCCAGCAACAGAGCGGTGGTGCACGCGGCGGGCCAGGTGACGGCCAAGAAGATCAGAGAAAGTACGCACTCCTTACAGCTACTCACATGATTGGAACCACTAATTGCTAACACTTCGTCAAGACAAGCTGAAGGTATGCGCAATAGCCATCCCAGATCCACCTGTGACATGTGAAGAGGGCCCGACCTGGAGCAATCTCCGCGCCATCTTTTCTCCTCCACCTCCGACCACCACGCTGCAAAAAATAAAGACTGTACTCACCATAAGCTCCCCAACTAGCCGACCGCCGTGCCTCCATTCTGAATCAGATCCTCGAACCGGAAGCCGCCGACCGCCTGGGCCGCATCCGCCTCGTCAAGGAATCGCGCGCCATGGACGTGGAGAACCGCTTGATCATGCTCGCGCAGACCGGCCAACTGCGCCAGAAGGTGTCGGAGGATCAGCTGAAGCAGCTGCTCAATGCCATGGCCGAGAACCAGCGCAAGGACGAGGAGGAGCACAAGATCGTGATCTCGCGGCGCAAAGGTGGCTGGGACGACGACGACGATCTGTTGGACTTGTAGAGGCGACAACAACAAATCTGATGTGATGAAGTGTTATTAGCGAGAGAGACGTTTGACGTCCGCAGGTGATGATGATGGTCTTTTGCAGTCTCTTTTATGATACCTTTCGCCTGCTCCTCTTTTCTCCGGCCCAGTCTAGATTCTGGGTGAACCATGCATGCGCTTAATGTTTGGATTATTGGCTCTGCAGCGGTGGCGGGAAAAATGGCCTCGATATGAAAAGCTACTCTTACGCCTGCTTCGTGCGGAAGGCCGGCTTGCGTACAGCCTACTCCGCGTGACCTTTGAGTCCTCCTTCACACCTCTCTATCAACCCACGTAGATCCACCAACCAAACCAAGGAAATTCTTTTGAACCAAGAATAACAATATATCCATGCCATGCAATACTATAATATACACAGGTATCACCACTACCAAGCCAAAAACCAACACACTACAACCCGGCCGTCGCCGCAGCCGCCTCCTTCTCCCTCTTCTTCTGCATGCGGATCATCCTCCGGATCTCGCGCATATCCGGCGGCCTCTCGATGCCCAACTCCTCGCGCAGCTCGCCGACATCCTTTTCCAGAATCTTCTCCCAGTAGACATTGATGAGCTCCTTGCTCTTCAGGCCACTCTTCACCGCCCACGGCAGATAGATCTTGAACAGCCGCTCGCGCTCGGCGGGCTTCAACCGCACCGAGGCGAACAGACTCAGCCCCGTCATCGGGATCAACGTGTTCAGAAACTCGAACGCCTTGAGCGCCAGCTCCCCCTCCACAAAGATGGGCAGGCCCGTCACGGCGTGGTAGAAGTCGTGGCACTCGCGGTACCGCTGCATGACGTAGGCGCACTCCGGGTCGTCGATGTACTGCACGTTGTCCCGCGTGTCCGGCGACACGCCCTCGCGGTCCAGCCAGGTCGCGTACGTCCGCCCCACCGTGTTCTCCGGCAGCGTGCGCAGGTAGGACATCTGGAGCGTCTGGGAGGTGATGCGCGGTCGGTCGCGGAGGATCTGCCGCCCCGTCGGGTCGGAGAGCATCGCGTCGCGCAGGCGGTAGATGAAGTAGGGGGTTGCCGTGGCTTCGCCGCAGGTTGCGATGAGATCTGTTTGGTGATTGTGTTCGTGGTTAGTGTGGGTCATCGGATATAGAGGGGAGGAGGCGTGATTGCGGAGAGGAGAATGTGGGGCGAGGTTGATGAAAAAAGACAAAGGGTTCAAGACGCACCAGCTCGTCGAGGGTTGATGAGAGCTCCAAAAGCAGAGCCGACGGCCAACGCTCCGCGCTCGAAAAAGGTCAATGGCACATGGCCGGGATAGTTTGGCGGAGGGCGGTTCCAGGCGGAGAAAGACCGCGCGGATCGAGACTGGAGGGGAACAGGAGCTGCGATTGTGGCTGTGGCAAGGAGGTTCAGCTCCCGAACGCTGAGTGCAGCGCTGCGCTTCCCAAGAACAGACATCTTAGAGGTTCAAAAGGACACCACGTCGCACTGGACTCGAGCTTCGTGGGGGGGGGCAATGGTCGGTCGAAGTAGATGCAAGTGGTACGATTTCGGGGAGATTCCGGATAGCGTGAGTGGTGGGTCTGGCGTGCCGTACCGTCTGATAAAGATCGATAAGATAAAAAAAAAAGAGACTTTTCTTTATCGATTGGGTTGAGCGCGGGACCATTCCCAGATAATTTGCGACGCAGCCGCATTGTCACAATCGCGAGATTCATTGAACAGGAGAGCCAGCTAGCAATACATCAGTGGTTAACATAATCATCCGATCGATCAGATCACGGGTATCTCCAACATCCACATAAGAACAACACCGCATCACCCGGCTTGACAATCGCAAACATGCGACCCACCTGGTGGCCCGGCGAGCAACATGAAGCTCTTACCGAATGGGCGTTTTCTCAAGGCATCATCATCAATGGAGTCAGTCCGGCACGATTTCCCGGTCGAGGACTAGGAATGATCGCCACACGGCATATAGAAGTACGACAAATACATAACCAACCCAACAAAGCCGCCAGCCATCTACTGACCCAAACCCACCAACCCAGAAAGACGAAGCCATCGTGACAGTGCCCCACGAAGCCATGCTAACCCCCTCACGGATCCCGACCTCCTTCTCCAGCAGATTCTCCGACGGAACCCCTACCCACGCTGTATACGCCGCCTATCTCACCAACGGCGACCCTGCCGACCTGGAACCCTACACCCTCTGGCGGCGCACCTGGCCCACCCGCGCCGACTTCGAAGCGAGCATGCCCATCCTCTGGCCTGCGTCATTCCGGCATCCAACAAAAGCCGAGCACTCGTCGTCGTCGTCGGCACTCCCCAAATCCGACGCCCCAGCCCTCCTCCTCCCCCCTTCCATCTCCGGCCAATGGACCACGATCCTGCCGCAACCATGCGCGCACGACTACGAAACCACCCACCAGAACCTCCTCGCGCAGCAGGAACAACGCCTGCGCAGGGACTGGGACATGGTGGTTGCCGTGTTCCCCAACACCGACTGGGACCAGTTCTCGTATCATTGGCTGATCGTCAACACGAGGAGCTTTTTTTACTTGGTGCCCGGCCAGGAACCGCCAAAGGACCGCAATGATGCCATGGCTCTGCTGCCTTTCGCTGACTATTTCAATCACTCGGATGTAGCGGTGAGTTCGGCCATTCAAGCGTGCGTGCGTGTGTGTGTGCGCGCGCGCGTTGCGTCGGGGAAGTGGTATGGCTGACTTTTGGGGATGGGTGTCTCAGTGCAACGTCAAGTTTGATGGGCTTCATTATGTATTTCGCGCGGCTAAGGAGTACGGTATGGTTAAATTACCTCATCATTTTTATTTGCCTGGAAGGTTCTTTGGGGCTGATTTATTGATTGACTTCTTGTTATTATGTCGCAGATGAAGGGGATGAGATCTATATGAGCTATGGTCCACATCCGAATGACTTTCTATTCACTGAGTGTGAGTATCCACGCAGCCCTAGACTTGCGCTCTTGGTTGACCTCGTTTTATAGATGGTTTCTACTTGGAGGAAAACGAATCTGAGACTCTATATCTCGATGCCATTATATTCAAAGATCTCGGCCCTAAATTGCAAGAGGAACTGAATTTCCATCAGTACCTGGGGTATGTACAGTACTATCGCTCCTGCTTCTGTTGTGGTGCAGATCACCGTCGCTAATCCGGGGCCAATCAGGAACTACCAAGTCACAGCCGGTGGTGTTTGCTACCGGACCGAAATCGCCGCTACGATCACATATATGACGCCCAAGGACTGGCAGGATCATGTTCTCGGCTACTCGAGTCAGAGTGTGGATGAAAGGAGATCCGCTAAGGTCGTCCGAAACTGGATTGGCGCATATATCGAAGAGGCAGATACAGCGATTCGATATCTGGAGAGTGTTCTGTCCGGTGAGAGCGACCAATTCCACCCAGAAAAGGTACAAATGCTCCTGAACCGGTGGAGACAGATAAGACGGCTCTGCTTTCAAGCCCTAGATACGGTTCCCTGCTAGGAATATAGGCATAGTTGAAAGGAAATTGTTTAGTAAAATGACCCGATCCTGGGAGCATCCTGCGGTCTAATTCGAATTATGGAGCGCTTCGAGAATCCCTTTTTCGCCCTTCCATGGGGACATCAATGGGAATTGCAGAAATTTCCTTTTGTCTGGTCTCATATGTCTTTCCTTGGATCAATGCTTGAATCATGTAGTTCATCACTGGTTTGAGGCCGAGCTCCTCGCCTCTGCGCACGATGTAGCCGTTCAGGAACTGAATTTCAGTTACCTTGCCCGCATTGATATCACGCAGCATATTACTCTCCTGGCCGGCAGTCCTTTCGGCGATTTGGGTGAGCAGGCGGCGTATGCGCTCCGGACCGAAGCGTACCTCGATCCCAGGAATTGACCGAACCTCGGGCAGAGCGGCGATGATGCTACAGGTTTCGAGGAGGAGAAGGCGCGTGAGACGGGTGAAGTGGTAATTGTAAAGAGTAGCACCGTTTTTGAACCCCATGAGCGCGGTCAGCGGTTGGAGAACGGATTGTACCGCAATTTGCTCCAGCTGGGTTAACAAGAGATCGGTCGGGGCTGCTGCAGTAGCGACGAGTGGCGCAGTGGTGGTCAGAATGCGCATGAGGTACTTGGTGGTTCGAGCCCAGGCTTGCGTCCAATAGATTTTCTCGGCCTCAGCTAAAGACAGTTTGTTTTCCTGCGGTGGAACCCCTAATACAAGTGTGCCCAGCTGAGCATGATAGAACTGAAAACTGCCCTTTCTCCGACGAATGTAGTGGGTGAATACTCCTTGCATGTAGTGCGGTCGTGTCATCGGGTCCGGAAAGCAGTGCTTATTGATTTCTTCCATCGTGCCCAGGCCGTCTGAGAGGATCAGGATTGTCGAATCGGGCGTCAAGCGATGCTGAATCGATTCCACGGCCAGGGCGGTCCAGTTCGATCTGACAGGGATGATTGCACACTCAATCTTCGAGTCATCCTGTTGGAATTGCACGGTTCCGGGAGACTCAGGTTCCGCCGCGCCATAGAAGTCGCCCTCATATTCGAGCGTGTCATGATTTCCGTAGTCTCCCTGCTCGGTCGTCTGGGGAATCGAGTACCAGGTAGCCTTGCCCCTCCTGACGTTCACATCAAAGCCGGTCTTGATGTCCTCCAACCCATTCGCTTGCAAACTTATGCTCTGTTTCGCAGCCACCCATTTTTGGTAGGTGCCAAAATCGTTCAACATCAAAGTGATAGGCGGCACAGACCGTCGACTTGCTAATGAGTGAGCAATAAATAAGGCGTCATTGTCACTACCCACGATGTGTATGCGCCCTGAGAGCCGGGAATTGGAGCCGGCGTCGAGCGATTCCTTCGGTTCATTGGCAGAGTTCGACATGAAGCAGCTGACGGTAAATTGCCGAGCTTTTAATACCGATGAGAAGCATGATGTATATGGTCCAGTCCGCCACAGCGGACTGCGTCTGAATATGTACGACACTTTGAAAAGCTGCCGCGGAACAGCGGTCTTGAGAAACCGGGGGGGCCGGGGGAATGTACCCTTGTGGAGACAGTGGTCGTTCTCCTCCCTGATCAGCCTATGATTTTCAGTTGAGATATGGGCAATTAGAGCCAGGGATTTCTGATCATGACGATATTAATGAAACCGTTCAGTAAGCTTCGGAAGAATGGAAGATGAAAGCTAAGTGAAAGATGCGAATGAAGTAAGAGGCGACGGACAATTTTGACCCGCTACCGCTTCGCTCACCGCCTTCATCACCGAAAAAATCACCTTATTGTACCAGATTTTCGAGGTTCCTCCTTTCAGCATACAAAGAACCGTGCTCAAGATGGAGGCTGCAGATCTACTCCCGCTGCTTGAGCAGCTAGATGACAACATTGATGACCTCGAGGAGATTCTCCAGCCTGTGCTGGACGGCTCCGTTGTGAAAACATCGAGCAATCTTCCAGTACTGGACAAAGCCAAATTCCATGTCCTGGTCACTTATACCTTGGAATCTCTCATCTTCTGTATGTCATCATTCCCTCGGCGATAGCTGTGTACGTACTGATTTTATCATAGCCTGGTTGCGCCTGCACGGTGTTAACGCCAAGGAACACCCGGTCTTTCGCGAGTTGACCCGAGTGAAGCAATACTTCGAAAAGATCAAAGAGCTGGAGACGGGCCCCGAGCAACGCACTCTCAAGCTCGACAAAGAGGCCGCCAGTCGCTTCATCAAACACGGTCTTGTAGGTTCTATCCTAGGAGTCGGCAGTTCTCTTAGCATGGCAGTACTAATCAGCGGCCAGGCTGGAAATGACAAAATCGACTTGGAGCGCAAAGAGCGAGAGGCGAAGGAAAGAGCACGCGCGCAGCTCAAGGCATCACTCCTAGCGAAGAAAGACTCCTCGACCTCCGATCCACCGACCAAGAATGTCACCGACGATTCCGAATACGAGTCTGATGCCGAAAGCGACGACGCGGACGAGAAACCCGCACCGACCACCCGGAAGAGCAAGAAGAAGCAAGCCAACGAGGACAAGAAGAGAACCAAGGATAAGCAACGCAAGAAACTCAACAAAGAAGAGCGCAAAGAAGTCAAGAAGGATAGGCGGAAGAAGAAGGGCGACATGCGCAAAGCGAAGAATCTCAAATGAGGTAGCCTCTGGATCTTCAACAGTGCACATGGCTTAGCATTGTGGTCGGCTGGTCCGCTCTGCATGGCTAAGCACTACTCCACTTATCAATCACAACTAGCACTTTTGATCGTTGGCCGAGTCGCATTCGGGTCTGTTTCTAGGGTGTCATATATCCCACTACGAAGGGAGCCCTCAAGGCCTATAGCATGGGTCAACTAGGAGGACTCGACGGAGACTATCGTTCAGACCGGCTCCTGACCAAACCATGTGATGCGCAAGGCTTGTCGGGTATCCGTTCCTGAGTATTGTGCGGGCCGGCAGCTGTACCTCCTACAGCGCGACAGTGGAATCGGCGCGACGCTTGGACTCTTCCACCACTTACTGCAATGTTCCATCACAGCCGAACAGTGGCAACATGGGATGTTGATCTGGTTACACACACATGCTCAGCCGTGTGGATCATGGACATGTTTGGCGGTGACTCATGAGGGAACATCGGCCGGAGATAAGGGGTGTTCGATGAATGGATAACTCCGTATATAGGCCGCGATCAAGGAATTTCAGTCGAAGGTTTCCGTCCAACTGCTGTAAAGTTTCCCAATAACTGTGCAATCGATGGAGCCTTAATGCAATAGTTATTCGGATTCTGCTGTCCACAGGTATCAATTCAGTGTAAACCGATAATCACATGATAAATCTTAGGTTCAATCATGGATTCAACTTGCAAATGTACAGTAGGTACCTGAAGTGGCCGAGGAACTCAACCAATCAACGACAAGTTCCGATTTGCCGGACCGGAAGCTGACATAAGCCAAGGCAACACCAATCAGCAGTGGCGAAATAGGCACAGCATCGGAGGTTTGGAACTTTCTCCGCCCGACGGGGATTCGAGCTTGTTCTTTTTCCATAAAGACAATCTTTCCCCCCCCCCATCGATCTTTTGCCATCCAGACCACCACTTCCTTCTCAACACCAACCTCAACTCCCTACTATCATCCCACCCATTCACCTACCAACACAGTCCAAAATGCCTCGTCAACGCCGTGGTGCCGCTCCCACCCCCGCGCGCAGCGCTCCCACCAGACCTACTGCCGCACCCGCCAGACCGGCCGCTCCTGTCCAGCAGCAGCACAGCCAGCCTCACTCGACCTCCGCGCACCCTCCCGCCGCTGCTCCTGCCGCTGCTCCCCCGGCCCCGATGGCTGCTCCTGTCCAGAGCTCCGGCCCCGGTCTCTTCGGCCAGATGGCTTCCACTGCTGCGTAAGTAGGCCCGGGCGGTTGCCGTGTTGTCCCCTTCCGCCTTGAACCAAAGACCACCCGCATCGCCCGGTGGTCCCCTTCCAAAAACCCTTATAACATAACTAACCGACCAAAAAACAGTGGTGTAGCAGTCGGATCCTCCATCGGCCACGCCATCGGCGGGTTCTTCAGCGGCGGCGGCTCCAGCGCTCCCGCCGAGGCCGCTGAGGCCGCTGCTCCCCCGGCCGCGCCCCAGGCCATGGACAACGCCCTCTGGGCCGGCAACGCCACCAACAGCTCCTGGGAGAACCCGGCCTGCGCCACCGACGTGCAGAACTTCCGTCGCTGCATGGACGAGAACCAGGGCAACATGTCCATTTGCGGATGGTATCTGGATCAGCTGGTTCGTTATTTCCCCGTTTTCAAATTGCCCTTTGTGACAGAAAGGTATGCGGGTAGTATGTGTGGGAGAGATTGCTAATTTTCTACATACAGAAAGCCTGCCAGGCTGCTGCCAAGCAGTACTAGATCTATTGAAAGAAAACGGTCAAATATAAATCCATATCTCCGTTTGGATTTGAATTTCTTTTGACATAAGAGATCGATCTATGCTGCATTTTTCTTTTCCTTTTTTTTCGAATTGCATGATGCAAAATCATCACATATCATACCCCCCCCCTCTAACATCTCCGACAACGGGTCTCTCTTCCAGCCTTTTTTTCTCCCGAGTGCTGGTGTTGGGGAATGTACTTTTCTGTCTAGTTATGTTTTCGTTGCCTTGTGGAATGGGATGGAATTAACCTCAAGTCCCTGTGTCGTCTGAGGCAGGGCTTGTGCTGATAAATGGTTGAGATACATCATTGCTTGTTTCCCCTTCTTTTCTGCATGGCGACGAAGATTGGCTACCATCATCATCATCAGCAGCAGCATCATGACTGCCACTACTACTATTACCCTTGTATATCTAGACTAACCATCACGAAAGCCGATAGGCACGAAAAACGAAAACGAGACAAAAAGAAAGAAACATTTCCACTCTTCATAGACATACTCCCGGTAGTCTCGTAGCCTCGTGTTTCCCAGATCCCGGTAAAATAGGTAGTGCTATCGCTATACTACATACATCTGAAGAAAGTGATCCAATCTCTCGACGACTGAGCTCAAATTACAGTACACAAAACCTTCATCGGCGGTCCGTATCATCCCTGCGTGGTTGGAAGTTCAACTACGGCTCGCTGTTAGCAATGGCACGGACGTAGTTCACAATGAGATCAATGAAGGCGGTTGCTTACCTGGTTCCCGTTATAGAATTGATTATTCTCCTGCTCATCACGTTGATCTCTCAGCGTCCGAATAATCGGGCCTCGGTTCGAGGTGCCAGCAGGCCGAGCCCTTCGGTCCGCATCACTCGTCGAGGAGGTACTGGTAGAGGGTGATCCCGTCTGAGCAGAGTTCGGATTCTGAGCCGTCGATCCGTACCCCAAGAATGAGCCGACTAATCCTGTGGCGGTGCCTACCGCGGAGTTGAAGAGCCCGTACGCGGAGGACACGGCGCGAATGGGAAGGCTGGATCCTGCTGCGGAGTAAGCGTCTGTGTATGTGCTGATGGGCACCATGACAAGATTCGCGGATGAGCCGAGACCGAGCTCTGCCAGGCTTTGCTCTTCCTCGGCGATCGTCAGGGTGCGGTTAGAGAGAGGAGTGAGAATGTGCTTGAGGTTGTAGGGACGCTTCTCCTCTAGCATTTGCGTGTCAAGCCAGGGGCGGACATCTGCGCGGATGGTTTGCGACGGGGAGAAGCTGGAGCGGACGGAGCTTCCGTCAAAGAGGCGGACTTGGAGACGGTATTGTCTCGGGGGCGAGGGAGGTTGGTGGACTTGCGGTGCTTCAGTCTGAGGGGATGGGGGCGTAGGTTTGGGAGTCGAGGCGACGGGCTTCGATAGGGTTTTGCGGGGTGGCTGTTCTGGAGTGATGGCCTTGTTGGCTTGCTTGGGCGCTAGGGTGGACTTCTTCTGTGTCGCGGCTGGGGTCGTGACTTGGGATATTCGCGCATCCTCCACTCTCTTCTTGCCCTCGCGCCTACTCGAGTCGCGTGTCTCACTCGCACCAGATGCTGGAGTCAATGAAGTGGCAGTCACAGGTGCAGCTGCAGGCGCAGCAGCTGGCGGCGCAACAGCTGTGGACACAGGCACGGTAGGCGGACTCGCAGTACCCTCCTTAGGATCCCCAGACGCCCCAGTCGAGTCCGGTTGAGCAGTGGCTTGAGTTTCATTCAGCTTGGCAGCAAGACGACTGCGGAAGTCCTCCTCGGATATCTCCGGCACGAGATAGTCGCACAGCATGCCATTCCTGCAAGACCGTCAATAAAACTGACAACAAACACGAGTACTAAATACACCCGCACGTACTTGATGACAACGACCGTCGGAAACTTGACAATGGGGCAGAAAGAGGTCAGAAAGCCCGCTTCCTGACTATCTTTGGTGAGGCGCAAGAGGACAGCTCTCGTCTCGAGTAACCGGGTGAACTAAGCCGTGAGCGGGGAGTGCGATATAGATCCGATGGAGCAGCTACTGTTTACCTCCTCATCCCCTGTGAAGTAGTTGTCCTCCCATGTACTGCTCGTCTGCTCATCATCTAGATCCGACGTCAGCTCCGAATTTTCGAGTACGTACGGAGCAGTTGGAGGGGCGGTGCCAGCAATGCGGAGAAGGGACAGCTCTCCAAACAATGAAAGCAAAGTAACGAACCTCGAACGAAACAAACAACGGCCTTAGCCTGGCTGACAGCGGAGACTATGCCCTCCTGTAGACTCCCCGAGTAGAACATGATTCCAGGAAGAGATACGAATAGTGGTCAAGTCAAAGAGAAGGGAATCGAAATCACAAGCAAGCATGCAATGGGTGGAGAGGTGGAGAGGTTCGGAGCGCGGAGGAGATGACAATCGATAAGGCAAGGCGGGAAGCGGACAGGGAGTCGACTGGCTCTCCACTCCACTCGCTCACTCGCTCACTCACTCATTTACTTTTCCTCTCTCCGCACCGCACCTCTCCTCCCCACTCCCACCCCCCAACCCTCGAACCCATTCAATTGTGTCACGAGAGGTCACGAGAGGGGACATCCATATACTCATCAACATGCGATTCCTCATCTCAGCCCTCCACCGGACCGCCGCATCCTTGCGACCCGCCTCACGAACCGCAACAACAACCGCCTCAACCTCCTCCTCCTCCCTCCGTCGCACCCCCCGAACGAACGTCATCTTCTTCCAGCCCAAACCCCTTAACTCAATCTGCACCAGATGTCGCATACAGCAACAAACCCGATCCTACAGCAATCAATTAGCCGACGATCCCGCCTGGCTGTCCGTCGTCGATAATCCCGCGAAGATCGTCCGGACCGGAAACAAGCATGGGCCCGGGTTGATTATCCTAGGTATGTCTCTATCTTCTACTTTCTCCCCGGGGGGGATTCTTCTCCTACACCATTCTATAAATCATCAACGACTAACCAAAAAAAAATAGCCCTAATCCCCATCATCTCCTTCGGCCTGGGAACCTGGCAAATCTACCGCCTGGACCGGAAGACCAAGATGATCGCCACGTTCGAAGACCGCCTCGTGAAAGACCCGCTGCCGCTGCCGCCGCGGATCGACCCGGCCGCGATCTCCGAGTTCGACTACCGCCGCGTCTACACGGTGGGCCGCTTCCGGCACGACCAGGAGATGCTGGTGGGGCCGCGGATGCACGACGGCACGGACGGGTTCTTCGTGGTGACGCCGCTGGAGCGCGGCGAGGGCCAGTCGACCATCCTCGTGAACCGGGGGTGGATCTCGCGGAAGCAGAAAGACCAGAAGGTGCGGGATCAGGAGGGGGCGCTGCCGCGCGGTGAGGTCGTGGTGGAAGGGTTGCTGCGCGAGCCGTGGAAGAAGAACATGTTCACGCCGGAGAATGTGCCCCAGGAGGGCAAGTTTTACTTTCCTGATATTCAGCAGATGGCGGAGTTGACGGGTAGTCAGCCCGTTTGGATTGAGCAGACTATGGGTATGTTTTTTGACTTTCTACGTGTTTTATGTGCAAGTGGAGAGAAAAGGAAGCCCAGAGCTAACGTTGGTTTTTTCTCGTTCAAATTATAGTGCCGGATCTGGTTGAGTCCTATAATCGGGAGGCTAAGGGTATTCCTATCGGTCGTGCCGCCGAGGTTAACTTGCGCAATAACCACAGCCAGTATATCTTCACATGGTGAGTTTTGTCCAGCTCTCGCAATGCCAGGGCATCATTACCCCCGAAGAATCCCTGCTCATGCACTCTAAAGGTACGGCTTGTCGCTGGCAACGACCATCATGTTCTGGATGATCGTTCGCAAAAGACCGAACGAGGCCACTCGTCGTGTCCGGTTGAATCGTAACTGGTAGGTCTGTTCCGGGAGTCGACCTGCACCTCCCAGAAACATGTCGCGTGGGGCTTGTATGTTAAGAAAGATTTATGTATATGTACCGACCATTCATGGTGGCATCGCCAATCTCATATCCTGCAACAGCTCTTTCGGGAGATGCTTTTGTGCAAGAGAGAAGACAGTAGTGGCATTGCTCAGATGCCGTTGTCTAGTTCAAGGAATTAGTACCCGTCGTAATAATAGCGGATTTGGGGTACTCACCGCCTCATTAAAGTTGTGACGTCGCTCTCATCGATCGTCTTGCGCCCAGCATGCTTGGCATATGCTGCCAGATCGTCACTTGCCTGTTCAAAGAACCACGACGAGGCCTGTTCAATCGCCGCCAGCGTCTCCTTGCTGATTTTCGCTTTGGACCCGTTTCGTGCCCGCGCAAAGCGCATGGCCAACTTCTTCACCACACCAACGGGTAGATTAGGAACCGGGATGCCGTGACGGGAGAGCTTCTTTTGCTTGACGCCAGGAGTATACTGATCTTCCTCCCGCAGACCTCCACCGACAATACCAGGACTTCGGCTCTCGCTCATTGCGACGGATTCCCGGGCCGGGAATTCCATGCCAAAGTCTCCGCCTGCATTAGACACACTACTGACATCATCGTCATCGCCAGGCCCAACGTCCATATCGAGAGGCATATCCACTGGTGGAAGCTCAAATCCCTCATCATCGTGCATCGGTGCGTTCTGGTCCAAATCGCCGACTCCCGGGGCTGGCGGCGATGGAAAATTGAACTCGAAGTTGAATCGGCCCAAGTCCTCGGTGTCTCCCCTGCGTGAGACATGTCAGCTATGTAAAATGATGCTCCGCATGAAATAGGCTTGACCCACCCTCGATCAAAAGCCCCTTGGCTATCAATGGTCTCGTCTGCTTCGTCTCCGGCATCGTCGCCATGCACAAGCCCCGTATCACCCTCGTCATCCTCATCGTCACTATCCAACCGAGTCGCATCGCCGAAATTCTCACTCAACCGCGGGCCCATCATTGACAGTCTGCCCCTTTCTAATTCGTTTGCAGCTCGCCTCGGGTATTCAACCGTGATATCATCTTCCTCGATCGCCAGGGATAGCCTCGGAGGACGCATCTCCGGTTCCTCATCGACCTCGTCAACTTCCTCTAACGGCAGGGATAGCCGGGGTCGTTCCAGCTCGGGTTCGTTGTCAAGGATCTCAAACTCGTCCTTCTCAGGCTCGACCGGCTCTGGAGCCACGGGCTCCGGTTTCTCACTGGGTGACGAACGAATTGGTTGGGTAGTCGGGGCAAGTGCTGCTTCAGGTCAGCCGGCTTTGTCCCAAAAGGTTTCGCGCATTCGTGAGTAAGTTCTTTAGAGGATGGAAATAGCATCGCAATGTGAAAGAGGGGACCGCACCCTTTCCCAGGTTCCGAAGGATGTCGAATGTTGTTTCACGTTGGATTCGTCCGCTCTTCCTGCGATCCCGGCCAGGGGTATTCGCATTCCGTCGCTGAATTGCGTTGAGTCTGAATGGGGTGGCAGGCGCACCGGCGCCTCTGTTACGCGGTGTATATCTGTTGGCGGAGGGAGTGATAGTTGGCATCGCGTGTCGGCTGGGAGTGAGGGGGTTTCTGGTTGAGATTGGAAGACGCGAAAGCTGTGTATATAGTACGAATGGTAAGCATATATACTCATTCGGTAATATGAAGAGGCCGTACCCGAGTGAGTGTGGTGTCCCCAATTGGGGAGAAGGATTCCGAGACCTCGGACAGTCGCGGTGACCGGCGCCGGGGGTTGGGAGTAGTTGACATTGTTGCGGAGGATTGCCACTTAAGATATGGGAGATTTCAGGCCCTGGCAAGAGGCACAGTAGCAGCGTCTTCTCGGAGAGATCTAGCAGTAAGAAATGACCATTGCGACCTGTGCTCGACTGAAACAACGCCTGGTAGCAGACGAGAGGGAAAAGCGCGTCGTTGAAGCAAATGCGGATGGGGTGAACCCGTGCCACGGATGTGACGACGCCCGCGCCCCGGCAGAAGATACTCTCGAATCAGAAGGCGGTCAAGCGAGCATGGTGGGTCCGTCCGGACTTGATTGGCGGAACCCGTTTATCTTATCGATAAGACAGCGCTGACTCAGCATAAAAAGTTGGCGCAAGAGACAATCGCGATCGAGTTCAATACGCAATCCTGCCATTGAAGGCTTTCCTCTGCAGTGAAAAAAGTTTTAATTTCCAGACCAGAATCATGTCCGACGGAAACCCAAAGCCTTCCGGCCTGGCCGCCAAGGTGGACAAAAAGCGCAAGAGACAGGCCGAGGAATCCAACTCCAAGACGGAGCAGCAGACCAAGTCGACTGGCAACAGTGCGTCGGATGGACCGAAGAACAAAAAGAGAAAGGATAGCAACAACAACAAGGGCAAGTTCGACAAGAAGAAGGGTGGAAATAAGGGCAAGGACAACAGGGACAAGCCGAAGCAGCCCAAGGAGCCCCAGGAGACCAAAGCAACAGAGGTCAAAGGCAGCATCGATGAAGCGATCGGAAAGATGGACGGTCGATTGTTGGCCGATCACTTCGCCCAGAAGGTTCGCCGGCATAACAAGGAGATCACTGCTGTTGAGCTGAGTGATCTGTCTGTACCTGGTATGAGGCTTTCCCAGCCCTATACAGTGTATAGGGCCATCCCATATACTAACATTATAAGACTCCGCTTTCCTCGATACCTCGTCCTTCGAATCTCCCCGCAACCTCGAAAACCTCCCCGCTTTCCTGAAAGCCTTCAGCCCCGAGAAGGGTGCGCACCTGGCTAAATCGTCTGAGGAGAAGGGAACCCCCCATACGCTGGTGATCGCCGGTGCTGGTCTCCGCGCCGCCGATGTCGTCCGGGCCCTCCGCTCATTCCAGAACAAGGAATCCATCGTGGGCAAGTTGTTCGCTAAGCACATTAAGCTGGAAGAAGCCAAGCAGTTCTTGGAGCGCGCACGGTATGTGACTCTTCCGGGCTTACTATCTTACAACACACAGACCGACTAATTCCACTGATAGTATGGGCATTGGTGCCGGTACCCCAGCCCGCATCTCGGACTTGATCGATTCAGGTATGACCTCATCATGTGCGCTATTTTAAAGTCGGTACATTTCTAATTCATTCTAGGGTCCCTCAAACTCGGTGAACTGGAGCGCATTGTCATCGACGGCTCTTACGTTGACCAGAAGCAGCGCGGCATCTTCGATATGAAGGAGACGCATCTCCCCTTGCTGCAGCTGCTCACGCGGCCTGAGTTCAAGGATCGTTACGGTGCAAAAGTCAAGGGAATCAAAATCATGGTATTTTAGAAAAAGCGATTGTACATATATGAAGGTGTTGGCGTTTGTCATATGGTCTAAGCATATCTTCTTCCCTGGATAATATATATTATATTCTAGCTGCTGCATTGCCGACCGTGCAAATTCTGTCCTGGTTGACTGCGACTCTACAATCAGTATATGAGAGACAGATCAAGCAAGAACTGGTATATATAAACGGGTAGAGATAGTGTAAATATATATGGAAGATGGCCTCAACAGACAGGTCATCAATCTACCAAATTGGCCTCCGCAAACTTCCGCATCATACATTCCAGCGCGTCGGCCACCTCCTCACCTTCATGCTGTGCTGTCAGGCAGTCAATGCCAACGGTCATTTCTTCGGAGGTAACAGCCTCCAAGCGGGGACAAGTCCTCTTTACGCAGCTGAGGAACGTAGTCCATGAAGCGGACGTGATAATAGAGCACCCGGAGAAGGTCAGCGACAGTAACTGACCACCGATCAACTGCAGCCACTCTTGAATGTCCTCTAGAGCGACGCCAGAACGATGGATCTCAAGATGTTTGATCTCCGCCAGAGGTTTGACGTTCTTGAGCAGCGAGACCAGATCTCTGGACTGGCCGCTGATGGCATCACCAATGATGATCAGTCTCTCGAGCCGAGGCGCGGTTTGCATGATCTGGGGCAGAGTCCTGTAGAGGTAATTAGCGAGGTGAAAGAAGTAGGGCTGCGTAACCTGCAAGGTAGCGAGCTCTGTCCAGGCGCGGGCAAGGTTTGGCTGCTTGTGCATTCGGGTGTATGGGCGGGCTCTTTTGGGCCTCTGGAACTCAGTATACCGGTGAGTATACAATGCCAGATTTTCCACAGGGAGCTCAGCCTCGACGAAAATGTGAAAAAGGATGTTAAGAACGTCGTCGCTGTCTAGGTACGTGAGGTTACCTTCATTCCAGCTGAGGCAGAGTTCAAAGCTTCTGCAGTTCTTAAGCGAGTGCACGAGGTCATCCTTGAGGGTCTTGATCTTTGGAACCGAGGTAGGATCCTTGATCAGGTCATACATAGTCACTCTGTGAAGGGGGGTTAGAGGACCGAAGGGTGGCTCAATCCTCATTATTTTAACGTAGTTTTTCAATTCGTCGCACTCCGCAATTCGATGAATCCGAGAGAGACTTTGGTTGGAAAAATTCGTGCGAATAACGCGTAGTGAACGATTCCATACGGGCTCCAGAGCCTTGGTTGTCAACGTCCTCATATCTTTCGAAACAGCACGGAGAGAGAGCAAGTCCCTCGGACTCAGATAATCAGCCATCATGCAGATTAGTTCCGGAGGCAAAGATGTGACATCAGACATTACTATAATCAAAAAAGAAGAGAACAGTGAAGGTGGTGTTTGCGACGAAGCGAAGCTTGTAAATGCAGATGTATTAGACCTGACAAGCATTTTATATGGGTCTTCTCCAAAACGAAACAGAAATGCATTGTAGCAACAAAGGGTATTGTGTGTCGGTGAGAACAAGGAATAAGACAACGATGTCCTTGGTCATCAAAGGAATTCTGGGTTTCTCTGTCCGCAATGCATATGAAGAATGCCTGTCATTCTTTTTAATACCAACAGACTTCAATTGTTACTCTTGACCACCTTGTTTGAACGGTGAGATTGAAAGAGTGTAGCATTGGGAAGGCTGCTTTCACCATAAAGTCTGGCTGGAATCATTCATAGAGCACCCAATAGACACACTAGAGTGTGGTCTTCGACGTGCTGGTTTTGGCATCTGTAAATGGGGTCCTCACTGTCTTCGGGCAAGTTTCGATCTCAAGGACGATGGCATGTCTTAAAGCTGATATGCTGTTCGTTTCCGCAATTTCAGAAGTCCTATCTCAGGAGTCTCATCTCAAGCATAGCACTATTGTTCAAGGGTTAAATTGTTTGGAAGCATGCTGACGTTGTTCCAGCTCCGAGTTTCAGTCTCATCCAATCTTTCATCTCCTAGTAGTAGCTTCAAGCTGTGAACTGATGAGATTGAACCTGCAGAGAAGCGACAGCGGCTAGGGATCTATACGCAGCATAAACAATGCAAGCAGAATGCCCCGAGTGAGTAAGATCATGATCGAGTTCGCAGGTTGTTGGCCAACTACCAGATGGAAGCAGCGACTGCATCAGAGAAGATCTACATTGGTGTTAATTAAGACAAAGTGCTTGACTAACGAATGTTGGTATGCAGAAGCTAGGACTTGGCCTTATCGTTGGCGCAGAGTTATGTGTCGTCTCTGAGAAGAAAGACAAAGCAGTCTATCACTTACTCATAGTTCAATTTGACCGAAGCGGAGGAAGTATGGTTCGACCTGGACACCTCAGGCATTACTTGCACATCTACCGCTCCACTTGATCTACCGCTATCTATCTCCGCCCGGCAGAAAAAGGAAATTTCCGAGATTTTTGGCTATCTTCGGGATCAGTTCCATTCCGGTTGAAACCATTGTCCACTACAAATTTGTTTTTCTTTGGTTCAAGATCCTCCCATTTCCTCTCAAATCAACATGAGCGACAAGAAGCGCAAGCTCACCGAGGAGGCTGTGAAGCCCGAGGGCAAGAAGGCCAAGCGCGACGAGAAGAAGGAGAAAAAGGAGAAGCGCAAGGCCAAGGATGTCGTTGAGGAAGTCAAAATTGAAGAGGCTGCTGCTGTAGAGAACAAGGACAAGAAAGAGAAGAAGGAGAAGAAGGAGAAGAAGGAAAAGAAGGAGAAAAAGGAAAAGAAGGAAAAGAAAGAAAAGCCCAATGCCGATGCGGAGGCCGCCGAAAACAACGAGGTAGAAAAGGAAGCACCCGAGGCTATGGATGTGGATGTCCAGGAACCCCAGGCGGAGGAGAAGAAGAAGGAGAAGAAGAAGAAGGAAAAAAAAGACAAGAAGGCTAAGAAGGCTAAGGAGGAGGACACGAATGTTCAAACAGATACCCCGTCCGCTGAGGCCCCAGCGGAGGAGTCCGCCCAGGGAGAGGAATCGAGCCAGAAGGGAAATAGGTTCATTTGCTTCGTTGGTATGCTTGAGACCAAGATGGCTGCTGGCGACGTGAGCTCATACATTTGTGACAGGCAACCTCCCCTACTCCGCTAACCGCGAATCCTTGACCGCGCATTTCGAGAAGATTTCGCCGGTATCCGTCCGCGTCGCAACTGAAAAGGACAAGCCGACCAAGTGCCGTGGTTTCGGGTTCATCGAGTTCGACAATTACGATCGCATGAAGACCTGCCTTAAGCTTTACCACCACTCTATGTTTGATGACAAGAAGTACCCGCCCCGGCGGATCAATGTGGAGCTGACGTAAGTGCCCATAAGACACTGGACACCGTTAGGATGCGATAAAGTGCTGACTTACTGCAGCGCCGGCGGTGGCGGCAAATCGGAATACCGGAAATCGAAGATCGAGGCAAAGAACAAGAAGCTTTTCGAAGAGAGACAGCGGAATGCCAAGGAGATCACTAAGGAGAAGGAGCGCAGAGCCCACGCCGAGGAGACCGGTGAAGATGCCTTTGCGGGCGTCCACCCCAGTCGCAGAAACCGTATGGCTTAAGATCCACCTCTCGCGGGGTAGCGATCATAAGTTGATCAGTCTGAGCCAATCCCTGAAAAGAAATCCTGTGTTTTTTGTGCTCGCTTGAAAGATATCCTTCTGTTCTCTGTTTCTTATGTGCATACTTGGAAAGTGTCAAGCAGGATACTAGACTTGAAGAGACCAATTTTGTATATGACACGGCTCTGGCTTGACTATCAAACTATCTCTCGCATTGCAAACAAATTCAAACTCGTACGCTCACCCATGGCTTTCAATATTCGACAGTGAGGAAAAGGGAAGACGCTGAAGGCTGTGGTCCAACTCAGAAAAGACGCTCGTAGAGTGGTATTGTAATGGCATGTTACATCTTTATACTGCATTAGGACGGGAGGGAAAGAAGACACAGGGGGCGAGGTTATCCTGAACCTGGATGGAATGGAGAAAAGAAAACTTCAGGATCATGGCACCAAAACAAGGAACGGGAGGGAGGACAACCAGCCAAAACCAGCAAAATGCGGGGCGTTACAGCCAAAACCCAGACGCCGAATTAGTTATTTATATTATAGGTCGGAAGATGCAGTGAGGGGGAGACGATCTACAGAATGACACATTTCTTGTTCTTCGGTTTCGCCGTAGGCCGGGGGTTGAGGACAGCACTGAGGGCAACTGGTTAGAGCTCGAGACGCTAGCGCGGGGCAGTTTGCGAACAAGAACAACATACCGAATGGCCTCGTCGAATACACTTTTCAGGTTACGCTGTGTGAGAGCGGAGCACTCCAGGTACTTGTGTGCTCGGATTTCCTTGGCCACGGCCAGAGCCTGTTCGTAGGAAACGGGCTCCATCTTCCTCTGGCGCAAAGTTTCTAGAGTGGCCCGATCGTCCCTCAGATCGAGCTTGGTACCGACGAGAATGATAGGTACGTTGGGAGCATGATGTTCGATTTCGGGGAACCACTGCAGGAGTATCAGTCCAGATGTTCGGCATGCGACTTGGGGCAGGCGAGCATGGCCTCTCAGGGGTAAAGTACCTTGGCTCTCACGTTATCAAACGAGGGAGGGCTAACAATGGAGAAACAGATCAGGAAAACATCGGTTTGCGGGTAGGACAACGGGCGAAGACGATCGTAATCTTCCTGTCCAGCAGTATCCCAAAGTCCTAAGCTGATCGGTCTGCCATCTACCATTACACTGGCAGTATAGTTGTCGAATCTGTGGGCCGGGTTAATAGGGTATTCCTATCAGACGAGAGCCTCCAAAAGAGCGGGATCACGGACACGGTGGGTATATATTCACCGGGGAAGGCGTTGGTTGTGTACGAAATCAGGAGACATGTCTGGCGGCTGCGTCAGCAATGGATGGCCAGCAGAAGTTACCCAGCAGAAATGGGAACTGAGAAAAAACCACGTACTTTTCCAACAGCACCGTCACCTGTTACCACACACTGTAATCCAGCACTCAATGATTAGCTGCGGCTCGATTGAGCAACATGGTGGATGTCGCTGGCAGGAGCTGACCTTCAGGGATTGAGTCGCAGGTCCTGTCGCCATCTTCGCTTTATGATTCTAGAGGGTATATGAACACAAATGATAAACACGGTTGCGACGGTCACGACAGACGAGAGTAATGGCGAGTTCGACTCCACGGAAGCTCGAGGATTCAAAGGGGTCAACGGGGGGAGTGGGTTGCGTCGTGGCTTAACGGGCGGGCGTGTAACCAAGCAGCGCGGGTATCTGCTGAAGACCGAAAGGCAAGTCGAACCGGTCAGGGAGGATTCGCAATGCACAACGGAGATAACGGCGACACAACACCCAAGACACAAATACGCGGCCAAAGGTACGAGACAGGAAATTAAGCAAGTCAAGTCAGAGGAAAAATGGCAGGCAAATAAAAGAAAAAGGAAAAGATCCAAATGGAAGGATGAAAATAGAAAGACTAGGAAAGAAGATTGCAAAACAGGTGTGGTGGTGGAGGCGGAGGGAGGGAGGTGGAGAGGAGGTGAATGAAATAAAGAGAGGTGTGAATCAGCGGGTGAGAAATGTAAAGTAAGAGTGAGGGAGTCGATTGAGGAGGGGAGAGAGGAGGGGGGGGGGATTGATCGATCAATCAATTCGGATTTGGTTTAGTGGATGAAGTGGATAATAGGAATGGGGGGGAGGAAGACCAAGTGTAGGAAAGGGACCTTCAAGGAAGAGGGGAAACAAGAACAGCAACTGATAGATAGCACAATACTGTGATCAAAGGTAAAGTAAGTGGAAGAGAGAGAGAGAGAGAGAGAGAGAGAGAGAGAAGAGAGATACTCACGTCAGGGGTGAGGCAGAACTTTCGACAGACGGGTGAATACACTAAATACTCCTTGAACAATATGAACAATGAGGCTATTGATCAATAGATGCTTAGATGCTTTGATGCTCTGATGCTTGATGCTTGGATGTTTGGTGCTTGATCTAATTGTCCCCCACGAGAATCGAGATAAGAGAGAGAATAAGAGAAGAAAGAAGAACAACCAGCCAGCCAGCCAGCCAGCCAGCCATGGGTAGGCGACGACTGACTAGTCAAATTAACTAGTTGGTTGGGATTGATCCAATCCATCCTACAACTGGAATCATCATGAAGGTGGAATTGGATGAGATACTCGCGATGGCTGGGAAGTCAGCACCAATCATAAGCGTGTATCCAATATCAGCCTCTTCTCTTGTCGAGAGCCATGATTTTCTCCTCCGTCAGAATGCGCAGTCTCTGGAATTGAATGGATGGTCCCGTTGGGATCCAAGGGACGGCGCTTGCACCCTTGTGCCGGTTCAGGGGTCTGTCTCTTCCCAGCTGTCAAACACACCCTTCCGCCGGCGTTGCTATTACTACCTGATCGATCTTCGATTTTGTTGTACCCGACCATACATCGTACGCAGTAACGGTAGTACCCTTGACACTATGACTGGTTATATCGACATGGCTCACGGACCACAAGCCAAGAAACACCTCCCGATGTCTGGTCCATGAATAAGAAATGAACAACTAAAAGTCCTTGACTATACATCATCACCTAGTTCGGTCCTCCTGCAGCACCCAGGCGCAGACCGCCATCCTTCCGTCTAATATTAGATCATTAAGCATCGGCTCTGGATATGTACGCTGTAATGACGGGGATAGCTCGATTGGCGTTCCGATCGAATGCCGACTCGAAGTACGGAGTACGGAGTACAGAGGACGACGTTATGTAGCTAAGCTCCTTGTCTGCAAGCGTCTACATACATGTGAACCTATCTATGCCTTACCTACTACGGGGTAATCTGTTCCTCAGCTGTACCTTAAACTGCTTACTGCTTATAGTTACTCTTCACTTGCCAGAAGTAGACTACAGTAGTCATGTACCAACCTCTAGATTTTCCCTCGCATCGTTAGCTCGCCTACACCAGACCTAACCAGTTAGTAGCCACCATCCGATTCGGTACTATTGATGTGGAGTGCAGAGTGAGGTCATGTTGATTAACCTAACTTACACAGCTCAGATTTACTGAATAATACTTCTTTAATGTACAAAGATTCTCATGATTGGGATCCATCCCATCCCATCCCATCCATCTACAGCCGGGAAACCTTGGTTGACTCGGGCAATGGACCAGCACCCCGCTGGATCTCAAGAGGCTTGGCCATCAAACCCCCGGCCTTGGCCATGAACGCCTGATAATAGGGCGTTTGACTGTGCTTCACTAGGGCTTCTTGGGTACGGTATCTGCGATATGATAGTCTTAGTTCCAGGTTCCTATCACAGAGGAGCAAGTGGGGCAATGGGACAGGAGAAAGAGCTACCTCTCGACGACCACAATTGCATTTCGATCTTGATTGACAAAGGCATAGTAGAACAGCGTGTCGGGCTCGTTGGCCTGCACTTGGCGTGAAAGCTCGCTCCAAAGGGTTGCAACCTTGTGTCATGTCAGCTGGCGGCCCACCACTTGATCGAAGGCGTGCAGAGATGTGAGAGTGAGTTAGAGAGACGAAGGCCACTTACCTCATCAATCTTGTCGGGTTGAGGATAGGCAAAGACGGTCACATTCACTTCGGTGGAAGCCATTGTAGTGGTAATTCGGTAGCTGTACCGAAATGATATTGACACTGGTGATTCCGAGAGTTGTCTTAATTTTGATTTGATTGTTCAGTATTTCTGGCAAGAAGATACAACTAGCTTATATACACATTGTCGACCCACTGAGGAACCCCAATCTTAAGACAAGAGCATTCAGATTGATTACAATCTGCCTCGGTACATGGGCCGCATTTGTCATCGCCGTCTCTTTAACTCCGTCCCTAATTGCGATGTTGAGAAATCCTAAATTCAACAGCCTTACTAAGGCCGTCCGTGCCGTTGAAACCTTCTAGAACTGTACGGTGCGCTGAGTGGAACCGGGACAGACTCGGAACATCCTCGGAGCTTCAGTAGCTCAGCATAGTCAAGAGACTTAAAGTTATGAAGAACTTAACTCCATACGGAGTACATAACTCAAGTTACTCACTGAAAGTTGAGTTTCAGTGTGTCCAGGACTGACTGTAAGGAGGAACGTGCCTGGCAGAAGAAAAGCACCGGCCACCCGCACTAAGCCCCTTCCGGGATCCCAGCCCACTACCTTACTAGGTAGCAAGTAGCAAGCCACACTGGCTCAGCCTCCCCCACCCGCCGCCTTGCCCGATCGGGCCATGATGATGCCTGAGTGCTATGTGTGACTTGCTCCTGATAATTAGTTAGGCTTCCGCAAATCATCCTCCGAACTTCATACATACCGACATACATACCTACATACATCTTTCTTGCATTGCTGCCTCAATGCGACTTCATTTCCCCAACTTGTAATCACCCACCGCATCCTATCTCATGGCTGACGTTTCTGGACCTCACAGCGCCGGGCTCGACCCCGATGCGCCGCCATCCAGTGCTGGCTCTGCCGGCCACTCCGCAGCTAACGACCTACGTTCGGGTCCGCCCCCGATGACGGAGGAATTGAAGGCTAGAATGGATAAAGTCATTTATTCAGATGTATGGAATCGAAGCCACAACTGTCGCTCTAAGTCTAGTCCTTGTGCTGACCGCGATACCTTCTGTCACATAGATCGGTATCACCACTCTCCTGACTCGGCTCAAGCAAAGTGTCGCCTCCGCCAAGGTTCGCCTCAACCACATCACCACCGTGTGAAATCGCACAAATACGCTAACTAGCCCTGCACTGATCATCAGGACTTCTCCTCCTTCCTAAAAAAACGATCTGGTTTTGAAGAAGAGCATGCGCAAGGCCTGAAAAAGTTGTCCCGCTCGCTCCACGACGCGGCTCATCGCACGGAAAACCGCCAGGGCACTTATGGTAACAGCTACAATGACCTCAATCGCTTTCATGAGCGCATGGCGGATCATGGGCTTCAATTCGCCGTCTCGTTGCAGCAGATGGCCGACGACCTCAATGAGCTAGCAACAAATATTGAACGTGGCCGCAAGCAATGGAAGCAGACTGGCTTGACTGCAGAGAAAAGGGTGCTGGAGGCCGAAGCATCCGCTGAAAAGGCAAAGGCCAAATATGTGTCATTGGCTGAACAGTTGGACCGTGTGAAGACGGGCGACAGACAGGGCGGAAAGTTCGGTCTGAAGGGCCACAAGTCTTCGGCTCAGCACGAGGAGGAGCTGTCGCGCAAAGTACAGAATGCGGATTCGGACTACTCTGCTAAGGTCCAAGCTGCGCAGACGGCTCGACAGGAACTTGTCTCAACCCACCGCCCTACAGCCGTCATGAACATCCAGAAGCTGATTTCGGAATGCGACTCTGGCCTGGCGCTGCAGCTGCAGAAATTTGGTGCGCAACAATATGCTTCCCCCACCCTCACCCTTTGCATGTTATCTGTGCTGACAGTCCGGAAGCCACTTTCAACGAGAAGCTGTTGCTGGGACAAGGATTGTCAATCAGCCCCCTGAAGGATGGCACGGCGAATCCTGCTTTGGCGCCAAAGAGCTTGTACGAAGTTGTGTCGCAAATTGACAACGAGAAGGATTTCCGTGAATACATTCTTAGTCACGAGAACAATCCTGCTGCAGTGACATCGGAACAGATCAGATATCAACGGCATCCGGTTAGCATATCTACCTGAGATCTTGAACCAGTTCAAGCTGACACATTCACAAGACTCTTGGTGGCTCTGGCCCTGTGGCAGCTGTCTCTGCACCCACAACGCAGAATAAAAGACAGTCGACTTTCCTCCCTTCCTCCTTCTCCACACAGACCCTCTCCTCTCCACAAGCATCTACCCAAACGCCAGCGCCAGCGCCCGCACCCGCGCCCGCACCCACAAACGCTCTGGCGCCGGCGCCAGCTACTGAGACATTGCCATACCATCAAAATCCAGATTCGTTCAGATCACCGCCATACCAACCACAGCCACCTTATCCCACAAGCTCCTCTGGCCCTCTGGAGCCGCATCACGCTGCAGGTCAGCCACCTGCGCCGCCAGCTAAAACTCCCCTCCATGCGCACGGCAATGGTTTCCAGCCACACTTACCTCCTCTAAAGCCGGTGTTCGGTGTATCATTGGAGGATCTGTACACACGAGATGGGACAGCGGTGCCCATGATCGTCTACCAATGCTTCCAAGCTATTGAGCTTTTCGGGCTTGATATGGAGGGGATCTATCGTCTATCTGGAAGTGCCACCCATATTAGTCAAATGAAGGCACTATTCGACAATGGTGAGTCTTATAGTCTTTCGATCCGACGAATGTGATCTAACATATGCACGGCAGACTCATCTCAAGTGGACTTCACCAACCCAGAAAACTTCTACCATGACGTCAATAGCGTCGCGGGGTTGTTGAAGCAGTTTTTTAGAGATTTACCTGACCCATTGTTCACATCGCACTATTATACCGACTTCATTCATGCAGCCCGTAAGGAGTCCCTCCCAGAACACAAAACTCAAGACCAACTCTGACCCATGATCTCCAGGTCTTGATGATGACATTGCACGCCGCGACTCCCTGCACGCGCTCGTGAACAACCTGCCTGATGCCCACTATGCTACCTTGCGAGCTCTGATTCTTGTATGCCCACAGCCATTCCTTTTTAAACCCCTAGACACTTCTCCTGACATGTGACAGCATCTCAACAAGGTCCAAGAGCACTACACGCAAAACCGTATGAATGCAGGCAATATCGCCATCTGCTTTGGGTTCGTTCACCACCCATTCTTCCCCCTTTTGTCCCTTGATACTATAAACTGACACCCGCCAACCCAGACCAACTCTCATGGGGGCCAGCTCCAGCGGCAACATCGCCGATGCAGGCTGGCAAGTTCGTGTCATCGAGACTATTCTCGTCAACACGTTCCAGATCTTCGACGACGATTAGATATAATCTTCTGATGGTGCTGCGCGGACATGACTAATGTTTTTTGTCCAAGTCGTCGGCTAGATATGCTAATCCTTGGCTTTTCGCTTCACCTCCCTCTTCTCACGCGGATACCACTGCAATTTATTCCCAGGTTTTTTCAAACTGCTTTTGTTCTCGTCTTTTTCCTGTGTTCAACGAGCTGTTTTCGAAACCCCGTTTGGGTTTCGGTTTTCTGTACGTGTATATATGCCATCGCTACCCCACCTAACACTGGCACCGAGAGTGGAGATTTTGCAGCTCTTCATATGCTAACCATTTCTTCTTGCTCGTAGATGAGCGATGAGCTGAGTAAAGGCCCGCGTCGCTGACTCCGTAATGCGTCCTCTTCTTGAAGGTGTTAAGAGGATGTCTACTTGCGACACGTGAAGTCGTATAGAACATTGAGATTGGATATAGTATATGATACATTGAACAGTGTGGGAGATCGCCCAATACACTGATTAGGAGTATCCAGCGCGTTAGTGACCCGTGGCATGAGTGACCAAAAAGATTCTAGGTAAGACAAGAGGATTGATAGGCGAGCAAGAGAGCAGCCCAAGAACCACAAAGAATAAGAGTATATGATGCAACGATTGGGGAAGAGAGAGAGAGAGCCCGGCTAATAAGACAAGAGACAAAAAAAGGAAGAGACAGCAATAGACACTTTTTCTGCGGGGAGTAGTGGCTCGTGACTATCGTATTGATACACAACTGCATTTTGGAAGACGAGGGAGGAGGGATCCGTAACCAGGTTTTAGTCAGGATTCCACGGCGCCGGTTGCATCTGACTAACTTGATCTCTGGGCTGTGAGGATGGCTGGGAGAGGAGGGTCCCCGTTTCTATGCCTCCCGCTCATGAGGTGTTTTCATGCCATGCCATCATTGCGGAGCTGGTTTTGGTCAGATCACAGCGAGGACGGGAAGGAACGAGGCAACTGAGCAAGTGCTTGTCCAAATTTACCGACCCATTCCCGCCTTCAGAGCCTCCAAGCGCTCGGCGAGGGTCAGACCAGGAGCGAAGAAGGGGCTGGTCAGATCGTCGACTGTGGTCGGAGTGGCGTGACCCCACACGCGCCAGCCGGTATCCTCGCCCGTCCACCGGAGCTTCTGGATGACGATGTATTCTGTGCAGTCCCGCTGCTTTTCATTTGTAGCCACAGCGGTGGAGTCCTGGGCGGCTTGTCCCTTGGCGGGCGCCGTGTACTTGCCGGCGGTCTGCTTGCTGGTGATGCGCACGACGACCTGGCGCACGCCCGAGTTCGGAATCTCGGGAATCTGAGTGGCACGGTCCGACACCACGCGGGCACCGGTCCAGAAGGTGGAGGCGTCGCGGTTGTAGTTGTCCAGGCTCCAGGTGACCTTCTCATTCTTTGGGCGCGCTGCGATGCGTGAGTTGAGCTCCTTGGCTAGACCGGTGCAGCAGATCTTGTTGATGGTGGCAGTGTCGCCCCTGCAGAACAAGGCATGAAGTAAGTATTGAGTTAAGGTTATGGTCTATATAGTTGAGGGGAGTCAGAGGCCGTGGTAAAATGGGGCACTCACGCTGCGAAAGCAGTTAACATGCGCCGGTGGAAGTCCTGGGCGATCTGACGACGCTCCTTCAATTCGAGGGGTAGTCCTTTGTTGAAGTATCGGCTGTAGGCGATGACTCTGTATGACCGAGTTAATTTCCTGGCCCAGCAAGAGCAGAATACAGATTGACAAGACCCAGAACCTACCCAATGAAATTCTGGACGGCGTGCTTCAGCCACAGCCATTCCAGCCGAAGGCGTTCATGGCGCTGATGGATAAAGGACGGCATATCCTTCCACAACGGACGGATGTAGGTGCCGGGCAAAAGGCCGATATCCTGCGGAAGCTCCGATCTCGCCATTTGTCTGGTTCTAGTTCTCGTACTGGGCTGAGGAGGAGGCCTGATTGAAACGGACTCTGACGGGCGCACGCCGCCAGGGCGCTGGATGGACTGCGAAAAGGAACGAGATTGGCATGATGCGACACCGGAGGAGACGAAAGAGGTGCTGCTGGCTCTGACGGCCGCGGACAAGGGCACCTTGGACAACGATGAAGCCATGATGAGCGGAATGGACACACGAAGTGTACCTCTCTCTCTCTCTCTCTGCAACACTTGGGAGGAAGGGTGGATGGGTTGGATGAATTGGACGAATTGGAGTCGAAACGCAAAAGAGAGCCGAATGGGGGAAAATCGAATCCCGCCAAAGTTCCGGGATAGTCACGTGCCCGCCACCGCCGCGGGCTTTTTGCTTTGGCTTTTGGCTGATTTGGCTTCAAGCCTTCGATTTGGATTGCGGGTGCCCCTGTCCAACTGGAAAGACGTCGGTTCCTGCCTAGAATTCTCTTGTCCGGTGGGATCAGCTGGTCTTTGATCTTCGGGCTCGTCAGTTCCCCAGTGATTCAACCACGATCGTCGCCGACGAGTCAATACCATAAACAAGAAGGAAAAGCTCTGGTCCAGGGGGGTTCTTCTCCACCACATTTCAACCATCTACGACTTGGGACACCATAAATCTCCATTTAACTTATCTTCTCGACGTCCCTCTTCTGTTGTGCAACGGCCGCATATGCCGTGATTTCAAGGCTGGCTCCTCCTCGTCGTCGTGATGCTGCATCTGCGCCCATCCCTATTCAACAATTCCGGTCACCAGTTGCGTCTGACCTGATACCTTTGCCCGATCCCTCCGACGAATCGCTCCTCGAATCTACCACCTTCTATAACTCGGTGACGTCCATTCTCTCAAAGCTGGATTCCCGCGACAAAGACGGGGCCCCCGCAGCCGTCGTCCCGCCCTCCTCCCCTCCGGCCCCTCAACCCCCTAGCAGCATTGGCGGCGGCGGCGAGGATGGCAGCGACAGCGACGGCCACTCGGTCCCCTCGTCGGCCCTTCACCCCCGCGTGGCTGTCATCCTAGGCGTGGATCGCAAATGGTACCTGCCTCTGGTGATCTGCCGCGCGCTGAGCACCGTCCCGGCCGCATGGTGGGGTCTGCGATGTGCGTTCACATTCTTGGCCGAGCTGCTGCACATCCAACCCGGAATGGGAGGGGAGGGGTGGGCGGCGGCGATAGTTGGGAGTGTCGGGCAAGACTGGGATGTTGAGCGAAGATTCCGAGTCACCGAAGTGGCTTTGGCGATTATGTGGGTATGTACATGTGTGCAAATCGCTTGTCTTGAATTCTCTCCTTTGATCCATCTCAAGAGAAGCAAAGTGTCTTGGTTTAACTCTCTCACAGTGCTGTGCATCCGCATATCTTTCTTACTTTTTTGCTGATTGTATGATGTCTCGATGGTATGTGTTCTTGCTCCGCAACTTTTGGGATTATTGGCAACAGCTTCGGCGGAAAGTTCGTGGGAACTGACTCTTACATTTTCTGCCTTTCAGGCTTTTGAACTATACCCCGCCAGCTGTTGTTATTCGTCTCCTCACTACGAACGGGTTGATTGCTTATATAACTTCTTGGGTCCTTTATCTTTCCGGGGCTTCTTATGACCCCCGTCTGCTTCTCCCTGCCTGGATCTCCATCACGACGGTAAGTTACCCCCAGCCCAACACCATTGTTTATCCCCGGGATCTTTTTTCAGTCACTAAAACTTGCTATCGTCCCTTACCACAGACCCTCACCTTTCTCTACCACGCCACGCAAAACCATGCCACGATCAAGCGTGAAACGGCGGCGGCGCTGCTCGTCGTCGCGGTCGCCAGCTTCGTGAGCATGTCCTCCTTGCTCCTACAGTTGCACCTCACCCGCGAGAACGAACCCGAGGTGCCCGTCTTCGTCATCACCCGGAAACTCTGGGACTGGGCGGTTCAGATCTTCCTGCGCATGCGTGTTGCGGATAGTCGGGCGTATCGTCCGGGCGAACTGTGAAGACGGACTGACTGTAAGAGTAACCCAGGTAGATAATGATTTCGTATGGGCCATGTCCATTTCGTGGTTTCCTTAAGTCAACTGTTCCCATAGCTAGCTACTACCTCCAATCTACCCCTATTGCTATATTCCAGTGTTCAAGATGCCTTGCCTTAATTTTCTTTAGCTAGTTGTGCATCCAAGTTGATCAAGACTAGCCCAGTATCGGTAGTCTACGTCATTCGAGAATGCGTTGTAACCATGAACAAATATTCATTCTTGGACAATAATACGGAAGTGACAGTCTAGGTCGGCATGTGCAGAAATAAAGACGATCGAATCACAGGAAATGAGAGAGATCAAGAATAACGACTGTTCCTCAATCTCCACCTTCAGACACAACCCTCTTCAAACATAACAGACCTTCAACCGTCCTTTCAGAAGAAAACAAGAAGCTAAGAAAAATATCTATGCAGATAAGGGTATCTACCAACGCCTCGTTCCGTCATTATCCCATTCCAGGTATCGCAGTTGAGTCGGGACGTAAAACAATATCAAACCCACTGCTGCCCCCCTCCTCGGTGCAAGCGCCTAACGAAAGTGCGCCGGAGGAGAGGAGGGGAGTTCAACTTGACAGTATTCTTTTTTGATCAAAGCTTCAGGCCCTGTGTACCAAGCAAAGAGCGACTAAAAAATATTCAAAGGCAACAGTTTAGGCAAGCCGATCGACTCACAATCCTACCTTGCAGGAACGCCGTGGTGCAACTGCAATGATTGGAGGGAAGCGACAGACACAGAGACGATGTTGCTCTTCAAAGCCTTCCAGCACTACTGAGTAGTAACGTGGACCGGAAAAAAAGAAAAGAAGGGGACCGGAACGGGGACGTGACGGGGTGCTTAGAAACCGTGGACCTTGATGGTCTTGGCATCCAGCTCGAGACCTTCCTTCTTGTCGGTCAAGAACTCCTGAACATCTTTACGCTGATCACCCTGGAGCTGAATAACCTCGCCCATCTCGGTGTCGTTCACGATGGTGCCATTGCAGGCTGGATTAATTATTAGTTGGATGCCTAAAATGTCGAGACGTGGCGGGCCTAGTTGAGACGTACCGAACTTCTTCTTGATCACCTTCAAGATCTTCTTCTGGTCAAACTTCTTCGGAAGACCCTGGACCGTAGTCAAGGTCTTACGACCATTGCGCTCTGCAGATCGTTGTTAGCCTCTGGTTTCGTATCGGACGACATAGACGAGATGTCACCACAGCCAACGAGCAGTGGGCAGTGAGACGGCGACAGCATGGGTGGAAAACGGGAGATAGGTTGATTATGACGTACGTTGAATCCGTATATGGATGTAGTTTTGAGACTGCTTGGTCTCGCCGGTGTCTTCGTCAGCTTCGGCGAAGGGGTCTGTGGAAAAGGAGCACGTGTCAGCCTCAGGCTCATGACCTACCATTACCCCGCCAAAAAATGATGCGAAACCGACCACCTTCCAGAATACCAGCCGAATGGCCGTTCTGCGCCACCGAGTGACATTCAGTCTATCCTTGAACAGAATAAACCGTTGTACAGCAGGCTAGGCAGCATGCGATGGGGTGTTTTCGCAATAAACGTCGACGTTGCCCACAGAGGAGGGGGAGGTGGCGAGCGACTTACCGAAGGTCTTAAGGTTTTCGATGGACATAAACTCGGCCTTTCGTCGTAAACGGCCCTTAAAAGCGGTATAGGTAAAGTGAGCGGAGGGGCGAGAATAAATATCTCTGTTCAAGCGGGGGAGCGATTGCGAGTCGTTGGAGACTGAGTGAGGTTCTTGAAGATGGAGTGGAGGGTGGGAAGGTCGGGAAGGAAGCAAAGAGAAGAACAGAAGAGCCTTTTGAGGGGCGCGGCTTGCATTTAGCGCCCTTGTGGGGGAAGGCGGTGTGGGCCTGACTAAGCCCAGCCGGGCAGTCTGACTCTGGCTCAGTTTCTGGTACAAGTACTCCGTACAGAAAATACTAATTATCTATCATCCATCATCGGGCATCCGGTGGACTATCGTCCGCCTGTCAAAGAAGGCTTGAAAGAGGCGTCTGGCTCTTCGGGGTTTAGTTGGTTTGAGGTGAAAGTTCATGTTTGGTGGCAACCTGGAACCTTCTTCGGCGCATTACACCCGGCTACGTCTCCCCACTCACCACCAATACTTTTCGTGACGCTGCCGACGTAGCCCTTACGCTCTGGCTGTTTGGCTGTGTTCCAGCCAGCCAGTCTGTACTGTCAGATCCTCAGAAGGCTGGCTATACGTCTACATTTGCCCGCCAAGTTAATTACACTTTGAAGCTGTTCCTCAGCCTCTTGTCCTTGTTTGCCTTCGCATTAGTCTCTTTTGCTCGGTCTTTTCAGCTTCAATGCATGCATGCACTCTGCAACCATTTTAAGTTGCGACTGTCCCTTGTACTCCCCCATGCGTGGCGATAGCGAGCGCTAGCAAAGATGACATTATGGTATTTCTGGTATTATAGTATTCGTACAGAAACGTCGAATTCCCCTGTACATGAGAGCAAAGCTCCCTGGCTATGAAGCCGCAACACCAACCCCATTGACTTTCCCACTTCCCAGTCGGTAACGCTCGGATATGCTGTATGAGTTCGGTTGCAAATTCGGAAACGCCATGAATTAATTGTGCATCAAAAGACTTTCGCAAGGGTATGTTTGAACGGGCTTCCCTCAGGGAGAAGGCGAAGGCGAAGGAGCAGCAGCACCACGCGCGGTCTGAGGAGGCAGGAAGATGGGGAAGTATGTCTGCATGATTTCGATCAGCAACGAGGTAAAGGATCATGCGACTGCTGCTGCAACGCAGAACAACACATACCACGACCAAAGCCATCACTAGGAACGCGCGTCGTTAGTCAGTCATCCATACTCTATTGTCTTGGAGGCTGGGGTGCACGAACAGGACATCAATACAGACATATAAGCCGGGGTAGAAGCGTTTCTCTTCTGGTCTGGGGTCTCACCCAGCCAGCTCTGAAGAGAGAAGACGAAAGACACCCTATGAATGTGTTAAAAGATAGCCACTCCGAAAGGTCGCTAGAAACATACCATCCGATCATTCTGATTGAGCCCCGGTAATTAGCTACATGGGTCGAATTGATGTCTCAAAGATCAGTTCCCTGCTCACCTGTTCCTGGTAAACATCTAAAGAGAAGCCGATTAGTATCTTCTGGCTGTAAAGCGCGGAGCTGGACCGCAACTTACCGCAGCCATGGGCATGGTGCTAGACATCGCGCCTGTTCCAAAACATCAATACGAGCCCAACTGCGCCTTATAGTAATATGTCTTTCTATCGCTCGTTACGTACTGGACATGTCGGCCTCATTCTTGTCTTTCGGCGGATCAATGTAGGGGATGGCTAAGATGCGACGTCAGCATCAGCAAGAGTGCGCTTTCGGCGAGGTTCAAGGCTTGGGAGCAGTCAACATACCGAGATCCAACCTGCGCATATCCTTCTTGGTCGACATTTTGTGATATTCTGATTGTTATCTCAGTTCTGTTCCAGCCTGGGGGGCGTAAATCCGGGGTGAGAGGCAGTTGAACTGGCCAACCAAGCGACCAGCGCCGCCAAGCCCGAAAGCGGAAAGCCCGCTCGCTGGTGCAGCCTGTGCTTTCCATACTGCCACCATGAATGAGCATACCTGAGATCTCCCCGGCTTTATCTCCCTATCAGACCTCTACTCTACGTAATCTTTGGATAACACCAGATGTCAGGCACTCCTACTTGAGCCGAGCATCAGAAGACCAAAATATGAGTATCTTTCAGATCTACATACCATTAGGGTTATCATGTTGATCATAAGTTCTCGCGCAAAGATGCCTGCAAACGAGAACATCCGCTCTATCGGAATGCGACCGCTCGCCTCCGAGAGAAGGCAACCTTGGTCTTTTGGCTCGCTTGGAGTAGCCATTGAAATTCCCCGGCCCTGTGTTGCATATCCGATCTGGCCCCTTAACTGGAACGTAGCTGCTCCAATGGCATCAACCATTCAAGACACCTCCAGGTACTATGTGATCACGAGAAGTTTGTTTGATTCTCGGGGAATTGCGCAAGCACAGTCAATGGCGGAAGATCGACAACAGCCCAAATGTAAGGCAACTTAAGTGCTGTCTTCTGGTCCTTGAGCCTTGACTGGTTATCACGTAGGATGGAAATGCACGGTCCTCTTGTTTGATGTCTTGTACTACCTGAGACCGACTTATCTATCGCGGAATAAGAAGCATACCTATTCTATCGGTACATCTTTTTCAAATGACAGATACGAAGCTTAGTCACTGACGTGGAGCTGATCCGTAAGTGTGGCCAAAGCATTGAAATGCGCCTTCTCCGGGGTTCATTCGGATTGGGACTGTAAGTCACTATGTATTTGTGTGACAATGACACCTCCGGAGGCGCTTGTCGAGACCTAAATCTGATCCGACTGCGTAGGACTGCATCCTGCAGGTCGCTGAGATGGTGATTGTTCTGTCAGAGAATGAATGGGTTAATGGTGGGAGGACCCCGGTCTGTGCTTTGGCAAATCTCGGGCAATAAATTACACCCTCCGGCGACCAAAAGGACACTTGGGCCTCTGGTTCGGTTCTCGATCATTACATGGATGGTGCGTGATGTTGTGTGCTGCTCAGGTGAAGATGAGATCTGGGGATGAATGGGTCCTACTACGTAGACATTGTACGGAGTACTGAACAGAGAGAACGGGCCACGTGAGAATTAGGCCATACCGGTTAGTGGGAGGAAGGAAGATCGACAGAATATACTATGGTGGTTAGTTAGCCATGGAATTGGGATAAAGTGCGGAGAAGGATGACCAGATGAAAATGGTGCATCCATCATACCACACAATATCATGCCACTTGAGAGGGCCAAGCCGCCAACACCCCGTTCCCAGAAAGGTTCTCTTGAGTCCTTGACTTTTTCCAAACCCCTCGGACGGCAATCGGTCCCGGGAAATGGGTCACAGAGCCCGATGGCTAAATTGGAGAAATCTGTGGCCCACAATGAATGGAGTGAGGTGGATTCATCTCTGAGTAGTAGTTCAAAAAAGAGGAGTTGCAGAATACTTAGAATTGCAGCTTTCATTCGATAAGAGTCCAGGAGACACAGAATAATGATGATTATCGTGGGTAACCGGGCATTTGCCATTATAGGTTCTGGGCGTAGGGTCGGTTTCAGCCGGTCAGGGCACAGGCACACTACGCGATAGACTAGGTAGGCTAGATGGTTCACTGGCACATTTGAAGATCCCAGATGCGCTCACCGTATGTTCGGAAGTAGGACAACCCGAGGAAAAGATTTCATCCCCAGTTCAGAACCATCCTAGCCCAGTATGCACTGTCTGTTTGACTGCCCACGTAGTCTGGCAGTAGGTAGTAGGTATGTAGTAGGTGATAAGTACGTGGTACGGAGTCTGTGGTGCATCATACTATGAGTGCTTCTTTCCTCCTCCTTTTGCAGCTCTTCCCTATTCCATGTGGGCTCATATGTACTCCGTACACGTATCACCCAGCTTACCCCGTATGTACAGCACCTGCTGTGCTAATGGCAGCAGGTTCAGTGCTTCAGATACCGCGAAGACAGTACTCTCCGTACGGGCGCAGGGATTAGCGCACGCCAGGGGGAAGATCTGCGGAAGATGATTAGGCTAGCCCGTTGGAGAAAGTCGTTTGTGCCAGGCTCCTTGTGGTTGAACCCTCCTGAACTAGGTTCTGAGCATTCAAATGTGTGTGTATCTTGCTTGCGACTGGCCCTGACCATGTCCGATCCCGTTGATTAAAGAATGGGGTCATATGCCGCGATATCATCAGCTAATCGCGTGGATGTGCAGACAAGCAGGCCGATCCAGTGAGTGTGCTGTGGTCATCCCATCAAATGATGCCAAGAGAACCCTTTGTTAAAAATGGGGCTTGGAATCCCACGGGGGCTATTCGATGACCCAGATCCATCACTGTCCGGCCATTAATCGTCTAGAATAGAAGAGGATATCCGAGTCATGAATGGGATGGATGATGAATGAGACTCTATGAGGAAAATGTTGGATGCATCGAATCGCTCGATTGTCATGGATCATGGGTCGGATTGAGTTCCGAAGTTCAGATACCCCGTAGATACGTAAGAAGAGCAAATGGACACAAATTGATGGATCCCTCAGCCATCTGAATCCGGAGATAGAGAGGCAGAGAGAGGGAGAGAGAGAGACGATAAGTTGGAGGCAGATAACCGACTGGTACTTACTGTACAGTACAAAGTAAGTACTCCGTGTAATTGCCGTACGTACGCGTGCAGGGGGAGAGTTGGTTTTCTCACTCGTCCGAAGTCAAGGCCGGTAAAATCGCGGTATCACAGCCCCGTTCTCCCCATCCTTCCCATTCTTCCCATCAATCTCCGTGGTCGACGGGTGTCGATCCGGTAAGATTACATGTTCAGTCTGCTCTCCACCATAAGCTGATGCCAGTTGGTCCCTCCTTACGTTATCTCTCTATCTGGAGATCCAAGTCAACTCTCTCGGTCGCCGTACTCGGCTCTTTTCCTGTTCGGTCGCCTCCTCCCCCATTAATAGTATTAGCATTCATTACCCTTTTACCTTCTTATCCTTTAGCATTTCCATTCTGATTCGAGTTTCCTGATTTCCCAATTCCCCTTCCTCTGACTTTCTTCTTCTTCTTCTTCTTCTTCTTCTTCTTCTTCTTTGTTCCCCCTTTACTCCTATAATCCCCAGACTTTTGTTCAGTCGCTATTGTCTCCTAGCGGACAGATCCACCTGCAGCCTTCCGCCTCTCGCCCCCCCCCCCAAAAGTACAGTACAGTACTCCTCTCTCACCTTTACCCCCGGTCCCCGACGGTTACCGTGATCAGTATAGCCGCTCGGTCTTGGATCGTCCACTCAACTCCACACCCTAGGGAGTCTCAGATTGGAAGCCCGAATGTGAAATTTATTGTCACCTCTTCCGACCTTCCCCTCGGACTCTCTGAACAACTGAATACCACGACTCCATCTGAGCCTAAGGCGAGCGTTCAACCCGTCTTCACCCACCGCGCTACTCCAATGACCAGAAATCCGACGCTGAGATACATCATGACGCTAAGATGATACCCCATCCTTCTGCCGGCGTCCAGCCGTGGAGTCGCTCGATGCGCGCTCCCAATAACGGCCTAGGACGCGTTGAGGCCTTCCAAGCGCTCAGTCAGTCCGAGCCTCAGTCGGAGAAGCCGCCAATGCCCGTACCGTCATCGCTCCCCCGACAGCCGGCAGTCATCGACCTCACAACCATTCCCGGAGATGCGCAAGAGAGTGAGCCGCCAGCCAAGCGGCTGAAATTGGATGTGACATCAGGAGCCTATGCGGCAACAGGGAGTCCGGCACCGGTGAGTGGTGGTGGTGAAGCGAGAACCACTCCGGGGACCGCGACTGCCAAACCACAATCATTGACTTGGCGAGGGCGGCCGGCATGGTCGTTCCAAGCTCTGCTGTCGGAGACGACTGGAGCTGTCGAGTTTAAAGATGATGATGTTACCGTACAAGGGAAGACCTCCTCGTCTCCGCCTCCTTTACCCCTCCTCCCTTGGAAGTATACTCCTCAGGAAACACCGGCAACCGATGCCCCGAAGATTGCTGAAATTGCACCGGTCAAGGAAGTCAAAACCACACCGTATCGCACTGAGGTGCCTACGATTGCACCCAAAATCAAGGGAGAGAGTAAGTTGACTCATCCAGCTTTTACAGATAGAGGGAATTCTGACCCAACTTTACAGAAGTTGCGGACTTTTCCCCATGGACAGGCAACCACCCGGAAGATGTTCTTAATGAGCACACGGCGAAGCAAGGACACTATGACCGCACGCAGGTGTCCCAGAATGAGTCCAACACTGCACGGCCATCGCTTTATGCCCAGTTGAAGCACCGATCAGGTTTGCAGATGCTTTCTTCCGTCTTTGCTGCTGCCCTTGAGAAGAGACAAAGCCACAATATGGTCACGGCTCCGTCGAGCTTCAAGCCACCCCCTCGGGTGACTCTGACGGATAACAAGCGCGAAGCTTGGCTTCGGGATCTTGCTAATCCATCTGTGCCCCTGCGCAGGCTGAGTCGGACGATTCCTCATGGTATTCGGGGCAAAGTGCTTCTCGACCAATGCTTAGGCAAATGGATCCCAGTTCCTCGTGCCATATGGCTGGCCAGATGTGTTGGTGCCAACGAAATCCGTGCGTTCAAAAGGAAGGGCACAAGCGGCGCACTCGCGCTGGGCTTGGAGTCCAAATGGGTTCGTGACTGGACTGCTACCGTTCAGCAGTTTCTGGACGGAGTCGTCGGTATTTGTGGTGCTGCGGACTGGAAGGTGAAGATGACTTATGCGTACGTCAATATTGTTCATTATTTCTCGCTTGAAGCCTCATCGCGCGTTACTAATTGTTGTACAGAGTCAGCCTTACATCACGGCTCTTCTTCGAACGCTTGCTCGACCATGATCAGTATCTTAGCTGGTTCTTGTTGTCGTTGGAAAACGCCTCGCTCAACACCATTCCTGTTTGGCTTTTGATGCTTGGCATATATTGGAGTAATATCATGCGATACAGGAAACGTGGTCGGAAGTTGGCGGAGGTCCTGCTTGAGAAACTGCGACAGGTAAATATTGCAATCCCATGTTTTCTTATCCTTGTTCGACTGACATATTCGAAAGATCAAGAGTTCCGGCCATCACGAAACCCTTCAGCCGCTGATTGATCGGTTGTCTCGCTGTATAAGACGATTGGTCTTGGAGCATACATCATCTTTAATCCTTCCAAATTCCTGGACGACATACAAGGACTTGATCTCGTCGTGCTTGAACTTGAAGGAAACGCCAGATCAGACCATGTTCCATAACTTGGTGGAGCGCAACAGTCGTGTTCGGCTTTCGAAGAGTCAACACGAAGCAAAAGTTCGGCTACCTCAGCAAAAGGTCATCTCGCTTTTTGATTCACTTCGCTCCGCACATGACGTTCCTGCCACAGCTTCCGCATGCCTGGACGCTGTCGATGACAAGACTATTCTAGTCTCCAAACTCCTCGAGTGGGCAGCAACCCCGTTTCGGCATGGGTCTCGCCGTGTCTATACCAGCGTTCGCCTACTACGGAAGTGGAAGATGTCCGGACTTGACATTGAAACTCACATACTCAGTTTCGTTGCAGGCCTCGACGGCAACAGCCGACTCAACATGGAACACATATATCATATCTTTTCAGAGCTCGTTAGATCTCAGACATTCTCCGTTGGCAGGTACTTGCAATGGCTGATGGCCAAGGGACTTGCACATAGTCCTGCGTCTGAAGATCAGGTTAGAAACACTCATATGCATAATCATTGAGGACTTTGAGCTGACAACATGTAGGTTATATCGAGCGAATTCCGCCTTTTGATCCAACTTCCATCACACCGTCTACCCGAACATGTTCGTAATCTTCGTAACATGTTGATTGATCGTGCAGGATTCTCCCTTGAGGAAGAAAATTCCATTATTGCAAAGCTCCAAATGTCAATTGCTGGGCGACTTCCCCACATTTTCGGATCAGAGAGGAGTGGTTTGCTGAAAACTAACTTGTCCCTCCCTGCCGAGTTGACATGGGCTGTCAGGTCTGAGATTGGTCTTTGGATCCGACGTGGTGTAGCTGGGCATTATCGCAAACCAGGCAGGTATGTTCTCTTGCCAAACTTCCGCATCTCGTTCCCAGACTCACGTCCCTTCCAGGAAATATAGCAACATCCCGTTATTGTCCGACTCGGGAATATCTGCACTAACTCCTGCCGAATTTTGCATTATTCGAGAGATCCTTGAAGGCTTTGGAGATCTGTCAATGCTTGCGGACGTACTCAAGCAGGCAACTACCTGCGACAATAGTATCGTGCTCGCCTCGGTTGCAGACACGGTCAACTATCACTTTGACACATTCTGTGTGATCAGTGCTGTGCATGATCTCTTCAAGGGCCTCGTTGAATCTTATGTCCGCCTGAAAAGGTTTGGTGCCCCCAGCCTGGACCTGATTTTCTCGTTGATAGAGCTGGGTCTTCGAGTGCCCAGCGAGTTCAATACCGTTGCACTGCTTCGTCAGGACCTAGCTCGGATCGAGAATAGAGCGGCTGTGGCGGCTCCCTCTCCACTCTCCGACCATATCTCGGTGTCTACCGGCCAGATCGATTCCTTGTTTCAGGAGAAGCTTGATCAAACGCTTCTCTCTGGTGGTGGGATGGACGAGTCCACCATGGACACATCCTTCGCCTCGCTTACCAAAGCCCTTCAGGACGGCCACAAGAAACTTTCAGCGAATGAAATATGTCGGTATATGGCTTACCTTCGAACTTTCCATCCCAAGCGATTCGATGTTATGCTAGTAAGATGGGTGTGTGGACTTTTGAAGTCTCAAACCAGATCAACGATGGCGCGGATTCTCCCCCCTCTTATCGGTGTCGGATGTGTTACTATCCATGCCTTCGTTACCTTGGTCAAGAAGCTCCTTCAGTCGGAGAAGGTCGTCGCAGTAATCCCTAGCGTCGCAGAGTTGAAGCTGGATCTCTTCGAACTCCTTGTTCCGCCAAAGCACGACCAAAGTCGTCTCGCAGATATGGTTACCTATCGGTTTCGACTCGCGCAGCAGGAGTTCCTTGCTAAATATCCCGAAGAAAGCCTCGACATAATCCGTGATGCCATACCTTTGATCCGGTCCGAGAGCACTGATGCCATATATGGGTCCAGAAGGGATGACCTCACGGAGTGCGCAACCATGCTGCTTCAGCTTCTCCTTACGCAAAATCCGGAACGCATCGTTCAGGGTTGTTTGCAGAAGTTTATTGGTCAACACACAGCATCCACAGCTTTACTGCAGAAGGCACTCGACAGCCTTCTGGGCTTCGACTCGGATGCACGCGATAAGACCACACCCGAGGCCGAGGAAGTCATCCGCATGAACAACGATTTCTCTCTTCCCTTTTGTCAACTCAAGCTTCAGCTCTTGTTCAACGCAGAAGCTGCTGGCCAAGACAACAACGGCATCGTGGATGTGATGTTCAAAGCCGCAGTGGCAGATACCAAATCTCATAAGGATCATTGGTATGGCTTAGTGAGCTTGATGAGCCATGATGCTATTCAACAAATTCGGGAGCGGGCTGAAAGGGGTTTCTTCTCTATCCCCATGTTCGAGGAAAATTCGGATAGTCTCCAATCGATCGAGACTGCAAGGCTCTACTTGACGATGATCGAGAAGCTAGCCCCTTGCATTCCTGAAGCTGGGGTACCGACCATTGTGCCTGTGCTTGTTGAGAAGATGGAGTTCCTGCTTCAGAAGTTTGTGGCAATGCAAGCAAATCATACTGGTACCGGAGATGCACGTGCGACAAACCAAGCTAGCCCGTCTTTCGAGAGAAGCCTGGCCTTCTGGTTCTCTGCCTTGCTTCGGATCGTTGTCATTCACCGCGCATCGTTCAACACGCCGGGACTGGCGCCTAGATCTCATGGCTTACCAGAGCAGACTCGCCTACTGATCTCCATCTTCTGCATCTCTTTGGCCCGTCTTCCGAACCGTGTCCTTCGTCTATACCCGTCAGCTGATTATTTCCCTCAACCCAAACCAGTGGAGAGCTACCGGCCGTGTCCTGGGATTCTGCTGCAAACCCATGCACTTGATGTTGCTGCCTGCCTTGTTGACATATTCCCGGATGAGGCACGGCAGCAGTGTGCGCGGTTCCTCAGGGAAAAATGTCCGCCCTTCCTTCAATTCCAGAACGATTCTAGATTTCTTTACCTTCTCGGTCCCATAGTGGACAGCTCCAATCCTCCTCAACCCACGTCTCTACCGTCTCCTGCCGCTGGCGGCTCTACTCCAACACCATCGGGAAGCTTAGCCTATGGTCAACAGACGCCGCAACAATCGTCCACTGCAGTACCATCGGGGCTCTCTGCTGGACTGAGCGAAGGTGTCAATTGCATTGCAAGCCATCTTCGGGTTCAGTACCGCGGGCGGGCCATTGGTGCATACCCTGTGCGTCCATGGGAGCTTCTCGAAGATGCAGCTCCTATCGTTGGCATGAATGACACCGCATTGAGTCTGAAGTACTTCGATGCCAGGCGTGTCAGAGCCTAACGCATACTCTTTTCACGTACATAATACCATTAATCCCACATGTGACTCTCAATTTCTTGTGTTTTGTTTCCCTTGCTTTACATACCCACCTGCATCTGCAGCAACTTTATTGTCATGCACTTTCGTCGCTTCTGCTCGGGCCCCCCCTTCTTCACATGACTCGTTGTCATTGATTCCGCCAACCCTCCTGGAGAGATTATCAGGCTGTACATATTTAAGGATAAAGCTGGGCGTTAGATGGGGTTGGGCAAATTATAGCATATCATGGTCTATTGCGGGTTCTTGCAGGATGGCATCGTGGAGCGGGTTGCATGAGCGAGTACAACATTTCGTCATCTGGTTGCTGTATAGAATTATCCAATCGTCCGTCACTGCAGTCCAATTTTTCAGTCGAATCTTTCTCAGTGACGAGCTTCATTCTTCTAAGACTGCAATTGATACAGTCGTAGTGAGGTTATCGCCATTTCCCAGTTGAAGCGAGCCACTGCCATACATCAAGCAAAGCGGTCGAGGGAGCGGTGAGCGTCCCGCCTCAGGCACCGTATCACCTCGGATGTTCGTCTCCGACGTCATGCCGGCGGCGAGCTCGACATTCTTTCTTCGCCCCAGCTACAATTTCTTGATGGGACACGGCGTCTGCATTGAACCTCAACCACCGTGATTGTATCCGCTTCCCCAATCACAATGATCCCCACGGCCAGATGTCTGGCCGCGAAGCCCTCGGGCTTTTTCAAGCGCAGTATAGATGAGCTTAGCCGCGTCTCCAGAATCGGTGCGTTTTCGCTGTTGTTATCTCCACATTATCAGCGAGGGCGATTGAATAGTTACTGATTCCAGCTGCCTTCTAGCTTGGAACTCCGAAGCCCTTCACACTCCGACCAAACCGTACGTCCTCCTCGACTTCGAAGATGCTTCCACCGTTGCCGGCTGCAAGACCATGGCCGACCGCGCCGTCGGGGGCTACAGCACCGCCAGCCTGGACCATATTCCCGCCGATCCGGCAACGAGCAGCCCGGCGCACGCTCGTTTCCACGGAAGCATTTCCACCAAGTTGCCCCAGAACTGGCGCGTCGAGAGAACCGGTACGTCAGCCGCTTGCACGCGAGCGACCCTCCCAGACACACCGCGTTTTCCCTTTTCTCACAAAATGTCTGGGGACCCAGAAATCTGACGTTCTGTCCAAACAGGCTACGCCGCCTTCCGCAACCAAGACCGCGGCTTCTGGCTCTTCGGCCGACTCTTCTGGGATGTCGACCCGTACGCTTACCTCGCGCTGCGCGTGAAATCCGACGGCCGTCGCTACACGGTCAACATCCAGACCGACTCGATCATTGAGACCGATATCCACCAACACCGCCTGTACACCCGCCACCACCGCGTGCAGCAGCAGCAGCAGTCGGACCGAGATCCCTTCTCGCCTTTCACCACCGCCACCACCACTGCTACCGCCACCGAAGAATCGCCCGAGCTCGCCGAAAAGCTCTACCCGCAGGGCATCATCCCGGCCGCGTTGTCGGACGTGCCGCCGAAATCGACGATCATCTCGGCATCGAACATTGTGACGACGTCCGGGGCGGCGGCGGACGCGACGGGGTGGGAGACGATCCTCCTGCCGTTCAACGCGTTCGTGCGCACGAATTTCGGGCTGGTGGTCGAGCCGCAGACGTCGATCCTGCGGCAGCGCGTGAAGAGTATCGGGATCGGGTTGACGGATCGCGTGGAGGGGCCCTATGATCTGCGGATTCATAGGATCTGGGCGACGAATGGGATGAGTGAGGCGGAGATTGAGGAGGAGAGGCGCATCTGTGGGGCGGATGCGTTGGAGGTCGATGAGGGCGTGCGCACGAACTGGATTGGTGATAGCGAACCGTCGTCGTCGGGGTTGGGGTCGGGGTCGGAGTCGGCGCCGAGGGAGGATCAAGCTGCTCCCGCGGCTCCTTCTCCGGCGCCCAAGGGCCAGAATAAGGGTAAGGGACTGAAGGGACTGCGTGATGAATGGAATTAACCCCCACCCCCCCCTCCCAAAAAAATGATAGATTGATACCACCACTATGAAATGTACATTGGGAAAATTTGATTATATATCCCTTTTTTCTACTCTGGGAGTTTATGAGCGAGCAGTATCTGCTCGCGTTGACTATATACTTAAGATACTACGTGAAGGAGAAAGAATCAGTTCTCCCCACCGGTGATCCGCTCCCACGCCTCACGGTACTTCTCACTGGTCTTCTGCACGACCTCCTCACTCATCGCGACCCCCTCCTTGCCCTTCAGCCCCTCCTGGACCAACCAATCGCGCAGGAACTGCTTGTCGAAGCTGGCCTGGCCCCTGCCGACCTCGTACGAGTCCTTGGGCCAGAACCGCGACGAGTCCGGCGTGAGCACCTCATCGGCCAGCACCACCTCGCCGGTCTCCTCATCGACGCCGAACTCGAACTTGGTGTCGGCGATGATCACGCCCCGCGTCAGCGCGTACTCGTGCGCGATCTTGTACAGCTGCACCGACAGCGACGCAATGGTGGACGCGTACGGCTCGCCCACGATCTCGACGGCTGTGTCCGCGTCAGCATTCACCCCCATTTGTTTTTCCCTCCCCTTCTTTCATCCGATAGTGCCAGTGAGAAAAGGAAAGACATACCCTTATCCGGATGAATGTTCTCATCATGCTCGCCCAGCTCCGCCTTGGTGCTGGGGGTGTAGATGGGCCCGCCGGGGAAGGCCTCGCTCTCGCGCAGGCCGGCGGCGACGGCGATCCCGTGCACCGTGCCGTGCGTCTGGTACTCCTTCCAGGCGGAGCCGGTGATATAGCCGCGCACGATCGCCTCGATGGGCAGGATGCGCAGCTTGCGCACCTGCATGCTCCGGTTCTGCAGGACGGGCCGCAGCGCCGCCGGGATCTGCGGCGGCAGGTCCAGCGTCAGGAAGTGCGTGCGCAGCGTCGGGAGCGCCGTCGTCAGGATCTCGAACCATTTGCGCGTGCAGAGGGTCAGGAGGATGCCTTTGTTGGGGATGCCCTGTTGTTTTTGGGGGGGGGGGAGTCATTGGGTTAGCGGCTGATGGAGTTGCGGGGGGGTTGGTTGAGGAAGGGGGAGGGGGAAGGAAGGGAAAGAGGGGGGCTGTCAAGTGTTTACATTCTGCATGATCACATCGTAGGCGGAGATTCGGTCCGTCGCGATGAAGAGGAGAGTCTTCGAGTCCACCTCGTATAGATCGCGGACTTTGCCTCGTGCGATGAGGGGCAGGACACCTTGGAGGTCCGTGGTGGTGTAGGATTCCGTCATGGCGGTTGTATTGATTGACCAAAGTTTCAATTGGAAAAGGTGTGGGGAAGTAACGGTGGGTAGAATGCGTGGTGGGAGGAAGCTCAATTGCGAGAGTGAGTCAATGGGGAAGGAAGATGGGAAATTGCGGGTGACGGCGACGATAACTAAATCGATAAGCTTTTTTTTTCTCCCGTGGGCGGGGTTCTTGGGTGCCTGAGGCAGAACTTTCGCGGGGATCTATACAGCTACTAATACTACCGAAAACCACCACAAGAGATTATATTATTCGTGCTATCCAGGAGACAAAACGCCATGTAGTATGCAATACTATACACTCGACTCCGAGCTAGAAGGTCAAAAGCTCGGGATACCTTTTTAAAAAAGGGTCGTCGTCCCATTCCACCTCCGGCTGGTCTTCCTTTTCATCGAATATATCAAATCCAAGTTCGTGGCGAGGGTCCGAGAAACGGAATTCTCCCACCGTCCTGCTGATCATCGCCATACCAAGCATTTGGTCGCTCGTCAGCCGCTTCAGGTTCATGTTATCTATTAAATGTGCGATCCGGGTAGTCCTGGGGACCACGGATATATTCTGCTGCACGATCCAGGAGAGGATGAGCTGAGCCCGGCCCCGAAAGTTCTTTCTAGACAGCTGGAAAATCTATTCGAGTTGAGTCATTCGACCTTCCAGCATTTTGAAGCACGAGGACCTACATCCGTATCTGTCAATGGTCTTATATGATGGGCATCCGGGCCATCATGCAACGAAGGCTTGCCCCCGAGCGGCTGATGAGCCATGACATGGATTCCCTCCATTTTGCAAAACTCTCGCAGATCGATCTGTGGAAGATAACTGTCCAGTGATTAACTGAGAATCGAGTACGTTCTTTCCCCTCTGAGTCACTCACGGATGGAGTTCGACCTGGTTGACAGCGGGTCGGATTCGGGCCGTTTGAAGCAACCTTTTGAGTTTGAGAATGTTGAAATTGCAGACCCCTTGTGCCGTCAGAAGTAGTCAAAGCAAGTTAACTTGTGACCCTCATACCAATGAGTCTCGCTTTGCCATTGTCGACAAGCCGTTCCATGGCACGCCAGGTTGCAGGATATCGCTTTGATAAAAAGTGATCAACCATAGGCTGGTAAATATGACGTATTAGCATCGGCTCAGCTGATTGTGAATGTCAAGCGTGTACCTTTCCATCGCAATCTTGCCGGGGCAGATACTCGGGGCCTTTCACCAGGGCATGTGGAACTGAAGCAGATGATCAGTAATTTGCCTGGCTAATTAAAGGGCGAGCCTCATCGTACAGTGCATGAGGTAAAGGTCCACTACACATAACAGTAGCAGCAGCGGTCAGTCTTTTTGAACAGCTGTTAAGGCCAGTGAAACACTAACCGTAGTCCAGCTTGAGCGCCTCCAAGGTGCGATCCAGAGCACCCTCGACATCGTCGGCAGCGTGGCACGTTTGGGGTCTAGTTCATCCGTATTAGACTGTGATCGGTGTCAACGAGAAGGGGAACTGACAGCTTGGCAGTCACGAAGATCTCTTCTCGAGGAAGCGCACTCTTTTCAATCCCTTCTCCTACCGCCTGCTCGGTCAAATACGCGGCCGCCGTGTCAATGTGGCGATACCCGCACAACAGGCCCTTGAACACGACATCCTTGACCTTCTCGCTAGTCGCATCACCAAGGAATGTGCTCAACCCGAGGGCTGGAATTGTGACCCCCTGGACCGTGAAAGAGACGGGAAGAGAAGTAGGCCTCGTCATGATGGAGATGTTGATTGAGGGTTGAGGAAGGCTGCAAAGTCGACGGAGATGTCGAGATGCGAGGTCAAGATATATGGACGGCGTCTCTTCACCGCACCTTGGGCTTTCGAGACATCACTTGCCGTCAACCCCGCTTGGGGATGGGGATTTGAAATTAGGAGGCATGATGACCGGGGTCTTACTCGAGTAGCTGAGAAAGAGGGCGCATACGCGCATTAGCAGATGGGTGGGCTAGACGCTATCAGACAGACTAAGAACCTCATCCCTGTTCGGCGCGCAAATCAGATGAAAGCGCTGTGTTGTGGCTTGCCGTAGACCTGCAGGCGATGCCGTGGCCTTTTTGATATATCAAGCGAGCTTTGGTCGAGTATAAGGCTGAGTGGGCGGATGCCAAAACCGGTCTCTCGAGACTGCATAAATTGCAGGCATCATGGTGATTCTCATGCTGTAGCCTCTATCCTTTTCGGGCGAGATACAGGAGCAGCTTTGGATAGTACTCATCGAAGCAATGGGGATGAATTATCCGTACTAAACCACTGGCTAGTGTGTCCTTGATGCGCATGGTAGTGTAGCTTGGATAATGTTTGTTTGGTAAGTAGCTTTAGTCGAGTTAGTTAGTTAGTTACCGTAGTTAACTAGTTAGTTAGGTGTAGAGTACTGACTAAGTTGGGTAGTTAGTCTGTCCTTGAGACGGGAGTCTCCCTCCGCCTACTCCTTATCAACAATGGTTGCGGACACTAGCTTAACTTCCCGAGCACTCCGTACTTTATGCATATCACCCCCTCCCTCTCCTGCAACTCTCATCCTTCAATGAGACACTTTCCTGCATCCTAGTCATGACCTGTGTGCTATTTTGGCCTAACTCAATTCTCCACTGGAAGCTAATGCGGGTGAGACTGCCGACGGTCTAGTCTATTCCACCGAGGTCGGACAGATTGGACGTGTCGAAAGCCTTTGCTTCAAAAGATACAGCACATGCTACATCGGGCCATCGTCTTAAGCCAAAACCACACTAAGATTCGACGCATATCTACACGTATGTCTTGAAACCTTGGTCATGCGGTCAGTCTAGACTGGAGTGGCAACGATTGGGCCAAATTTCCAGGGCAGCATCAAGCGCAACTGACATCACGGGCTACGCAGCTTTGCAATTTTGCGATCATTTGCAGATCCCCGAGACGAAGTTCTCTCATCCTCTACCGCGGGACTTCCTTTCCTCTTGGAGAAATTGATGGGGGGTGAATTGAAGTTTTCACAAAAGGACGGCAAGCCTGCAGCATGTCAATCCCTTCTTTCTTGAGACATCCTGCCATACAGAACGGACTACAGCCTCACCCATCCGTCGTCGTTTTTGACCTTCAGAGTTATGGATCTTTGATTTGCTCAGGGTAGAAGATGCAGCTTTTCGGACTTTCTTCAGCACTTGCTCATCGGCAGTCCGGACCGTAATTCCTACACTTTGTTTGCCCTTTCACGTCCATGATTATGACCTATGGGTCCATGGTTTGATTGTAGAAGGCTGATACCGAGAAATTGGAATGATTACGTCGCTCAAACCAACTGACTGCCGTTATGCATAGTGATCTTAAATCTCTCGCTGTTAATTCACCGGATGACATGATCTCGTCGACATTCGTGACACGACGAAATCAAGAGCTGGGGGATTTTCAATCACGGAGAGACTCCCTCTGCTATGTTCCAATGTGGATGACACTGGCTTGATCTTCAGCGATTCGCACACGAGTGAGGGTCTAGAGCGCATGGCGAATGATTTCTGGACCACGGAGGCCCTTGATCGACACGTGGATACGTTTGCCCAAGCTACCACATTCGCCGAGTGGTCAGAAACTTGTCCCAAGCAGCCACAGAGAACTAGAAGGCTCTTCATATACGGAAGCACGCGGCGCGAATCTTTACCTTGAGACACCAGATCGAGTTCTTAGTGCGGACGATTCCAGTTGGATCATTGCTCCCACCATCCGATGCAAGGCCACTGGCTGAGAGCGTTGCGTACTTTCATGAGCTCCGCTCTGAGGAGGTCATCTTGTCCGTTGTTTTTGTTTTTTTGAGAAAAAAATGGGGCTTTACACAGAAGACAAGCTGTCCGAGTCTGGACCATGTGTGGTTCTGACACCACTTTGCGAGAAAGCAAGCACACCACCACAAGCGTGGGTACTATTCGAAATCCGTGAGCTTGTGAGCTTCCGCTTACACTTCAATCTGCCTTTTCTTGGGTTGTCCAGCTATTATCGCATCGGGAAAAACTAGATTTTATTGGGCCATGACTATGTCCAGGGAAATGGAGTAAGTGGACAAGAGGGACGATTGATACAAGCTCGAGAGAGCAAGATGCAGATCCTTCTTATCTCACTTCAGTAGTGGCAACCGATCGCGGTACTTGTAGGCAAATCAACAAGCACTCAATCTTGTGATCTTGCGAGCTAGACCCGCTGCATGGAAGAGCGCGTTTTCAGTGTATCTATCACTGGTTGAGGACTCGGGACGGATCAACAACTTCTGAGCGGTAAGTGGGATCTTCACTTGATTACTATCTGCAAGAAAGTAGTAGCTATCTAAAGATCTGGCATTTCTGGTTGGCGTTTCGGGTCAAACTATGAAGATTTCGGTCAGCCCAGGGAGCTCGTTCTCGCTTGAATCCGTTACTCACACGGGTGTTGGCCCCAATATCCATGATCAGCCCTTCGATCCCAAACACAACAAAGCTCTCGCTCTGGTTTAGTTCATCTTGCGTGTTCTCATAGAATGCCTTTTGCGCCTTGCGGACGGCAGTCACTGACGCGCGATCGTTGAGGAAGATCTTGTAAGCCAGATGGTAGGTTGGCATGCTCGAGCCGCCAAAGTAGGCAGCCAAGTCCATTCCTTTGGGCTGTATACCGATTTCCTTGGGAACTTGGCCGTTCTCATCATCAAGGTCTCTCGTCGTCCGGAGGGGTAGCGACTTTTCGCGGGCCATGATAGGAAGTGGCGCTTCCATATCGCTGAAGTTCAGCCCGTCCGGCCTGACGTGCGTCTTGACGTGCTCGGAAGTGAAGACATTCTTGAGATGCGCCCAGTCCCAAAAGTACAGCTCGGTGATATCATCCCGGCCAACCCATGGCTGATTGGCATTCAAGGCATCCGGCCGCCCACCCAAGGCTCCATCGAAAAGGTGAATCTGGATCTATTTGCTGTTTTTTGATTGATATGCATGTTTTAATTTGATATGAGTATCCTCACGGAGCCAGCGGCTGGAGACAAGCAACGAAACCAGAGAACTCCACTCTGGCTTGATATCAGGATCTTCCGGTGCATCGGAGATCGTCCCAGGGACTTGGAAACGATGATTCAGAAACTCCTTCCGGGTCATATCGGGCTTGCGCCGGACTGCCACGATCTGTTTGATGAAATTATCGTTGGCAGACATCTTTCAAAGGCTGGTGTTGGAGTCGAGGTACTGGGTACTAGATACCGGTAGCTTCTGCGTGGCCCCATTGTGGGCGAAACGGATAGTTAAAAGTATGACATATATAGCAATTCATCGCCTCTGGGCCTTCCAATGACCCCGCTGCCATCCACCTCACTGCACCGCATGCGTACTATGTAAGTTTTATGTACTGTGGGATAACCTGACTCAAACCCTATCCCTCCCCCGAGTGGGGTTCGCGCCGGCGGGGTGAGTGGGGTGGTGCGGGGGGTGGGGAAAAGTAGTTGTACTATGTACACACACGGCTATGTGGCGATCTGCCTACCGGCATACAGAGTTATCCTCTTTTCTGCTAGAGGTCAATCAAGTATTCGGTGTACTCGGGCATGACACTCACCCCGCCGTTTGTAAATCTTCTATGGTGGAGCATACATACTACCGCTAACCCGATCCGGCGCGCCGGTGCACCCAGTCGGACGGCCTGAGCTTCTGAAGGAATTTGTTCCCGTTGGGAGATATGAGTGTAGTACTCAATTTTAGGTAGTCTAGCATGATTCTCACCCCGTCGGATGAGTGGGCCCGATCTGTAGTTAATGCACTCAAATGTCCATAGCAGAACACGGCCCATCAGCCGATCGCATCCGACATGGGATGGTAGCATACCTATAAAGACCCCATCAGTACCACCCTATGATCGAATCATCTGAGTCCCTATTGCTCTATTGCACTTGAATAACACTGATTCTTGATCTCTTTCTCATACTAAATGGCGTCTACCCGTTCGAAATATCAAACCACTACCTCCGATGTCGAGGGCTATACTCGCTCAAAGCATACTTATATCCCCATGCGGGATGGGGTTGAATTGTGTGCCAACCTCTTCCTACCTTTTGCCGCCTCTAAGGAGGGTAAACAGGTCCCCGTGATTTGTAGCATGGGACCGTATGGCAAGGACATTCATGCGTCCACATTTGGACTCCCCAAGACCCCGATTTACGCGGAAATGTACAAGCACATCAAGCCACTAGGGCCAGATGCTGCATTTGAGCTGTGCGAGCCTACAATCTGGGTACGTGGGCAATCTTAACTCTTCCAACGATTCCAATTGGTTCCTAATTATTGTGTGCAGTGTCGGGAATATGGCTATGCTCTGCTCCGCGTTGATGTGCGGGGCGTTGGAGGTAGTCAAGGGAAACTCGATCCCTTTGGTCTGGAGCGCTCTGAAAAGATCCAAGCAGATGCAGAGGGACAAGGTATTTCAGCCAAGCAATCAGAGAGATAGCAGGACTGAGTTTGCTGGCCAGATCTCTACGATGTCGTCGAATGGGCTGCCGCCCAACCCTGGTGTACAGGGAAAGTAGCTTTCTCCGGCATCAGCTACTTCGGCATGGTTGGCTACTGGGCTGCAATGCAGAGACCCCCGCATCTGGCCTGTGTCATGTCATACGAGTCCGCATGCAGTATGTACCAAGCGGCCCGAAGAGGTGGAATCTACAGCAACAACTTCCAGTCCCACTGGTATCACAATATCGTGGTTCCCTACCAGGGTGGAAGGCAGGACGGTACGCTCACAGAAGAACAGTTGGCCGCTAACCGTGTGGACTATCCCAAGCTGCTCACCTTGACAGAATACCCCACAGACGGTGCCTGGGCGGTCTTGGAGAAGGTCCGCGAGCTGTCGGACATTGAAGTGCCATTCTACTCCGCGGGGAATTGGACTGACCCTGAGCTTCATTTACCCGGCAACATCCGCGCTTTCAACGGCATCTCGTCCCAATATAAATGGTTGGAAATGCATACCGGAAACCATCTGGGCGCGTTCTATGAGCCAGATCACATTGCGCTGCAAAAGAAATTTCTGGACCACTTCCTCTTCGACAAGGCCAATGGCATGCTCGATGTCCCTCGCATTCGCTTGCTACAGCACCACGGTACGGAGACTCTCTACCGCGAGAATGAGGTGTCTTTCCCGCCGGCCGACGCCGAGGATGTCAGTTTCTACCTCACCCCAGAGAAGAAGTTGTCCTTGGCCCTACCATCCGGGAGCAAGGAGTCCTTTAGCTATGCTGGGTTCAAGGAGTCTCTCAAATTCTCCTTGGAATCCCAATTTTCGGAATCCTTTGAGCTTTTGGGATCCCCTTACCTCGAGCTCGAAGTGTCTACACAGGCCAAGGATCTCGATCTCTTCGTTTACCTCCGGGCTGTGGACGCCGACGGAAATGTGATCGTGCTTCGTGGGAACCACGGCGAGCCGATGGACACCTTCGCCCGAGGATATTTCCGTCTCTCGCACCGGGAGGAAGTTGCCAAAGACTTCCTGAAGGAGAAGGTACTGGCCCAGAAATCCATGGCACGCTCCGAAGTTACGCAAGGGAAGGTTTACTCGGTCCTCGTGCCTCTATACCCGGCGGCATTTCTGTTTGATCCGAACCAGAGGCTCGAGCTTGAGATCGGCTCCGTCAACACCCCTAGCACCATTCCCCCGATGCGTCATGAAGGTGGGGACAGGCTTCCGGACCGGTTTGAGGGCGAGAATGTCATCTTTTCTCATGGGAAACTGGTTCTACCCCGTGTGCGGCGGTAATTCGGGATGTTCTTTTAGAGGGGTTCAGGGTTATACCTTGCCAGGTATCTGGCGGTTTTGCAGTTCGGGAGGAATCCATGTAGTATAAGGATTAGTTGCATATGAGTCCATTGTCGATAACCAAAATCGGTTGCTGAATTTTCGGAATGTGTGTGTGTGTGTGTGCGCGCCATCAGATTCCTCATTCCAGACGAGTTTGCGCTGGTTATTCTTTTATGGGCGACCTTCTATATAAATGTTGACCGGCGCTCAGATCAAAAGACCCGAAGCCATTCTGGTCCACGATAATCCATCATTCATGACACTGATTCCCCGACCTTTGATGTCTTCACATCCGATTATTGCCAGTCCGTACCTCAGCCCAGAGGTCTCCGGCTAGGGAGAGACGATGCAGAGTAGAGCCGAATATATCCAGCTCAGCTTGACAAGTTGCAGTTTCGGCCAACCAAGTCAAACAAAAATAAACGCTACTTTTGAGTATTTGATCACTAAGTATTACTTCTAGCCCATGACGGTAGACACCAATGTGTACCTTAGTAGATGTTTACCTGAGAATACATGAGCAAGTTCCTTAGTCTATGGTCACGTGATGTCACGTGATGTGGATCATGGGAAAAACAAATGGTTGGTACAACAAACATGTTTACAACCAGTTGAAGATAGGAAGGGCTCAAGGTACCTGACAACTGAGAACGAGCAAAATCCTGGCAACGATATAAAGCGGACGCACTCAACCTAGCTGGCATTTCAGAATAATACTCAAGTCGAGCCACACCCTGTGGTCGTATGTACTCAAGTACTAGGCCTTCCTCTACAGCTAAACATATCCACTTCGCCTCTTCTAAACCCCCACTTCTCTTCCTTCTATTGTTTACCGCGCTACAACATTTCCGCATCGTCATCTTGAAACCCTACTACAGTAGACGATCGGACCACTGAACAAACAGGAAAGTGGGCTTGCCATCTCCAATCTGCCTGCCAATTCATTTGTCTCGCGTCGGACGACACGATCTACTTCGCGCTGGCTGCAAGCCGCGAAAGACCCGAGAGTTCTGTTCAGTTGAGCCCGGGCCTGTCTGTACCTGCGAAAATCATCAGGTCCACTGTATACAATGTGCAGATAAGAATCACAATGAGTCGTTATCTCACCCCTTCCAAAGTTGCACTCCTGTGCTTGATCTCCATCTACGTAGATGGCGTCGTCCCCAACTCTTCAGCAATTCATGTGCTATCATTCCTGGTCTCATGCCTGAGTCCCCTGGATCGGGAGGCGCCCCCCTGCACAGCGAAGAAAGACACACGAAGCTCCGCGTCAATTACAGACCTTGAAGAATCCCTTCTCGGTCACGCGTCTTCCGTGCCCGGTCGCTCGGTATGGGATCTGTTCTTGAAGAAGATCTGGTCCATCGACTCCTGCGATGCGCTGGAGGTATTCTTCGGTGATATCTCCGACCTCTTAGCCAAAACCAGAGACGAGCAGATTCGCGATCGAGATGCCGGTCTGGCTCCCGATCCGAGCTCTACCAAACTCTCTCGGTGCTCGCCCCTGGGGGCATTCGTCCGGCGATCCCAGTTGGAGTTCACCCGACTACAATTCCACGACTCGGTCAAGCTCTGGAAAGGGTTTGTGAGATACAGGTTGCCGGCTTACCGCTCATGGGCGCGGAAAAACCCAGCTGGATCGCAGGCTCCGGTCGACATCAATCTGCTAGAGCTTGGCTTAGATACGACAAGCCATCTTTCTCAAGTGGCCTACGGCCAAATCGATGACGATTCGGAAGACGACAAGTACGTCAGCACGAAAGATGTGGAGCGGCTCCTGGAATTTCAGATCAACGAGTTACAAAGTACCATTGCCATCTCTCTCCCTCGAATTCTCGCTGCTAATGCGCCTCAGGCTTGGGTGGGAGAGTTCCGGATGAGATGAAAATACAGCTAGAGCGCATCATAGCATCGGGCGTGACGGTGCCCAACTTGATACACTATCTAAGGTAAGTCTGTTGTGCCCGCGGTGCCCTTGACGCCGGTGATTGACTGGTTCGTAGATTTCTCGATGCCTGGAGGGCGGGCGACTATCCCTCGTCCTTTGACAATCTCCATCGCTACTTCGACTACACCATGCACAGTCGGGACAGAAGCTCCTATCAGTACGCATTGTTGAATCTTGCCATCCTGCAGGCTGACTATGGGTGCCATGGAGAGGCTGTGTCAGCAATGCAGGAAGCCGTCTCGATTGCGCGTGAATCGCATGACATGAATTGCCTCAACTTCTGCATGAGCTGGCTGTATCATTTCGGCAAAGCTTTCCCCGAGCAGATGAAAGATATCCAGAACACCGGCATGCTAGGCAATGAGAAAGAGGGCCTTGCGTTCCTGAAGGCGAAGGCCAAGGAAACGGAGATGTGGAGTCTGCTGAGCACCACATTATTGAGTGAAGCGAAGCTCGAGCTGCAACATGTATGCTGTCTTTCTCGACCGCCCAGGTGGTTTACTGACAATGCCTAGGGGGAGAGCCTTGCCGCGTCCATGGAGAACATAATCCGCGCTTCACACTTGAATGTCACAAAGAATTTGATGAACTCAGTGGGCCCGCAGCTTCTACTTCAAGCATCGCTCTTTGGGAGAATAGGTTCTGTCCCCCGAGGATAAACATCTGAGCCTTACTGACAATCCAGCAGGAATCACCCATCTATCTTGGCTGAGTAGCGAAGTCTTCCGTGAATGCTATGCGAGTAGAGCACCGTTTGAAGATTATCTCAAGAGTACATTCCGCAGCTGCCAGCTTGTATGTCAAATCCACCACTCCTCATCACGACATCTTCGCTAATGATCCAAAGCTCGCACAACAAGGTCGCTACAAGGACATATCCAGCCGCATGGATCAGGTCACGCCCGAAAAGCTTCGATCCCTAAAAGCGAACCAATACTGGACATTCTTCACCGGTGTGCTGCAACTCAAGCGACATATCTACCGGTATCTCTGCTCCCGACAAATCGTTCTTGTGGAAAGAAACCAGACAGTCCCCTAACAACCTCCCAGTGACAATAAAGTAGCCGCCGAGCATCTCCTCGCCCAACTGCAAGCGATCCAACTCCCAGACACCGACATCTCCCTCCTCCTGTCCTTCCTGACGATCGACTTCCGCATCCGCCAGGGCCACTACGCGCTCGCGCTGGAGCTCGTCGAGTCGACCGCCCGATCCATCCACCAGGACAATTTCGACATCTTCAGCCAGGTCAAGCTGCTCTGCCTCAAGGCGCGGATCCTCGAGAAGTCGGGCCACCCGCAGCGCGGCTTCTCCCTCGCCATGCGCGCCGCCAGCATCGCCCACCGGTCGCGCCTCCTGCACAGTCTGTGGGAGTCCATCTGCGTGTTGGGCGGGGTGCTCCTCAGCCTGCGCGAGTTCGCCGCCGTCGCCGCCATGCTGGAGAGCATCATGCCGCAGATCCTGGAGGCAGACGACCGCGACCTCGCCGCCCAGGCGTATTCGCTGCTCGTGGACGCTAACATGGGTGTCGCGGGTTCCCTTTGGAGTCAGAGTCAGAGTCAGAGCCAGAGCCAGGGGCAGGGGCAGGGGCAGGCCCCGTCGCCCCTCAAGAAAGAATACTTGAATCGCGCGCTCGGGTACCTGGATTGTGCCTATGAGCAGTACGAGGAGCTCGAGGACATCAGGGGCCAATGTGAGATGATGGCGAAGAAGGCGACCGTCATGCATCTGACGGGCGATCCGGTGCTAGCCAACGACTACGCGGCTAAGTACCTCGACCTCAAGAAGCAGCGGCGCCTCGAGTCGGCGGATGTGTAGCCCGTGATGTTGTCGCTCTGTTTTGCATGTCTCTCGAGTTTATCAGATCAGAGTCTCCAGTGGGACTGATGTTGCTCTCCCCAATGTCTACTTAGAAACGAGACTCCACTATATTTCAGACGGTAGATCTTACAATAGAACCATACGAAACCCGAACAAGCACTTATGCCAGGCGGAATCAAATCGCGCGCGATGGGGACTTGATTTCCCCCCCGAATTGACAAAAGCGCAATATACAAAGGAAAAAAATATAAAAATTGAAGCAGCATTGTGTTGTGCGTGTGACTCGCTCTCTGTCTCTCTGTCTCTCTCTCCCTCCATCATTTCTCCCCTCCCCAGGGTTCCTTTACATCTTGCATGTTCCGCAATAAATGTACATTTGTTCCTTCGGTATCCGCCTCGGATATAAGTCCCAACAAGGAAACTGATTAGTCCGTCATTTGACCACAATACCATTTAGGTGGCCTTGTCCTTGTTGTGGTAGTTGACGCTGGAGTTCCAGCTGTAGATCATCAAAGTTAGCAAACCCGAACTGCGATTTGGACGGCAAATCCGTCGTTCCCAGCTTGCGGCGTAGTAGGTAGTCGCGAGGATTTTGGTGGAGTTGAAGCCAGAAAAGTCGGGAAACTTACAAAATGGTCTATAAAATGAATTGAAAATCGATTAGTCAAAACGTCTCCCTGAGCTTTGCATCGATTGGATAACTCACCTTGTCACCGTCACCCCAGGGGAAGTTCTTGACACGGATGTTCTGGTAGGGGTACTCGGTGCGCTCCTCAAGAGGAGGCATGTGATCCCAGTGCTCCCAGTGCTCCTCCCAGAGGTTGTAGGCGTTGAGACCGCCGAGGATCACGACGGGGACGACAGCGCTGGAGTTGTGTGTAAGTAAAAAGACTTAGGTCGGCTTGGAACGGGCCAATCCGGGGATGGGATCGATTGCTGCCGCCAGAGGGGATGGCAAGCAGTGAGGAATAACGCAAACGTACTAGATGGAGAGCTTGCGCCAGAGGTCTGTTGGAACATTGTTTAACAACCCCGTGGAGTTAGCATGATGTGTAGATCCATTGCAGATGGGTGAATCGGTGAAGTTGAAAGTCAATTGGACCCCAATTGAGGTCCACTCTTCCCACAAGGGTTACGCACCACTGGTAGCAGCAGCGTGGTGCTTGACGGCCTCTCTCTCGCGGTTGAACTCGTTGTCGACAGCCCAGGAGGGGAGCTTGGACTCGGTGTGGTTGAGGCGGCGCTGGACAGCGGCGCGGACCGGAGCAGCACGCAGCTGCTGGGGCAGGCGAAGAAGACTGCGCTGAGCGTACATGGTTGGGGCCTTGGTGGTGGTTGTGGACAATGGCAATCGGAGTGTGTCTGCTAGTTGTTGGTGTGGAACAACGTACGACGTCTTTGACGGTGGGAATATCAGCGGATGTCGGCCCTGCCGGCTTAACGAACCAAAAGCCGCTTAGCGTCCCCGTGATTCGCTGGTTTCCGGCCACAGGCAGTGCGCCATTATGTCAGCACGATTTCCACCTCGAATGTTGACCGCCCCGTGATGTCACAGTCACGTGTCGGTCCCATGCTTTGCTCGAAGCTCCCGGAGTTAACTTTAACTGGTTGCTGCTTAATCCATGCATCTGAATCGCCGGGGGCGGCGATATAATCCAGATACCTCAAGTTATTTCCTCCACTTTATGCTTACGGTGGGTATGCGTCGAATAGATTGGTAGAGACGGAATGGGGCTTCGTATTACAACATGGAACGGTGAGTGCGGAACAACAAACATCATGATATGTTGCCACCATAGACCTGGGCCAAATCATGTACTAATTAGTATCTTGCAGTCAATGGGATCCGGTGTGTGAGCTATGCGTTGCAGCTGCGAATGGTTTGTCACTGACCGACGCAGAAATCCATTCTCCTACGAACCATGGAGAGGCAAGCGGACCTTCGATGTATATCCATCCCTTTGGTCTTCTCGCGCATCAAACTCGAACTAACATGATTAGGCAATGTTCGACATCCTTGAGGCAGACATTGTTGTCTTCCAGGAAACGAAGATTCAACGGAAGGACCTTCGCGATGACATGATCTTGGTCCCAGGATGGGATTGCTATTTCAGCTTGCCTAAGGTGAAGAAAGGCAAGTTTTGTGTCCTTGAGTCTAGTGGTTAGCATAGTTTGACAGGTTCCAGGCTACTCTGGAGTGGTCATTTACACTCGCAATGCGACATGTGCCCCGATCCGTGCGGAGGAGGGGCTTACAGGCATGCTTTGTCCACCAAACTCATCGGTCCCCTTTCGCGCGCTTCCAGACGACCAGCAGATTGGCGGCTATCCAACTTTGGAGCAACTCAGTAGCCTTGAGGTCGATCCTGGTACCCTGGACTCGGAAGGGCGTTGTGTCATTCTCGAATTCCCCGCCTTTGTGTTGCTGGGCATATACTCCCCGGCAACCCGGGACGAAAGTCGTGACTCATTCCGTCATGACTTTATCGAACTGATGGATGCCCGAGTTCGCAACCTCGTCGCGATGGGAAAGCGGGTGTTTGTCACAGGTGATCTGAACATCTCTAGAAGACAGATCGATGCAGCGCACGCGGCAGAGGCGATTAGAAAAGGAACCATGACCGAGGATGAATGGGTCTCGATGCATGCCCGACGTGTTTTCAATCAGTGGTTTGCGGATGGCAAAGTCATTGGTGAGCGCGATGAAGGAAGAGAGAAGCCTGTGCTCCATGATATCTGCCGATCATTCCATCCTGAACGCAAAGGGATGTATACCTGCTGGGAGCAGAGAATCAATGCGCGCCCAGGCAATTATGGCGCAAGAATTGATTACGTCCTCTGCAGTTTGGAAATGCAAGATTGGTTCTGCGATTCCAACATCCAAGAAGGGCTTATGGTAGGTTCTGTCGATTGAGGGATAAACGCGAACTCTTGCTGACAGCAGACGATGCAGGGTTCGGATCATTGTCCTGTCTATGCCGTTTTGAAGGATAGCATCATGATCGAAAGGAAAGAGACGAAGGTTCGCGACATTATGAATCCTGCAGGTGTTTTCAAGAATGGCGAGCGTCAGCAAGAGTACACAACAAAGTTACTGTTGCCCACTTCCGGGCGTCTAATCCCAGAGTTTGACAAACGGAGAAGCATCAAGGATATGTTCATGCGCAAGCCCACCAAATCATCCCAAAGCACCCCCTCTGGTATCCCTACAAATCCTCGGCCAACGGCGATGCAAGAGACAGCTGCGCTGTCTTCTTCTGAGTCGAATCCCAACGAAGCGGTCAGTAATACCAACGGCGAAAGTAGGGGCACAGTACGCAAGCGATCGGACAAGCCTGAGTCCCCCATCAAGCGATCGAAAAGCACGATTGCCCCAGCACCCGCGCCGACGAACCCTGGGCAGAAAACCTTGAAAGGATTTTTCAAGCCCAAAAGTGCCCCCGCGGATTCTAGCGAGGATTGTTCCGCCAAGGATGCTGAGCTTGCGGTCTCTCAACCGTCGACTTCTTCATCCACAACAACTGGCCCATCGGCGTACTCGCAGCTTGAGAAACAGGAGACTGTGGACACCGTGACCAAACCATCTGCAGAAGAAGCTAACAGCCGCGAACCATCCAGTGTTCTTGCCCCCGAGGAAGACGACGCTGTTTTTGACCCGATCGTCAGCAAAGAAGATTGGTCCAAGCTGTTCACGAAGAAGCGAGCTCCCTTATGCGAAAGCCATCAGGATCCATGCATCAGCTTGACGACGAAAAAGCCTGGACCGAATTGTGGACGAGCGTTTTGGATATGTTCGAGGCCTCTAGGGCCGAGCGGCAACAAGGAGAAGGGAACGCAGTGGCGATGTCCGACGTTCATTTGGGCAAGCGATTGGAATTCGTCATCGTAGCTGTGAGCAACTGCACATATCATCGAAGCCCAAAATTGTCTTTTGCTTGGAACGATTGAAGAAAATGATACCCCCCTTTTGAGTTTGATTCTCGAGTGCGAAATCAGAAGTTGATACTGGACTGGCGTCATTCTGGTCTGTTGTGGGTAGTTGTCCGTAAGAGAATCTGGTAATAAACTATTTCGACGACATAATCAGCACATTTTGTTAGTAACAACTGTTATCAGTACTTGTAACCCACCAACTAGCCTTTCAGCTTCACCATAATAGCTACTACCAAATCCAGCCACCACTCGCCATCATCTTTTGTCTATTAGATAGCAGCCTAGAGTTGAAATCCACATCCACAGCGGAGACACTTTGGCAGGTGATTGTTGATGAAACAAATGACCCCGGACCCGCATGGTGTGTATCCACTTGCGCGCATGAAAGGTGGGGAGGCTGGTGTTATTGTATGAAAGGAATCCCTCTGCAGTTTCCAGCTGCGTGGGGCTATTGTCAGCAGTGCTATTCGGTGCTGGATCCAGCTCTCCCAGAATATAGCTTTTTCTGGACGTGTTACTCTGAAAACGAGTAGTGGTGCAAGTTGCCTGCGATAAAAGTGATTCTCAGAATATGATATTTGCAAATATGGTAAGATAATACGACTATTCGCAGCCATAGCGAGAGAATCTACTATTCGCAACTACAAGGAGCGTATACAAACAAGCAAAGTCTACGTGAACAATAGAGATGCGCAGAAAGTTTTGTTTGTTAGTCCAAACCACCATATGTTAGATTTCTATGATTCTATGCAACTTGTTTGTAGTTTCCACGGACTTCGATGCACTTTATGCTATCTCCGTCGGACCAGATGCATGATAACAGATAAACATGAGATACATTCTTTGAGTAACCTGTCCATCAACCATATCATGATAAAATCTCTCAGAAGAATCCAGAAGAACGGGGCTGGTGGAAGGTACAGTCTTGTTTGATCTGAGAAGAAGTGGAAATACAGGATTGCAAAATAGCAAGGAAAATGGTAGAGATAACAAAAGGGTTCAGTCAGCCTGAAGACTTGTCCTCGGTCCGTCCCTTCCTCTCGTTTGTCCCCCCTCTCATGTCTCTCATCCCCGATCGTGTAGAGAAAAGTCGAATGCAGTGAGTGCACCAAGCATCATCACGGAGCTTGAGCAGCCTGGACCAGTGTGGAAGCCAGCTCCAGACCGTTTCCTAGCCGCTCTCTCCTCCGACGTCGCTAGAGCATCATCACTTCCGATCGACGCATTCGCTTCAGTAGATGTCCGCCAGGAAGTCCGACAGTTCGAAAGGCTCGCCAGCGAGTCTCTCGTTCATGCCGAAGTTCGCCGAGGCAAAGATCATGGCGCGCTGGTTTTCGCTCTCCACCTCCGCAATGAGATTGTCGAGCTCAGCGGCGCTGAAGCGGTAGGGGCCGCCAATCATGGCTGGCTCGTCGGAACCAACGACACTTTCGAGGTCCGCGAGATTGTGGTTCGGGGTCTCGGCGTCAGCACTGATTGTGGAAAGACTGGTATCAGGGATAGAGCTGCCGACTTCGGATTCAGTGCTTGTCGCAGCAGGGGTGTGAGACCGCTTGGTGGGCTTGGATTCGGGACGAGACGAGCCACGACGTTTTTTCTCGGATGGTTTGCGCGGAGTGTACTGATAGTCGGGGTGCTCTTCGGCATGCTTGTGCCTGAAAACCTCTGTTAGCTTCCTGGGCTCTGTTTGGAAATGCTTGAAATCAGCTGTTGGCTATACTTTGGTACTATTTTCAGGAGGTGCTAGATCGAGCTGCCAGAATGTGGTGGAAACCGAGCTATCCATATCAAATTTGTTTGTGATGTTGGTACACATAAAACTCTGCAGAGTTCAGTGAAAAGGTCGCTCTCAATTTAGACAAAATATGATAGCACTGATATTGTGACGCGTCAGTGAGTGATTGTGACGAAGCTTTTAGTAAGAGAGGGTCCTAAAACAAAGGCTCGTAAGATTATATGGTAGTAGCTTCCGGTGAAGGGTGTCTGACTCTAGTACCTAGTGAATAATTCTGTTAAGCTTAGCCTATCAGTATTGTGTCTAGGTGAAGAATGGTAGACATCCTTTGTTTGTGCCGGTTTCCGCTGCCCACAAGCGAGTGGCATCATGAACAATATTAACACTGTTCCTATTGTCCTCATAAATTATATATACGACCATCTTTTCGCCCATCTCTTTCTCTTCTCTCCTTCTTTCTTTCTCTTCACACCCACCATCTCCTTTCCTCTCCACTCATCTTTCTCCAACTATCTCTCATCCTGGTGCTTGACCAAATAAATCTGGTATCCAACTAAGCATCATCCTCTCTCCTTTGACTAGTTACATGGTCACAATCCTATCTCACATCTGAGCCTCGACTTTCTGAAGAAGTATGGACAACCCCAATTCTCCCCTTCAGCGCGCTTTCAACACATTCTTGACCACCATGCCCCCTCAGCAGCTCTCAGATTTGCTTCAGCATCTTCAGGACACCATGCCCCAGAACACCAATACCCCTTCCCATGAACCTGAGACTCCTGGCGAGTCCTCTCAGGCTGTTCTCGACAATGCCAATGCGTCTGTCGATCATGGAGAACGTGGCACTCCGATCCCGGCTTCGCGTGCAAAGCGTGCTCAGGATTCGAAACGAAGACCACTGAACAGCTTCATTGCATTCAGAAGTAAGAGTTTTCCACCCATGTCGAACTTTGAAAGCGCAGCTAACCCATACTAGGCTTCTACTCGGTCATGTTTCCGGAGATCACTCAGAAAGCGAAGTCGGGCATCCTTCGTTTCCTGTGGCAGAACGATCCTTTCAAAGCGAAATGGACCATCATCGCCAAAGCATACTCCATCATCCGTGACACTCATGAAAATGAAAATAGTGTCTCGTTGGAAACCTTTCTGAACCTCAACTCGGGCATGATTGGCATCGTTCAGCCAGATCGCTATCTCGATGTGATGGGATGGCAGCTCGCTGTCGATGAACAACAACAGTACACCATGACCAAGGTCAAGCTTCCCACTACCACCGAAGATCAACTTTCCACCAACTACTCGGTTGATGATATCATCAAACACTGCTACGACACCGGCTATGTCACTGGCGGCAATCGCAACAACGGCGCAGACCATGGTCGTAACCCAGCTGTTATGGCTTTTGCTGCCCAGCCGACTTTGGTTGTCCACGATAACAACAGCTTTCAGATCAACGACAGCCACACCATCATCACTGGGGATCGTGATGGAAGCACTTCCATGAAGTCTGCTTCTCCAGACAACGCCACCGAAATTTCATCCTCTGATTCCAGCGACATTGCCACCACCATCGAAGACAACCAGTCTGAGCACACCGGAGCACTTCCAGTCCTCGACTTCATGCAGGCACCAAAGGATCAAATCAACTGCAACGAGTTCCAGCCGGATGAAGCTTTGCTAGCACTCTGGAATGAAAATGGAGCCATGCATCAATTTGGTGTGGCATTCCCTTCTTCACTCCCCAATTTCGATCCACTAGTCTACGACGAAGCTTATGATGGATTCGACTTTGATCGGTTCGTCATGCTCTGATGTACGACAATTTACATCCACCATGCACGCAAACAGTACGAGGAACTTTGAATACGCTGAAGAACAAGAGCAGCATCTGTTTTTGGGAACTCATTGTCATTACGACTGCAACTTTGAAGGCGAAGCATTGATGGCGAATGTTTACAGTTGACGGATTCCCGCAATCATCTTTCCTGTACACACTGCATGAGCAATCTCTTTTGTATTTCCTAAGACCTATGGAGGAGTCCAACGGGCCAAAACTCATCCTCATTTTGTTGCTTCGAAGAAATGTTGAAACTATTTGAGGGTTTGAACAAATGGGCCGGGATGATGATGGAGGACTTGTTTCATTTTTTTTCTTGATCTACCAGAATGTGATTTCTCTGTTTTGTTCTACCAGACTGCCATACCTTAGGAATCAAATTTGAAAGCCTCGAATCCTTTATCCATACTAGTAGTCCAGCTCTCACATCGCCAGTGAGACCATTAGATAAGACTTGATCTAAGTTGGCATAGTGTCCCTCCAATGAGTAGCGACTCAGGATTTAGTTTGACTGGTCCATGGCAAGACTTATATGGGATAAGAAATTCGTATCGCTCAATCACTGCACTGGGTTCCAGTAGGGAGATGGCAGAAGGCCGAATCCAGACATCCATATTTTCTGCCATAGTGTTCATGAGTTGTGGTAGGACTTTTCGCTGAAAGCCATGAACAGAATGACAAAGAGAATGAGACGAAACGACCGCCACCTGATCGGAAGCGGAAGCGTCCCCTCCATCCCACACTATCCATGCTTCGTTCACACCAACCAGATTGCATCACTGCTGGCAGATCACGGTACCTCGTGGACAACAAAGAATCACCGGCTCATGTTTGTAAGAATCATGCGGGGAGAACCAGAATATCCATTTTATCGGCTTTCGGGCGCAGCTACGTTCTAGAGTCTTTTGACTTGTGGCACCTCTTGCAATCTTGTAACCATGCATGGAGCGAACGGCGATGGCAGTAATTATTCGAGCCATGGCACAAGACCGGAGGCTCGTGCGTGATGGTATGGAAGCTTTGGAGCCATGAGTTACGGATCGCAGCCAACATCGAGCCTGAGACTTTTCCCAAGCCTGCTACTGCAACAACCCGCCAAAGGCCAGTCGGGTGGCTTGCAGGCCCGACTAACCTTCAATAGTTCTTCTCTACGGCGTCCAACCCTCGGAGACAACCCTGGTCGCCCTCATCCCCATCGAAATTGTTTCACAACAAAACCAAAGACTGTTTCTCCACTTTCATGCAGGACCGACATTCCCCTTCGACAGGGGGACACAACTTGGCTCTTGCAGTGGTTGCATGGTTCGAATTCAATTTGCGAGCCAACCGAGCACGTCCAGAACGGAAGCACACGAGTCATAGGCCAGGAGATTCGGCTGTCAAGGGAGGCTTGGCCGCAAAGACTATACTACAAAGAAGGGGACCCCATCCTTTTGTCTGCCGTGAACTCTCCTTCCATCTGATCCTAGCGTGGAAGCCGAGATTCTGACTGGGGAACCAACTTTGAAGAGTTGGGTTTCCCTTCCTGTATATGGTTTTCCGACTGGCATGATGGAATTAGGGGCTAGCGCAAAAAGGGAGGAGAATCTTTGACACCCGGTGTGGATAGTCAGCCGGCTTGCTCGATGCCAAATCAAATTTCATACGCGGTCGCAAGGGGGTCTTTGGGGGCAGCGTGTCCAGAAGCAAGTCTTGGATCTCAGGCGAAGTAGACTTCGCTAATGCAGTCTAGGCTAAATTCAATCCTGCAGGGGCCTATGGGATCAAGAAGTATAACCCCAAGACAGGTATGTCTTATCATGCTGTGGGGGTGGGTCTAGACTGACTTGACCTTTCACAAGGACGTACGCACAAGCTTCTCCTAATGAGTTATGGTTTGTTGCCAGAGCTAGGTTTTGGCGCGCAGGTAGAGAAACTGAAAGCGCCGTCTGTCGATCTTCTACGTTGGCTCTTGACCGTTTACTTGGTGTGTTCTTGGCCGCGGAATCGCATTTCCGGGCCAGGGTTTTGTGGACCCTTTGTCTCCACCCCCAGAGTCGGTACTCTACCGATGCCTGGATGCAGATCGCTGCCTGGGATAACTGTAGTGGGCTCACAGCTCACGAAGCTACTATGATCAAGTCCCTGGGATATCAGAGGCATGATTGCGTTGTTCGATACAATGTTATGTGTGTCTCGCAAAACTGTGACCACGGTCAGCAGTTGGAGCTCACCAGCTCGGTTGCCGATGGCCCAATCTAAAGATAGCATGTTATGGCTGAGTGACCTCGTCCAAGTCAACTACAAGCTAATAAGGTACGTTGTTTCATGCCAACCACTGTCGAACTCAAACCAACGCCCGAGCATACTAGGGAGCGAGCAACGAGCCGTACAGAAATCGTTCAGCACTGCCCTGAACTCGCCAACCTTGGCAGAGCCAACATGTCTGCAACATATCCACTCTCGATTCTCCCCAGCCTACCATCCCATATCGACGGCTAAGAGCCATAAGAACGCGAAACTGCCTTTGTCGTCCGGTGCGACAGTCGCCTGAGACATCTGCAGAAGTACGATGCCCAGCCAGCCGCGCACCGATATCCTCCCGGCAATGATAGGGGGAATTGTTCGAGAAGTCAACAGCCGATTGATTCTCTTGATACTGATTGCGAGGGGGTATATTTCGGTGGTAGGGAAGGCCTCATGTGGTAGCGATGAGGGGGTGTTGAAGGTGATCGTGGCGATCATTGGGCGATGGCCCTCGTTGGGGACCTGAGGTCGAAGGTTGGGCGGTTCGAGCATCTGACGGGCTTTGCCCTCTGAGATTGTGTCTTGGAATCAGAAACAGTTGGGATCCTGTTGTGCTAGAGAAGGAAGTCAGCACTTTGACACGCGAGAGACCGTCGATGGAGATGGTGGCCTACGGTCGTCGGTGAGAACGTAGATAAGTCTGCAGTAGCAAGCTCGTCCATAGCACATAACGTAATTCAGAATGTACGATAGCAGAGTGTCGAGAACATTAGAATGAAATCACCAATGAAAGCTCCACCTTTGCCTTTTTACAGATGCGCATCAAAGGCGAAGCGCAGTCAGCTTCCCCAACGTGATACGGGTCTTGTTCGAGTCTTTGATTCTTGCAACAAACTTTGTCGTGTCGCTCAATGTACATTTCTTTCTATGCAGTAATGTGGTGATAAGCTGCAGAATGAGCCAGAGGACTTAGCATAATTGTGTCGAAGACTCACTTGCGAGTGCGCAAGGCATGGTGATTATCGATGGATCCTGAGGATCCGCCCCTTGGTGAGATTGAGCCGTCAACCGAACCGGACAACAAGCTCCAAAGTAAACATCTTCGATGCCGATGGCTTGCAATTTAGATGAAGCGTTGACATTCCCACCACTATCTCAGAAGCAGGTGTTCGAGGCTGCTGCAGTCCCGATCAGGTCCAGGTTCGGTCCCAATCTACCATTCAATACAACCCAACATGCGATGCGAAATAGTCATATCTAGCCCCCCTCTTAGATATCTGAAGGATTTTCTTGTTTTGTATTCACTGGATCAACGTTGATGAAATTGTTGCCTGGCTCATGTGACCTGCCCTGCATTTCCCTTGGTAGTCTTGACTCTACTCGTGCTGACCAAACCTGCAGTGACCAACCCAGACTTCTTCTTTCTCCCTCTTCCTTGGACTCTGTAAACATCTTCAGTTGACTATTCTTCCACCATTTCCATCCTTTCCTTCCTCCCCGCATATCCTCCACATGTCATCCACCGACGACGCGTGCATCATTACCCCCGAGATGGCCGCCGACGAGGACCTGAAAGCGGGGCACTTCCAGACGCTGACGATCGAATCCCCCCACCGCATCATCATCACCGACACGCTGTACGGCACGCACGAGATCACCGAGCCCGTCCTGCTCGACCTCCTGCAGAGCCCGGACCTGCAACGTCTGATCGGCATCTGCCAGCATGGCGTCACCGGCCACCTGGGCTTACTCCCGGGCGCCGTCAAGATCACGCGCTTCGAGCACTCCGTCGGCGCCTGCCTGCTCGTGCGGACCCAGGGCGCCACGCTGGAAGAGCAGGTGGCCGCGCTCCTCCACGACATCAGCCACACGGTGCTCAGCCACGTCGTCGACTGGGCGCTGTCCAACCCCCAGGAGGAGAGCTTCCACGAAGTTCACAAGGCGCGCTACCTGCAGACGACGGGCATCCCGGCCATCCTGGCGCGGCACGGCATGCCGCTGACCGTGCTGCACGAGGAGCAGTACCCGCTGGTCGAGCTGCCGGCGCCGCATCTCTGCGCGGACCGCCTGGACTACGCGCTCCGCGACGGCCTCGCCTTCGGGAAGCTGACCCAGGACCGCGTGCGCGAGCTGCTGCGCTGTCTGCGCGCCTTCCCCTACCCGACCGCGCGCAACCGCATCCTGGTGCTGGAGCACCGCCGCGTCGCGCTCGGCTTCGCCCGCGCTTATCTCCAGATCGACCAGGAGGTGTGGTCCAACCCCGCCCACGCCGACATGTACAAGCGCACCGGCCGGTTGATCGGGGATCTGGTACGCCAGGGCAAGATGCCCGAGGAGGTGCTCTGGACGCTCTCGGATGAGGAGTTTTGGGCCCTGTTGCTGCGGCTGGCGGACGCGGAGGGGGCGGCGATGTTGAAGCACTTCGAGCGGGAGGGGCTGGCGGAGGAGCACGGTCTGCCTCTGCCCAGGAATGCGAAGATCAGGACGGTCGATCCCGACGTCTGGGAGAATGAGTACATCCCCGCGCCTCTGTCGCAGTTGAGTCCCGAGTGGGCGGCGGAGCGTCAGGCCTACATTGCTCGTCGCGAGGCGACCCGCGCGTTGGACTAGGTGGCAGGGTTGAAATTTGGAAAGACTAGACTGGATGCTTCAGGATGAACTACGCGATTATGTGGCGATCTACAGACGAAATGGCTTATCTTCCCTTGTATCTATTTTGCACCGTGCTTGGGCATACACATTGGCGCTACAGCAAAGCGGGTTGGCAGAGACGGGGCTTTTCGTGGAATGAGATAACAGCAACCAGCTGCATACTAAGTTATTGAGCACATGAACAAGATCCGTAGTCTCCCTTCGAAGAGAAGGAGTTGAGAATTATAGACTCGCAACCCAGCGTTGAACTAACATCTCCAGCCGGACACAGACACCGTCTGGACCCTAGCCATACCGCGCATCTTTGGGCTCGTCATCGAACCAAACCGGCGGCACCCCATAGTTGACGACCGTACTCTTGAGCTTGGTGTAGCTCTCATAGGCGGCCAGGCCATTCTCCTTGCCAATGCCGCTCTCCTTGAACCCACCCCAGGGCGACGAAGGGTCATTCAGATGATGACCGTTGATCCAGACAATGCCGGCCTCGATCTGGTCCGCCACGCGATGCGCCTGCTTGAAGTCATTCGTCCAGACCGACGCCCCCAGCGCAAAGGCGGTACTATTAGCGATGCGCACGATCTCCTCCTCCGACTCGCACTTGAGCAGCGCGATCACGGGCCCAAAGACCTCATTACACGCCAGATCCGAATCCGCATGGGTTTCGATCACCGTGGGCTCGAAATAGAACCCTGTCCTGCTCGAAACACGACCACCACCACAGAGAATCTTCCCCCCCTCCTGCACCGCCCTCTCCACAAACGCCGCACATCTCTCCACCGCCGCCCGTGAAATCACCGGCCCAATCTGCGTCGCCTCGTCCGTGGGATCGCCCACCCGCAACGCGCGCACCCTCCGCCTCAACACCTCCCTGAACTCCTCATAAACCCCCCGATGCACCAACAGCCGACTTCCCGTGACACACGTCTGCCCACTGGCAATGAAACCCGCAAACAAGGCGGCCCGCACCGCCGTGTCGACCTCGAGGCTATCGAACAGACACACGGGCGCCTTGCCGCCGAGCTCGGCCGTAACCGGCACCAGATTCCGGGCCGCGACGGCCGCGACGGCACGATACGTCGCCATGCCCCCGGTCAGATCGATCTTGGCCAGCCGGGGATGCTGGCACAGGAACCTGCCCGTGTGCGCGCCGTAGCCGCTGACGATCTGGAGCACCCCGTCCGGCAGGCCGGCCGCCTGGAAGAGCGGGCCCATGCGCAGCACGGACAGCGGCGCCAGCTCCGACGCCTTGACCACGACGGTGTTCCCCGCCGCCAGCGCCGCCCCGAGCTTCTTCATCGCGATCAGCAGCGGATGGTTGTAGGGCGTGATCAGCGCGACCACGCCGAGCGGCTGCCGCGTCAGCGTGTTCGTCACCGACGGGCCCTTGAACGGCGGCACCGACCCCTCGTGCACCCGCGCCAGCGACCCGAAGTACTCCAGCCACTCGGGGACCCGCGCGAGCTGCGTGCGCATCTCCCGGATCGGCCGGCCGGTTTGCGCCGTTTCGAGGGCGATCAGGTCCGGGAGCTGCGTGCGCAGGAGCCGGGCGGCCGTGGTGAGGACCGTGAAGCGTGTGGTGGGGTCGGCGCGCGACCAGGTGCCGCTCTGGAAGGTGGTGAGGGAGTCTTCGATGATGCTGTCGATGGTGGTCTCGGGCGTGGCGTCGATGGTTGCGAGCGGGGTGGAGGTTGCCGGGTTGAGGACCGTGATGCGTTCGGGGGTGGCGGCGGCGTGCGCCCCGTTGATCCAGTTGGATACGTGGGGGAGTTGGTCGGTCATTGTAGGTAGGGGGTGTGTGTTTGGTGGGCTGGTGGGAGAGGCGTAGTGGTGGTAGAAGGAGGGGGTTTGTTGTTATATGGGGTTGACTTGAGCATCTCCTAGGTAGTATTGGCATCTGTACAGCAAGCAGTGCATACTCGACTGCATCTACCCCGCACACGATAAGCACCCCCCATCTTATCATCCCATATCTTCCCTCAAGCACGGAGTATCGCTGGCTCTGCGATATCTTATCTATCTACTTGAAGTCTGTCTCAAACGCATCTGGATTGCCAATTCCCATGGTACAGTAAATTACTTGGTAGGTTGTTGTTTCTCCGCCAGGGAAACAACTTCGCTAATCTCCGCCCCTACAACTCTCCACCTTGCTAGGAACAAGCTGGCCATGAATCTGATTTGCGAATGCTAGACTCTGCAAAGACAGAAGCTTTTGTGCCTGCAATGCGAATCTCGTCTCTTGTTGCAATACACAACCATTCGACCCCAGTTCCTCTCGGCAACTCGTGCCGTGTGATCGGACGCTGGCCCGGGCCATTGCCGAGATCGAGTCATACTTAATCCCCCTCTCTTAACCCCTCGAGCGTTAGACAACATTCGACACGAAACATTCCAGCAGGATCCACGGCACATGAGTAAGAATGGCAGCATCAAGCCCAGACAGAAGCGCGTTCACCTCCCAGGACTCCGTCGCACACCTCTGGCGCGACCTCGGCCTCCCCGAAGCGAGTCTGGCGTCGCTCGACATCATCGACCCCGAGAAACCAGGTCTCCCATCCTCCTTCAAGGTGGGCCATCTCGCGCAGGCGTCCATCGCCCTTGCGACCTTGCTCGCCGCGCAGATCCACAGCCTGCGAAGCCACAACTACAACCACAACCACAACCACAACCACAACCTCGCCCCACGACCACCCACAGTGACCGTCCCGTTCCGCCACGCCTGTGTGGAATTCAACTCCTGGCGACTCTACACGATCGACGGCGAGCCGGTCCAATTCCCCCCAACCAGCCCGGTGGGCGGTCTACACAGAACGTCCGACGGCTACGTGCGCGTGCATGACGGGTTCCCGAACCACCGGGACGGAGCCAAGGCGCTCCTCGGCTGCGCGCCGGATGTGACGATGGATCGGGAGGCCGTCGCGGCGAAGGTGGCCGCGTGGCGGTGCGTGGACTTGGAGCAGACGGGGGTCGAGACCGGGCTCGCCATCGCTGCGTTGCGGAGCTTCGCGCAGTGGGATGTGCTTCCCCAGGCCCGTGCCATTGCGGATACGCCGATCCGGCTACGCAAGATCGGCGACGGCGCGTCAACGGGGCCGGGGCTGCCAGACTGCCTGGGGGCTGGCGGCGCGGATAAGTGCCTGCGCGGGCTGCGGGTGCTGGAGATGTCTCGCGTGATTGCGGCGCCCTTGTCCGGCAAGACGCTCGCCGCCCACGGCGCCGATGTCCTGTGGGTGACGAGCCCCAATCTTCCGGATTTGCCGGACCTGGATCGCGAGATGGGCCGTGGGAAGAGGACTATTCAGCTGGATCTGCAGGATGAAGAGGATGAAGCGGAGCTGTTCAGGCTCCTGGACGAGGCGCACGTGTTCATCCAGGGTTACAGGCCGGGGAGTCTGGCGGCGCGCAGGCTGTCCCCGGAGGCGATCGCGCGAAGATGCGCCGGTCGCGGGATCATCTGTGCGAATCTGTCGGCGTATGGTCCGGACGGGCCGTGGGCTGGCCGTCGCGGATTCGACTCCCTGGTCCAGACGTGCTCGGGGCTGAATGTGTCCGAGGCCGAGCACTTTGGTGCTGGCGAGGCGGCCCGTCCGCTGCCGTGTCAGGCATTGGATTATGCGGGAGGCTTTTTCCTCGCCGCCGGGGTCATGGCGGCGCTGTACAAGCAGGCGACGGAGGGCGGATCGTGGCAGGTGGATGTCTCCCTGGCCGGGGCGATGAAGTACTTGCGGTCGCTGGGACAATACGAGGGCCGAAGCGGATTCGACGCGCCCGATTATTTCCGTCCGGAGGATGTGCCTTCGAAGTACATGGAGACGCATATGACGGGGTTCGGCAGGATGACCTCGGTGCGACATTCAGGGTCAATCCAGGGGGTGGAAGTAGGATGGGAGATCATGCCGAAGCCATTGGGCGCTGACGAGAAGCGATGGTTATAAGCTGCTCTAGGCCATCAGTGGTCAAGTGGCAAGTGGCAAGTGTCAAGTGTCAAGTGTCGACCTCGTGTGTATTCTTGGGTGCAGTTACACACACATCGCATCTGTGCATCTCTTCCCAATACCACCTTGCTCCTTCCCCTGGCGTGATAAAGACGCCTGACAGTTTTTGCTGGAATGTTTGTTTCCCCTCTGTATGACCTCATGCTGCACGGTGCATACACCCCCTCCTTCAGTCCAGGACTCAACTTGCTTTTTTTCCCTCGTCTCGAATTGCTTTGTCCACGTATTCGTACCTCCGTTGAGTCATGCGGGGTAAGACAGTTGCTTCGTTTTCAATTGACGATGTCCCCTCTCTTTGTTCTTCTTCTCGGACACCACCATAAACCCCCCTTCACAAGCTGTGCCACCTCCCCACCACCATGAAGGTGATCATCATCGGCGCCGAAGTAGACGGACTCATCTGTGCGATCGCTTGCAAGCGGGAGCAATTGAACGTGATTGTTCTCGAGCAACATGCTGAGATTGAGGTGAGTGGAACCGACGGGGGCGTGGCAGGGTATTTTTGTTTGCTGATTTCCGCTCTCGCCTGCAGGTCAATGCCGGTATCCAGATCCCTCCCAACGGAGCCCGAGTCCTGCATCATCTGGATCTTCTGGAAGCTGTGACTCGCAAAGGGACTAGTACAGAATATCTGGATTTAAGACGCTTTCACGATGGGGCGTTGATTCGGTCGATGCCGTGGGGAGAACCGGTTCGCCGGGCTTACGGAGGACCCTGGCTGTATGTCCTGTACTTCCATCCCCTGGCCAAGGCCCATCTGAGACAAACCAACTCAAGCTAGTACTGCAAGACAGTAATATCACTCGGGCGGACCTTCTCGACATACTACTTGACAAAGCGCGACAATTAGAGATAGACATCCGACCTCATGCCATCGTGGAGGAGATTCATTGCGGCACCGCCGAGGTGGTTTTGAAGGACGGAGCTCGCATTCAAGGAGATGTGGTGATTGGAGCCGATGGTTTGTCTCTCCCTATTGATGCTCTAAACGGACAAAGAGAACCTCGTGCAATGCTGAAAATGGCGACCACGGGAAAACAGGCATCTTCTCCAGAACTCGAGACACGGTCTTGAACCATCCAAGCCCGCCCAGCCCAGCCAGCGACATCGCCTACCAAGCAACCATCTCGCGATCGGCGCTGAAAGCCATCGATGACGGCCAACTCGACGAGCTCTGCACCAAGAACAAGATCACCACCTGGTTAGGTTCCGCGCAGCACACCGTCATCTTCCCCGTCCGGCAGGGAGAAGAGTATATGCTTGTGACCTACCACGCATACAGCACTCCTCCAGCAGAAGCAGCCGGTCTCACCCAGATACAAGCACTGCATCAAGGCTGGGACCATCGGTAAAAGCCTCTCTTCAGCCCCCAACATCCCCCCTGATCCAACTCCTTACCTAACAATCCCAACTTTAGACTCCCAACCATCCTCGCCCACGCGACCTTCGCCTCTCAAACCACCCACCACACCCTCCGCGACCTTCCCACCTGGCGCAATTCCCGAACCCTCCTCCTCGGCACCGCCAGCCGCATCATCCCCCCCTACCAAGCCCAAGACCTGGCCGCTACCCTCGAAGACGCCGCCGTGCTCAGCACGCTCCTCGGCCTCCTGAACCACCACAGCCCCGCACCCGACCAACTCCCGCGCCTGCTCCCGGAGATCCTCGCCCTCCACGAGGCCCTCCGCAGACCGGCCGCCACCAAGGCCGTCCAGGCCGGCCTCCTCAGCCGCCGCGTCCTCCAGGTCGGCAACCCGGTGGGCCAGGTGCTCCGCAACTGGTTCCTGGGCGGGGCGGGCATCACGCGGGACACGGACGCCGGGTGGTTGAAGCTGGTCTCGGCGCAGCAGGAGGCCACGCTGGGAGGGGGAGGGGGAGGGGGAGGGGGCAGGGGCAGTCTCCTCGACGAGACGAGGGCGCGGCTCGAGGCGTGGAGGAAGGAGCGGCTGCCGCTGCTGGCGGCTGAGGAGTCGAGGGAGCGGTCGTCGGGAGGTTACGGCATTGGACGGAAGCGGTTGCGGTGTTGGACGTATTGACTGGCTTGCCACGGGACTGTGTATATGATGTTTAGTGATCCCTGGTTTCGAGTAGGGATGTGCAATGGTGGTTGCCTGCGTCTGTTTTATTTTTTTCTTGTTGTGTTTCGTCTAAATTTGGATTCTCAATACAATACTTACTGCTAGGGAATGGATCCCCTTTCTCTCATCGTAAGCGTAGGATGTAACTTACTGTAGAGATTATTATCGCTTCCCAGCAGATCTACCTCAAGTCACGACACGAGTGGAAGTCCATACAACTGACTCCTCGAATGCTCCCAGACTTCTCCCACCCACCAACCTACCTACCTACCTTTACCCCACCGAATCCACCAACCCCCCTGAAATCCACTCCTACCTTAAAGAAGACACCCCATCGCCAAGAAAAGGCCCGAGAAGAATAAACACAAACGTACAGAGCAGTGCAGTCCAGGTCCTTATAAACCTGGAGTGTGTCTTCCGTAGTACAGTTACTAGCCGAGGCACGGAGTATGAGTATTGAACCCTTCTCTTCTCCACTCGGATCCATCATCCCTCCCCTTTCCCCACAATCTCCAGGCTACTGCCCCACTCGCCTGCAGAACCGAATCTGATGGACATGGACATGGTCATGAGGTCTTGACTAGTCCGCCCGCGTTCGCGGAATGCAGGGAGTTACGCTCCCATCAGGTTATGCGCCCTCGCGCACGTTGAGGCTTGAGATTGATTGTTTTGACCGCTACGGATATCGTTTCAATGGCGTTGGTTCGTTACGTCTACCAGACGTGAATAACCACTCTAGAGCCGATTCCCCTTGTAGAAAACACCACGACGCGCGAGAGAAAATGTCGCCAGCAATCGAGATGCCCGGCCACCACCACCCACAACACGATGCTGTTGAGACTGCTGAAGACATGGTATGATGATAGAGGAAGAGGGAGGGAGAGAGGACGGAGAGGGAGGAAAAGGTCCACGGTAAAGCCACCGCTTTCCAAGTAAGGAAAGCGCACCCTCATCCTCGTCACTGCCTCGTCAGGACTAGCCAGATGTGTTCGTTCCACTAAGACCCTGACTGAGGATGAAGATTCGGCGTGGCTTTGGGGGCTATTAGGTAGTGTTTTTGCGAGGCGGCGGCGGCTGCTGCTGCTGCTGCTGTTGCTGCTGCATTGTGGTGAGCCCAGCTAACTGTGATTGGTTCCGGAGTACAGGTATGACTTTTGAGATTAAACGTTTCGAGTGACCATAATATGTATAAGGGCACCGCGCAACTGGTCATGCCTTTGTACAATTTACAACGTAGCTTAAACCTAGACAAGGACATTATCAAAAAAATCTAAGGAAGAGAAAGAGCGCCGTGGGAGGTGTATTGGCTGCAGGTAGAATAAATCACAAAAGTGCAAAACCAATGCCATGCACGACTGCCAACAACGAGCAAGGGAAATGGGAAGGAAGGGTGATGACAGGAAAGTAAAGAGAATCAAGAGAAGGGTCCTGGGTCGGCCATCGGACCCGACGAAACAGTAGGTACAACGACGCTGACAACCATTGCAACATGCGACAGACAACCGTACACGACAATCACCCACATCTCAGCCACATTGATCATCCCCGCGCAATCAATCTTCCTGGTAGGAAATCTTGCGCATCTCTCCCAGGCGTTGGCGGGCGCGAGCAAGACTGTTCTCCAGCTGAAGAATTTCGACCTGGAATCCCAAAAAGAGTCAGCTTTCTGTACCCTAGAACCCTAGAAAGAAGTCTGGATGAAGAGCTTACCTGTTGCTCCATCTCCCGCACCTTGAACTCATGGGAGCCGAGCTTGCTGTAGTCGACCGCTTCGTTGTCTTCCTGGTTCTTCTCCTTGATGATACTCTGCACCTGCCGCACCAAAGCCCGGCACGCGGCGCCGACAGCCTTGCTAGCGCTCTCCAAACGGTCTTGGGTCTTGCTCATGAAGCTAGCCTTGACACGACTGGCCGCCACCAGCTGAGCCGTGCTAGCAGCCACGTCGTTACTGGCCACGATCAGCTGCTCAGGCGAGTTGCGACCGGAGATAACCCCATCGGCCGTCTCGATCAAAGTGTTGGTCGAGTTAGCGACGGCCTTGGCTGCCGAGATCAACCCCTCCGTCCAACGATTGTTCTTCTTATAGAATGCCGTGCGCGAAGAGCTACCACGACCCTCGCGGACAATCTCTTGCTGCGACTCAGTCGCCGCCTTGATCAACTCAGCGATGGCGTTGGTCACGGCAATAGCCGCTTCCAAGATAACGTCATTAATGCGAAGCTCGTACGTGGTGTAGCCATCACGGGGCTTCTTCTTGAGCTTCGCCAGGCGCTGCGCCGCAGCATCGATGGCATCAGCCGCCTTTAGAAGCTCCTGGTCGACAAGGTCGCCGAGGTCTCCATTCGTGGTGATTCTCGCGCTCTTGGGAGCGAAGACGTCGACCAACTTCGACAGAGCCTGCAAGTCTCTTTGCACCTCCAAATTGTTGTTGATCACCACGTCGGTCTTCTGCAAAGCCTCCAATCCCTCCAGACGGAACGACTGCAGGCCCCGGAAGAACCGTACTGTGGCTTGTGCAGACTTGCGGGCTGCGTTAAGCAGCTGATCGGCATTCTTGTCGTCTTTAGCGAGGCGAGTCAATCCCTTCGTGTTGCTGAGAACATCGGCAATTGAGCCGGAAAAGATCGACACGGTACGGATGATCTCCGCGTGCGTGCTATTAGGTCCGTCGGCGATGTAGTTGTTGAAGGCAGTGGAGAATTCGGTTGCCGACGCAGACGCCTTTTCGATCTGGGAAAGCACATAGGGAGGCGAGGCATTTTGGTTACCAGCCTGCATGGTAGAGTCCACTTCGTACAAAGCATCATCCACCCGCTGAACACCAGTCTGGAGAACGGAATCGATGATATCATTGATCTTGGCCACAGTGCCGTGCAAGACTTGATCAATCTGAGTATCAAGAGCTGTATCGACATCACCTTGGCTCTTTGAAAGGCACAGAGTTAGCCAAACACTTTCTTTCGTTTCCGCGGGCTGAACGTACCAGTTTCAACTCTTCGAGTTCCATGAGAGCCTGCTCCATTCCGGACTTGTACACCTCAATTTCCTCGTCCTTTTCGCGAAGCGCAAGCTCGTGGTCACCATCGCGTTCCGAGTTTCTGGAAGAGTACTCCTCCAGAGCACGAGTTTTTTTCTGTATGCGGTCACTTAGTGTACAGTTTCAAGTATGCCCTTTTGCAAAACGGAACTTACCCTGAGAGACTCCTCCAGGTCGGCCATCTCACGGTTGTATTTCGACAACAACGTGGAGATTTCAGTACCCTTTGAGCGCTCGGCGTTCTCTGCGCGCTCAATGGCCATTCGGAGCTCCCGCTTGAGTTTCTCTAGCTCCTCCTTGTTGTTGCCGGTCAAACGATCTCGGTCATGCAGTGCGCGATCTCTCTCGCGGATCATGTCGGCCAGCTCCAAGTTCTTGGTCTTGAGCTCACGTTCGAGCTTCTCCCGCCGCTCGATCGCCTCCTGGGCCGATGCAGCCTTGAGCTTGAGGCTCTTCGTGGTCTGCAACAAGTCCAGGTGCTCTTGGCGCAGTTGCGAGTAAAGCTTAGCTAGAGCCTCATACTTGGACCGCCAGGTGTTCACTTGCTCCTGCAGGGATCGGATTTGATCATCCTTAGAAGCATTTTGCAGGTTCAAATTCGCGGTTAACTGGTTCATCTGTTCCTCCAGGTCCTTGACTCGGCGATCATACTGTTGCAACATCAACTGATCGCGCTCATATTGAGCACGAGCATTCAAGTTCTCTTGCTCAAGCTCAGCCAGTCGACCTTGTGTTTGAGTCTGGTATTGATCGCGCAACAATTGCTCATGAGCCAGACGCTGTTGCTCCGCCTGGAGACGTTGTTGTTCCTCGAAATCCTGCTGCGCCTGCTGCTGCGCCAGGAGTTGTTGGCGCTGTTGTTCCTCCCACTGTTGTTGCAAGCGGCGCTGCTCCGCCTCATATTCCTCCTGCTGGCGCTTCGCTTCGGTGGTCCAGAAGTCGTTGATGGGTTCTGGATCTGCAGCCACTGGCTTGGGAGGTGGGGTGGGTTCGGGCTCGGGCTCTTTGGCTGGTCGTCTCGGAAGAGCGGGACGATCATCGTCTTCTGACAAGAGATTGGGCGGATCCTGCGGCAGCTTGGGAACGGTGATTAAACTGGTGAGGTACCGCAAATTAGAGCATTCGTAGTAGAACCGCACGAGGCGGTAGTGTTGGGCGTCATATCGGCCACGGAGAGGCTCCAAGGCTTCGTGGTCACCAGTCGCTAAACGGGCATCTGTTAGTCTCCATGGATCCGCAGTTGCAGGGGAGGTAGTATCTACTTGTGTGCATAGCCCTTAGCATGCTGGTAATGAACTTGTAAATGCCGTAGCTCTCCTGCACCAGCGGAACCAACGCAGAGATCCGGCATTCATTGTTTGTGCCCGACTGGAAATGCGAGAAAATGAGTTTCTGGAAGGCATCGATCTGGTCCTGAAGAGTCATGAGGTCGCTAATAGTTTCGTAGCTATCATGATGTCAGCCAAGTTTGGTGCTAGCGTCATGATTCGCATACCCCTCATTAGGATCATTGATCGTCTTCAGACTGATGTACTCCTCGTACTCGAAGAGGCCTGCGAAGATTTAGTATGCATCCAAGAGCCTGAGACCGGTATCCGCACCATTGAACTCGGGGTGGTTTCGGTGGAAGGCAAGCTTCGACTCGAGGAAGTAGACATACTCCCGGATCAGGGGTCCGTATCCTAGAGCATCACGGTGGATAGTCAGTACTGAGCTCTAACGGCTTGTAACATTTATCGACAGTTCAGATGGCCACCCACCTCGAAGACCCTCGCCCCCGACACCTCGCATGAGGCTGTCAATCCAGTTGGCATGTTGTTGCGCTTCACGAATCACTATCGGGTGGCCTTCTTGCAGCACCTTATGGATCGTGATAAGCGCTTTGAAGGTTTGCACCTCGTCGGCAAGGACCGGCTGGCTGTGACGTAGAGACAGCTTGGTTAGCCGTCACCATCATCGCAAATGAGCATTGTGAAGAGCGAAGCTACAACATACACCTTCATACCAGCCCAGAAGGCCGCAGAGGATTTATGGTCCCATGTATAGACGATGCAGCTCCGAACATGTTTCCCTGGGCGAGCATTAGCGACGGACGGTCAGACGCGGATGCAGTGCGGAGCGGTGCTTCGGAGGTCGAAAGGGTGGTGATGAGATCAATGCGTACGTTTCGGTGCGGTTTCCTCTGCAATTGAAATCTGATCAGTCACAAGAAGCTAGAAGGCCATCGTTAGATTGAGCTACACTCGACTTACCGATGCTGGTAGCTTTGCGAATGTTGATGGCCAAATCAGCCTCAGTGCTAGACACATCATGTTAGTCGGTCTTCAACCCTTCCGAGCTTCCGCGCATATCTGGTAGAGCATAATAGATGACACGTACCGACTCATCTTGACGGTGCAGAGCTCTTGCTCTTGGGGGTGGTAGAGAATCAGGGGATCAGGGGACGGGGAAATGCGGCGGGAGCCGGTGGGCCCGAGTGCGCAACTTAATCAATCAGTGGAATGAAATCACCGGTGCGCTCAACGGAGGAAAAGGGGGAGGACGATAGAAAATAATCAAAAGATTGGGAGAATGTGACAGCCGACCGGCACTGAAGGGAAAAGAATGTAAAGAGGAAATTGGGGAAAGAGGGGACAGATAAACAGATAGACCGACAGCGATAGGAGAGTGGGAGGAAGTGAGGGAGTGAGTGAGTGAGCGAGCGAGTGCAGTGTGGGTTGGGTGAGGAAATGACGTTCTGAAGGTTGATTGACGGCTGCGGCCTATCCTTGGCGCTACCGCCGTGTCAACTGGGCATGAATACTGTACAGTACGACTCAAAGTATACGGGGCAACGTAAGAATGCTCAAGGCAGCCACAATACTTGCATCCAAAAGCCATTCAACAGACAAGAAAAGGATGGAAGACCTACTTCACTTTCTATATTTCATCAGTCCGAGACTACCTCAGTAGAACTAATCTGATTCGAATTACACCCAAACAATCCACAACGCCTCCTGTTGCCTTGCACCTTGCGCGCTCAAGAACCAGCCGAGAAAGAAATGCAGCAAGTGATATAATTTAAGTCAGATGTAGTGGTAGTCTGGCTGCCAGCTGAAACTACTTGAGTAACCACTGCGATCCACTATCCCCTCCTCATCATCATGGGTCTATGCGAGACGTCCATGGGGAACGCACAGCGCTCTGCATATATGACCACCAACAAGCACAGGCACCATAAGATGCACAATGACTTGCAATTGTCGGTTCATTCTCTCAAGGAATGATCCCGTCTGTGGCTGATAACCATTCCATTCCATGTTTTCCGGAGTCGGGATTGACCACTGAGGCTACCGTCGGTGGTTTTGGCTCGGATGCCCCCCCATCTGAGGCCGCTTCCACGAGACTACTGTGATCCTGGGTTTCATCTGACAGAGAATGTAAGGATGCATCAGCTTCCTTCGGTGTTGTTGCCAATGTCCCCTCCGGGGTCATGTCAACAACCGGGCTGTTGGGACCTGAATCATATGGCGCTTCAACCACCAATAGTTCACTGGGACGGCTACTGCTGTCATCGGGATGATAGACAGGTTTTCGTCGGGGCGGCAAAGGGGGTTTTGGAACAGGTCGGTGGTTCTCTTTCTCCGGCTTATGCTCGGAGAACGGTGCGTGGCTAACCGGCTTGCGTTTGGGGACAACCGTCGAACTTCCCGTTCGTCTGTAGCTGACCTTGTCAGGTCGCGGCAGCGGTGTGCCTGGAGGTGGGAGGGGATGACCACGCCCAATCGGCTGCTCCGGTGTGCCAGCAGGACGGGAGGCATCCTGACCGGAGCTGGAATCCCCCTTGCCAAACACGTTCCATCCCCATTTCTTGGCCACGGACGTTGCCGTGTTGAAGGTCAGAGAGGCTTGTGACTTGACATCGGAGTTTGTTGCAGATGTAAGAGATCGAGTCAATGTCTCCATCGTGCTCCGCCGTCGCGATTTATTGCTGTTCAAGGATGTGGTGGAAGCATTCGTCATGCTGTCTACGTTCATCGACGACTCACTACCGTGATGAATCGAAGGGGGTCGTGTGGGCAAATCGCCATAAGACTCTCGAGAGCTGTCGAATGACTCAACAATGGAAGGCTCGCGACTCTGGGAAGCACTTGTGGGAACGAGGTGACTATCGATGGGAGGTGAAGTGCCAGGTGTCCTTTCTGGTGAGCTAGGCGGGGAACGGGTGGATATCTCGTTCATCGTGCTGGTTGCATTAATCTTTTCCTCCCCCTTGGATTCGGATGAGGCTCGGTCGAAACCGACATGATCGGCAGTCACCACGGGGTCCGCAGCGTTGGAGAAGGTCTGGGAACGGATGACTCTTGGAGGCGAGGTACCCAATTTCTCCACAGCAGAAGACAGGGCACTTGTGCTACTCTTTTCGGAGTCCCCAATAGAGGCCTTCGAGGCCTTGCGGGCCTTCAAGGTCGCTGTGCCCGACTCTCCAAGCGCAGGTGCACTCATCGTGCGTTCGTCCTTCATCTTCAAGATCTCCACGGACTGATCTGGGACACCCCCAGGCATCGGAGGCTGCGCCTCAGATTCGTCCGGGATATCTGCCTTCTCGTCAGGTTTCGGGATATCTCTCTGCCAGACTCCACCACGGAAACGCTGAGGCTGAGTATCCAGGAATGGTATATCATCCCAGAATGGCAGAACACAACTCTCCGCGACCACTTCACGGATTCGGCTTTCAATAGCACGTAGGACGATACCAAGCGTGATCTGCTTGGAGCTCACGATCGGTTCGATATTCATCTCCATGTTGGGCATTGTCTCAAATGATATCCAGATCCGGTTACTCGGAGGCGGTTTGAACTTGATGAGCAAATGCCCCTCGAGTTTCTTCAGGACAACAGCTAGGACAATATCAACTTCCCGGGCCTTGAAACGAGGACCCAGATCGATACGGACGGTAGCCGAGATCTGAACACGAAAATTGCCGGTATACTGCACGTCCGTCTCCACGCAACAGGTACCATCGACAGTCAAATCCTTGAGCCTGGGATTGATTATGAAGGGAGCCCCTTCCCCCATGTCGATCGTTTGTAGACCGATCTTGCTGATGAAATTCGGCTTGTTGACGCGAGATATCTTCTTGGTGATCTTTTTCCTGATGAAATCCTCCATCTCCGGCGTCTTGTACATTGCCAGAAACAACCGACCTAGGACGGCGTTGATCCAGCGGGTTTGCAGCTGTTCCTCGGAGGAATGAAGTCGCTGCACAAGCGTCACAATGTGCTTGGTATCAAAGGCCTGGTGTTTCGGAGGGCTATCCGCGGAGTTCCACAGCCTGGACTGGTTCTGGAGCATGGCGAAGTAGAAGTCCTCCTTCTCCGACAGGTTCTCCGAGAACAGAAAGAACGGTGGCGTGGGGCCTCCGAGGTCTCCCAACGACTCCAAACGTCGTGACAGGCAGATAGCGTTCCTTTTGAGCCATAGCTCTCCTTCCGGAATTTCTCCCTCTCCGCCATGGATGCTCACGTCGTGGTGGGCGAGGGAAATGACGTATCGTACTTCCACTTGGTTCGCGTTATCGTAGAGCATCAAGTGCCCATGTCTAGCACATACGGACGGTCAGGATCAATCCTCGCAGAACTGCGACCAAAGGAGCGACACGCAGCATGACCTACCGAAGCACGATGTAGAACACATTGCGCGCCCGCTTTCCGTTCTTTGTAACATTTTTGGTCGGTTCAATAGTCGGCGTCTGCTTGCGATCGAATAAACTTCTATACATGGCTTGGTAGACACTGGGGCTCTCCGCGGCGATCACCTCACCCGCCGGGGTGGTTCTTTCCGGAGGTTTCCCATTGACTCCACCGGGAACATATTCACGACAGACTGCGAAATATCCGGCGGCCACGTCCGAGTCATGCGTACGGTGGAACTTCTCGGCCAGCTCATCGGTCCCGGACTTTAAGCTGTACTGATCATCGTTATCGCGTTGCAGGGAGTCGTGCGCGGGTTGACGGTTTAGCTGAGAGGGCGGGGATGATGCAGTCAGATAGGCATAGAGGAGGAATAGCGATATGACGAGAGGGATAAACGTGAGTCCACCAAGGACATAAACGAAGAGAAGGTTGCCGAATGAACTCATTGGGGAGCTGAATGGATTAAAGGACCGGCAATGAAAGCTCCATCATCATGGGGTAAAGTGACACCAAAGGGACCAAGTGGCAGCAGAGACCGAGAGGATTAGACCAGCCCCTGTGAGTGAGACCAGCTCCAAAGAGAACAGAACACGAGGGAGTTAAGGGGTGGGGTGGGGAGGTGGGGAGAGGAGAGGAGAGGAGAGGAGAGGAGAGGAGAGGAGAGGAGAGATGAGGCGAGGGAAAGGAAGAGAGGACAGGTGTATCACCTCTTCAGTCGGTGGTGGTGTTTTCCTTTGGGGGAGAGAGAGGGCGGAGAGGAGAATAGAGGAGCTGGAGGGAAGAAGAGTTATGTGGTTCCAAGTTCCAGCTCGTCACTGCACTGCAAGTACTAACTTAGGAAGTACGTTACCTAGGTAGTAGGTACAGCAGTTACGGAGGAGGACTGTACAGTGCTTCAGACACCAGCCTTGCCCTGGAAAAACCGTTAACTCCGCGCTTTCCGTCACGGCTCAGTGCTTTCTTTTTTGGCCTTGGTTGATCTGGTTTGCTTGTCTGGTAGCTAGCCTCAGGCATAGGCATGGATGATTGACGTCGATTCGATGACGGAACCCAGCGGCTGAGTGGGGAAAGTTCAAGCTGGGAACTTGGGAAGGGCTCAATTTACAGGCTACGTTCTAAGTCACTCTTAGGTACTCCGTACTCCGTACTCCGTAACTGGTTGGAAGAACGTTGCCCCGCCCCCAGCCCTGCCAACCGGTTAATCCCGTGATGAGTCTTGCAAGTTGCAACTCGCCAAACTGCCCACGTAGTTGTTGATCCCCCGCCCGGCCCTTCTATTCTTATATTCTCGTTATTGTCCTGTTGATCCAGCAGATCCAGCAGATCCAGCAGATCCAGCAGCGACTTCGACAATTATGTATCGTAAACAGTACAAGTCTACAATCTTAAGCAGCTGGACACGGTCGTATCACTGGTTTCTTGCTTTCTTCTTGTCTTTTTCTTTGTAATATCCCTACACGGACCCATACCTTCATGTGTCGCGGTTTGATGGTCCACTGGGTTGAACAACCCATACCACCATGGTCCGCTCCACCGGCCCATGTCAACTAGAAATGCATTATGCTAATTGATAAATACACATATGATAGAGACTAGCGAGGCTAGAAGCGATGTATCGAGGCCTAACTTACTAGTCACCCATCAATTATATAGGTCATCACACCGCTGTCAACTAAGATGGATTCCCTAACTATGCGGCGGATGTGGTTTGCTTGGCTTCTAGAATCCTTCCCATGCCCAAAAGATCAACTAGCCAGGGTTACAGTTACTGAGTACTAACTTACAGTGAGCCCCTGGTTGGAATGCAGGAGAATGTACCTGACATGAGCCCTGCAGCTGAAGCCAATGCGGCTATCCATCGACTCATCACACCACTTGGCTCTGTTTCCATGACCCAAAATTCAAGCTAAGTTTTACATCTTTGAAGCGAATATAGGTACAACACACACAAATGCTTCCAGAAATTCATCCCTGCCTTCCTGCCTGCATCCATCCATCCAAGGAGCCCAACCTGATCCGCTGACCGATTAACCGAGTGCGATCTACCCAAGCCCATTCCAGTTTAGCCCATGTGCTATATAGCCAACCAAGCTATACGATGGAAAGAGTTGCCAGATGATCCCCCAACACCAAGCTCGTGACAGTCAGATATGAACGATAAAGAGATAGTAGTACATGGGACATGTCGGCCTGCAAAAAGAAAAGGAAAGTGTCTAAGTTTATGAACAGAGGGAGAAAAGGAAGGCTGAAAGCGAAACAAAACGGCTGGGCATCCCGAGCTTGGTCTCTATGATAAGAACGCTTTGCAAAAGACGCCGATGCACACGGATCGTCCGTGTCGCTGGTTGGAACAATCTATTTCCGGCGGTTCATAGTCTTCTCGCACATCTGAATCAGACCAGCCTTGGCTTCGCTGTCAGGGAAGTCCGCGAGCGCGGCGATCGCCTTGTCGATATATTCCTGGGCCAGAACGCGGGTTTGTTCCACACCGCCAGCCTTTTGGACAAGTTCGCGAGCCTGTGAGTGTCAGTCAATGTTGCTGGATGCCCAATGGGCTGAAGGGATCTTATTTACCATCTGAACGTCACCGGCCTGGCTGAATTTACGGCCAACCAGCGGGCCTAATTCAGGAAACTGCTTCCACGCATACAATAGCGGGGCTGTGGCCAGGCCCAGCTCCAAGTCCGCACCGGCGGGCTTACCCAGCTCGGCCTCGGTGACCGTGTAATCCAACATATCGTCCACCAGCTGGAACGCCAGTCCCAGATTGCGCCCGTATTGGTAGGCGGATTCGACAACCGCAGGAACACTATTGCCCAGCACCGCGGTCGACCGGCAAGACTTACTGATCAGACTGCCGGTCTTGAGGTACGTCTTCTGCAGGTAATAGGAGAGGGTCTCGTCCGTGAAGACGGGCTTCTTCTCGTCCGCGGCTGTGTTCTTCAGCTGCATGAATTCGCCCTCCACGAGGTTGGTGATCACGGTCGACATCAGCTCGATGACCTCGGGGTCTCGCAGCCGGGCCAGAGCCACCGAGGCCCGACCCAGCATGAAGTCACCCGCCAGCACAGCCATCTTGTTTCCGAACTGCAAGTTAGCCGAGGTGAAGGAGCGGCGCGACACAGCATTATCGATGACATCGTCGTGCAGTAGAGATGCGGTATGAATCAACTCGGTGATCTCCGCGAGTCGGCGCTGTGTAGGGAGAATATTTTCATCGCCAGCAAAGTCGTAGGCCGCATCAGGGTTACTGCTGGAGGTCGCGGAGGACAGCGAAGGGGGGAGGTCTGGGTTGTTGTCGACCAAAATGGAGGAGGAGGTAATCGGATCATTGACCGTCGCGTTGTAGTCGACCGTCTGGGGTTTGCGTGGGCACAGCGCTGTCGCTTGTGACATGAGCAAAACAAGCAGCGGCCGCATGTGTTTGCCCTCGCTGCGCGTGTAGTATTTAGCCACCTTGTCCAGCGTCGGGTGGCCAGACCCAAGCAATTGACGAAGGTTCTTGGTCAGGAACTTGAGCTCCTTGCCGACCATGCGCAATGGGTCGACCGAAATGCCCGGCGGCGCCTTGGGGAGGCCTTTGAAAAGTGTCTGGGCCGCCGACACGGCCGCCCCGAATGGAGAGACATCTCGCCGGCGGGTGGGATGATATTTGCGGGTTTGCACTTGCGTCTGGAGAGAGAGGAGATCATTTCGGAGGCATTGCCAGCAAACTGTCGTTGTTGTCGACGGCGTCGTGATGCGAGACGATAGTACTAGCCCGGCGGCTGGGACTGTGCGAGCTTTCATGATGGAAAGAGAGGTGGAGAATCGAGGCGAGTACACCGAATCAGAATCTAAAAGACAGTCATACCCAAGGAGCAAACAACGATTGGAAACCGGTCCAGATCCGGCAATGACTGTTGGGGGGGGGGGGGGAAGAAAAGGTTGGGAATAATCAAATAGATTAACTGAAGCCGAAGAATTCGAGAGAGGGAATCGGGCGGTCACTGAGCTGGGCTTGCAGTGCCTGCAGTGGAACAGACCTCGGGCCGGATCGGGGTTCCGCCTGGCCCGTCACTCATCATCAATGGCTGGCCTCATACCTTCCCTGGTGCATACTGGTGCATACTGGTGCATACCTACCTACCAAAGCTCGACCTCCTTTGATAAGCAATGCCACATCTCTCACAAGGAAATTGGCTGGTCTAAGTCGGCTATGATGAAGATTACAAAACGAAGAGGCTCCCCCGGTTGCATCATCACCTCCAACACCTAACTCGGAAGTCAAAAGGAAAAGAATGGAACAGACGAGTAGGCGGGGGAAACAGCATCTACACCGCAAACAACATAGGAAAAATGATTCAATAGTAGATGAGAAACATGGAAGATCACGCCGGCAAAAGCTCAATCCTGCCGATTCCCCTCAAACACATCCCGGAACATTGAATTTGCAGATAAGAACACATGATTGTTGAAGGCTTCCCCGTCCAACCGGTCGGGGATCGGCAAAGAATTATGGAAGGAACGAAGCCAGAAACCTGCTGCATGTTATTGGCGCTCCATAAGATAATCCCTTAGATAGCATCAAAGTCGCCGCCGGCGTCTTCATCATCCATGTCTCCCTCTTGAATCTCCTTGGCCAACTCCCGCTCCCGCTCCCGTGCTTCCTGTGCACTCTTCAACTCCAATCGATGTTGGTTCATGGGGAAACGCATGGCCTAGAATTGAGATGGTGAGCACAAGTATGATTAGCAGGACGTGCGATTTGAACTCACCTTAACGCTCTCATCGTGAAGACTCAAGCAGGCTCTAATACGCTCGTGGAAGACCTCACCCGGCTCCCGAGTAGCATAGATGTCACCGACCTCCTTGCTCTTCATGAAGCCACGCTCATGGTCCAAACTGGCTTCGATCACCCCATCACGAATCGCCTTGGCCACGATGTACTCAGCCGACTCCTCGCTGTCCAGGCCAAGGCGAAGGCAGATGTCCCGAAGTGAGATGCGAGAGTAGGACAGTGACATCATGCGAATGCCCGTCTTGATCACGTTCTGTCTCAAACGCAGGATGAGGGTGTATGTACCATCCTTGCGGAAGGTTGCAGTGTAGGTATTTACAATGTTCAGGAATCCATCCAGATCACCGACGCTCACAGCCTGCACCAGTAGGAAGTACGGGTGCAGGGCACGCTCCAACGCAGGCTGACGGAAAATCGCCCGGTCGGGAATATCACCCATGAGCAGCTCGACGACAACGAGCAGCTTATGGGATGCCTGGTAGAAACCGCGTGCACTGTGGCTGGACGGAGACTTCCGGGTAGCGCCAATCAAATGCCCGTGGGCGTCCGTGTACTGCAGCTGAATGGCCCGGATACGGCCCAAATAGTACAGGTAGCGGGCAATCTGGTTGTTCGAGGCAGACGCGGGGAACCGGTTGTGCGAGATCAGCAAGTCCGCCTGCGAGATATGGGAGGTCGACAGGTAGTTCCGCAGAAGCAGGGTCATCACGGTCGCCTGGGTATCCACATCTTTGCGCAGGACAGCCGTTCGCAGCGCGTTGAGCAGAGGCTGGCGAATCGATGTGACAGATGCAGCGGGCGACGGAGGAAGGGGCGCAATCTGTTCGTAGAAGAGAGAATAGTAGAAATAGACTCGGGCCGCCAGAGAATCAAGAGTGCGGCGGTTGAGCGCCCGCAGCTGCTCGATCAGTTCTGTGGAGAACTTGGCGCCCTTCTGGAATTCCTTCTTGTCGTACAGATAGATCTGAACAAGAATGGAGAGATAAGTGTCGATCTCGGGCAGGATTTCCTTAGGGGTCGACTTAGTCTTCTCCGATTCGATGTCCATCTTGGAGCTGGCGACAGCACTGTCAAAAGCGCCAGTTTGATCGATGGCGCCCAACAGGAAAGAAGCAGTCAGGTTGGAGGACGGGTAGTTCTCGACGATGACTTCTGCCAGCACATCTGGTGTGATGTGCTTGCGCATGGACGATATCGAACGCAAAACGCGGAGAGTGAATCTGGGGTCGAAGTGGCTGACAGCTCGCTCAAGCAATGTGAAGTTGGACTTGATATCTAGAGTAGATCGCATAAGTGGTCGTCAAGGTATCACAACCCCTTGGACTTAAGAGTCTACTCACCTTGGAGAGCCTTGACCTTCGGGTCAACCTCTGACTTGGACTCCTCGGTGTCCGCACCTTCCATGGCGATGTCGCCTTCATTGTCCGGAGCTTTCTCGCCGGATAACCTCGAACCCTTGGTCGGGGGCACTACAACAGTCATCTTCTCGTCACCTTTCCGATCCTTACTGGCGGTGAATGAGGATGTAGGCCCACCTGCCGTATCCTCTCCCATCTCAACATCTTCCGAACCATTCATGCCGTTCTCCGTCGGGTCGGAGCCGTTGGTCCGCGGCTGGTCCCGCTGTTCACCCATTCCGGAATCTGCTGTGCTATTCGACGAAGCGGCTTTCGAGGCGGTGGTAGATTTGGCCTTGTTGGCAGCGGCGCGATTGGGCGCCGGTTGGTCCTTGTTGGAGCTGGTGTTCTGTGAAGTAGAGCGACCCTTCTCACCGTTAGCAGATGAAGAGGTATCCGACTTGCT